TCACAGTTTCCGCGATCTCATAAAATTTAATTAGCGAATGGCTGTATCGGAGGCCAAAAGAAGAAAAGTATTTCTGTTGTATACTGTGGATAGAAATGACACATTTTATAAAGATAAAAATGGCATAAGATTTTGAAACACGGAAGTGGAGTTGATAAGTGCTTTAAGACCTAACCAGTATCTTCTGACCTTTCCTTTAGAAAAATCTAAAAATATCTCTGGTCTAATTAAAATGCGGGATACTGATACTATAAATATGTCACTAGGTCTAGTTTATTACATGACGTACATAGTCTATCATTTAATATTGAATTCTTGCCCAGTTTCCGGTTTCTATTACGAGTACGAAATCGCATCATTGAATAAAGAATTGTTGACCTTGGGAAGGATAAGAAAGGATCTCTCTCTTTAATTATCAAAAAGTTTAAAAGTTATTCAAAAAGTTTATAGAAGCTAGCCTTAGTAGAATTTTTCTACATAAGCTTACCATTCGTTAATAAACAAATCTTTAATTGTTGTCGTACTGAAAGTTTAAGCCATTTGCTGTTTGGGAAATGATGGTCCGTCCATATATGTATCATCCCACATTTGATAAAAATTTCTTTAACATAATAAAACAAAGGATATTTTTATTTCAATGATGGTCCAGCTATGTTAACTACCTTTTTGTAAACGATAAAAGATACTCAGTGGCGTACCTACCGATACGCCAATACGCACAGGCGTATAAAAAGAAGAGAGTTTCGAAAAAAAAAAATGAAATATCAGAAATGAAATCAATAATTTGGGCGTACATTGATCAACATATTCATAGCTGCTAATTGATTCTATAGTTATGCTTAGGATGTTCCCTTATTCGAATATGCGTAAACAATCAATAAATCAATTATAAGAAAAGGGAGTAAGCACATATGAGCAAACTAAAATAAAACAATTGCTTGGGTATATCAACGGGAAGCCATGTTAGAGAGAATTATTCTATTGTTGTGTCAGTCTCGAGTCCGAGAAATCAGTGTTTATAAGGAGGTATGGTTTGAATTACCTTTAAAATTTCAGTTTATACCACCCTATGCGAAAGATGAGACTTTTTAACTCAGAAAACAAAATATTAGGCCTTTCAACAGAAACTAGTAGTGACGTACAGAATGTAAAAAAAAATGATATAAACAATTCCTTTGGAATTTTCTCTTTTTTTCCAGATTGAGTTATAAGCTTTAAAGAATCAATGTTATAATGCTAATAAACCTCGCCAAAATCGAAATAATGATAAGAAATTGTCCAATATACTAGTATTACAATAATTTTTTAACAAGAATAAAAATCAGTGACAATTAGACATTTATTTCATTTTTTACATCTAGATCTATATGAAAAATTAAGATATTGTTTGCAACTTGGAGTTTGCAGCCAAATGGAAGGGAGTTGGCTGTATGGAATTTACCTTGTAGCTATAAGTCAGTATATTATTTGTTAATTTAGTAACATTCGTTCATTTTATATTCATTTCAAATTGCGTAGAATAGTTTAGGCCCTATGAATCAGATCTTTGCCAGCATCTATCGTTACAAACCGGACTCAACCTCTGTTTATATAACCGTAAAAATGAATACATGTATTTACAATATATATCACTAAAGAAAGATGTTTCTACTGTATTATTTTATTGTGTATAGAAATAAAAATACTTCTGCAAACAATGACATATATATATTCTTTATTATACGTAGTCTCATCTATACATATTTAAAACATAGACAAATATACAACGAAAACAATGTATAGCCATATTAAACACGTCATGTACGTCCCAATTCTTTTATTTCACCAACTTTAGATAACGAGTTATCCTGTTATGTGCGTGAGGCATTTAACTTCCTGATGAAATATCTTAAATAATTTGAATGGAAACTGAAAGAGTAGAGTTGTGAATAAAAACAGTTAAAGACAATATTTATTTCTTCAACATTGACATAATACGCATTTAAAAATATGTTTAGGGACCTAAATGATCGTGCGATACTACATCTTAGGTGATAAATACGATAACATTTCGTGACACTAAATTATTAAAGCCGTTGTGTTTGTATTAAAGCCATACAGATCATTTTAAAGCAAATTTTTCCTTGATTGTATCTCATGTTAAGTTATGATGAAACAAAAGAATCATAACAAAGAAAAAACTTGTGAAACATTTTTTATTACAATAGAGAGACACCTGGCTATGTGTTGTTTTTCAAATAACTTTTGAACTTTTTAAAACATTGTCAATGTTAGACTTCGTGTAATTTCCCTTCCATTCAATACATGTACTTGATGTTATTTTCATTACTATAGATAAAGACAATAGAAGTACAATTAGCTTAGATGTCCCCTAAATCCCTTATTTTAGCACATTTAGCTATATATTATGTATATTTCTGGCAGACCTGCACTCGGCGTACACTCAAAATAAGCAGAGGTACGACCCTGGATAATTTATTTGGCAATGTATCTGGATTAACATTACATATGCGATAGTTTTCTCTTTCTTCAATATCTAAAGATATCGGTGTACAACCAGTTTCTAAAGAAAGCGGTGTACAACCAGTTTCTCCATATATCATATAGTTTGGGGTTGACTTTTTAATATTAAAATGTACTTAAGAAATTTAAGTTGTACACGTTCAATTATATCATAATTTCCAAAACTTCATATTTCAGATCCGTAAAATATATAGGTTTGATTGTTTTATTGAACATAACAATCTGTAAATTAATCTGTTTGTATTTTTAATTAGGCTATACATAGCGCGAGTTGCTTGTGTAGATCGCTTCTACTAAAATATATTCCAAGGTACTTATATTCTTGCACTATTTCTACCTGTTGGCTTTTGAATGAAAAATGATATTGAGGCATTCTTCCTTTTGAGAAAATTATTTTTGTTTGAGTTTTCAATGTTTACGGTTAGCTTCCAAGTATCACAATATTCTTCATATAAATCAAGAGATTTTGTTATTCACTGTTAGCTAAAATAGCAGTATCATCTGCATAAAGAAAGATAAATAATTTGAAAGATTTCCGCCTTGTCTTACACCAATATTACATGGAAAGAAACTTTATAAAGTTGAATTTGATTTAATACATGATTTAATATTATTATACTTGTTTTTATAAAGTTAAAACATTTTCCATTAATATTATAATTACCTAATCTTTTCCAAAGACTATCTGTATCAAAAGCTTGTTTAAGGTCGATAAGAGCGCAAAATATTTTTTTCTGATATTATATTATTATATTGAATGAAATGTTGGAGAATGAACATATTGATTTGTTGAAAAAAAACCTTTACGAAAACCCAGCTTGAGAATTATGTAAAATACCAATTAAAATGCAAGGTAAGAATTTACAAAAACAACTGAGCAAAGTTATAGGCCGGCAATTTTCTTGTTTAGATATTTCACCTTTATATTTAGAAATTGGATTTACGAGTCCAATTGTCCACGATTCCGGGATTTTGCCATTGTCTCAAATCAAATTGAATAGTTTAAGATAAAAGTTTTAAAGATATTATACGAGTATTTAATGTGTTCATTTACAATATTATCAATTGCACATGCTTTGTTATTTTTAGAGATTTAACTGCTTTTGATATTTCTTTTTCAGTTATTGGACAGTTAATAGTTTCATTTATTTCTGAATTTTGCGTTTGAATGTGAACCTCTGGTATTTGATCGCTAATATTGTTTTCAAAATTATTTTCTTTGAAAAAGGAATACAATTCATATCACACTCTACTTTTTTCGTTGCTGTTACGTTTAAAAAAAATCCAAAATTTTCTGGGGTCAGAATGATTTAATTTTCTTAATTTTTCTATAATTTTTATAATGAGATTTATTTATTATTTCATGGTTTCTTTATACATTTTACTTTTTGTTTTAATGTTTTCTTTATTTGTCTCTGATTTTCGTAGTTTATAAAGATATTTTGCCTTATGAAATTGTTTACGCATAGTTTTACATTTATGCCCAAACCACGTCGATGATGTTTTTATTTTTGCGCACAAAGTCAAAAGATGTTTTAGAGGATCGAAGAAATAAAGAAGCAATATCTGATATGATATTTTCAACAGTTTATTGGTTACAATTTTCTTTGATTTCCAGATTATCTAAGTTATCTGATATTCTACATACTTCATTCAAATCTATATTATTATTATTAACTTCATCATCTTCATCACTATTATTATACATGTAATTATTATCATCGTTATTGCTATTATTATTACTTCTATTATAATAATCATCAATTTGATTATCCTTTTTATTATTATTATTATTATTATTATTATTGTTGTTATTTATCTATTTTTTCATTTATTATTTATTAGTGTTGTTGTTGTTGTTGTTTACGTTGTTTTTATTGGTATCTATTAAATCTAATAGTTGGGCTTCTTTTAAAACATTACTGCAATATATGCTATATACTGCCTAGCGGCTCGGGTTATATTTACAAACAACCGTTTATATACGGTCATATAACCTGACAAAAAAACTTATAATATAAACGTCACGATAAACCACTTAAGGTAGCTCGCTACTTTCCGACCGAAATTTATATACACGGTTGTTGTCGATTCATAAAGTAATCTTACTTTTTTTAAAAAAAATGATGCTTGCTGTAAATTATAAATTCATTATAAAGATTGCTGAGAGGTTATATGGCCGAATATAAACGTTTGTTTGCAATATAACCCTAGCCTAGCGGCTCGGATTATATTTACAAATAGCCGTTTATATAGGGCCATATAACCTGTCAACAATCTTTATAACTTATAATATATACCAATTGTTCAAATGGTCGTGCACATCGGACAAAAATGTGAACCATTATAAAAGCTGACAGCTAACAACTAGCGTCCTTGTATAGAGATAAAATTTTAATTATTATAGAAAAAATGCTAATTCTTTACTCAGATATAGCTTAACCCATATTATTTTATAAACACGATAACATAGAACAGAACAGAACATATATTTTATTTTGAATTAAGCATTATACAGCTCATCTTCATTTACAACAAATATATACATGCATGAATATGAAAAATGGTAAACGCATATCAATAAATGAAATAAGCTAGTGAGAGTGTAATACAACACATGTAATATTTACAATCCTTATATAACTTTAAACAATACAACAAGGTGGTCTTATATAGCATTATCCGGCATTCAATGAATCAAATCTTAATTTAAAAGCTTTGTTACAATATGTAGCTAATTTTGTTAACACTAACTTCCTTTCTGAATTCAGCAATTCTAAAAATTTAAACATGCTAGGGTTTCTTGTAAAATAGTTGGATATATACTGTTTCCTAAGAGAAACATACAAAGTACAAATCAATACAAAGTGATGTTCATCTTCGATGTCATTATTGTTGCAAATAGTACATTTCCGGTCATTTTTATCAATATTATTGTGTCTACCTGTTTCTATTTATAAATTGTGAGATGATAATCTAAGTTTAGCTAATATATTTCTTAATTTCATAGAGTCAACAATATCAGGTATTTAGACCTGCTAAAACCGGTTTTTTTAATGTTTATACAAATACAAAGAAGAACAAATATGTACACTAGAATGCCAATATGTGATATAAATATCTTTTAAACGACCATGTAGGACTGGTATTAATATATTTAGCTTAACTGATTCTGGATACATCCACACATCATTAAATCCAGCACTTTGCAAAAGTGTTTTGACTTTAGACAACCAATTTACAGTATTAGACTTTGACTCTATCTCCAATCTCTGACAATTAACAATATGATTTAATATACAGTTGCTTGATTTATTTTGGGTATTTTTTATAAAATGTTTAACAATTCTTACATGACGTGAAATATATAATGGAAATCGGTTTACTTCTGCAAACAGTGAAAGAGTATTTGTTGACATTTTCACGTTTTAAGCAACCATTTACAGAACTTCTTATGTACAATTTCCAAATTTTCCGATGGAAGGCTACCCTATACCTCGCAACTATAATTTAGAATTGGTAGAACGTATGCATCAAACAGGTTGAACATAATATCAATGGGAACTTGCTTATCTCTTGTTACATTAAATAACGAGCTCATAGCCCGTATTGCTTTGCCTTTTAGTGTATTGGTCGCTGGTATGAACGAACTTCCGCTAGACAAAACAATACCTAGGTAATTAAACGTTTTTACAATTTCTATATTTAAACCCCCATATATCCACTTATAACTTTTATTTAAAACTCCGCCCTTACTAAAAACAACAATCTTAGTCTTATCTACGTTAACAGTAAGATGCCATTTGTTACAATATTTTTCTAAACTATTTAAGGAATTTTGTAAACCTTGAGCAGATTCAGAACAGATAACATATTGTCTCATTCTTTGCAAACTCGATAACGTTTCTAAAGCTAGATTGGTTAGATTAGACTATAGTCTATTATTTATAAACACGATAACATAAAGTCAGACAGGTTGTTAACTGATACATGTACACTGTTGAAAATATATGAACTGAGCTTAAATGTTTTAACTGTTAGTAGATATATTACTTAAATAGATATAACACTTGACTTTTAAATTGTTTGTAAAATATTCCATCGACCCAGCCAATGTTACATTATTTGTAAGTACACATGGACTTACATTTATGACATTTCTCATTGGCTTGCTTTATGATATAACGCTTCTCTAGACATATCATCTCTCAAATAAAATGTTAGCGTTCAATATGTCAAAATGATATTGTAATTATTATAAACTTCCTTTATGATCACTCTCATTGTATCAAATATTTTCATTTTGTATTATCAAATCCAACAAAGACGAACAGACATTCTGCCACGAAGTCATCATTGTGTAATCTTGGTTTTTAAAAGTCCAAAGTACTCTGACGTTACTGTTGAAGAGAGATTTCATCACTGGTGTCATTAATGACTCGTCAACCGTTCCTTTTATGAAAAGTACGATTGGTTTTTGAAGTCGATAAGCTATATCTAATTCATTGTGACAATAAGGACTTGAGTTGTAACTATCTGACACAACCACAATGAAAGCCGATGCTCTTTCTATACACAGTGATATTTCGTCCAAAATCCTGAAACCTGGTCTCAGATATAGGTCACCTGTGCATATCAAGTTTCTGTCTATACCGGTCATATGTTGGAGAGTTTCATTGAAGTCATCAATCAAAAAGTTATCAACAAAATCTTTGTCCTCACTGCTGTATGAAAGAAATGCAACAAATTCATTCTGACCTTGACCTTCTTGTAGCCTGTTTACTAATTCTCCTCTCTTTATTCTTTTATTAGCTCGTTTACGACGTTTGTATATAACCATTATGACTATTAGAACAATAATAAAAGTAAATCCCACAGATACAGTGGTTGATATAATCATGATCGTCCGTTTACAAATGTTGTTGACATCATCTAATGTGCGTGTATCTATTTTCCGTCTTGTATTCTTTAAGGTAGTACAAGCGAGATTGGCTGTGGAAATACTCACAGAGTTTGTATGTGTTAACCAGTAGATAAATTGTTTTGCTTCACAGTTTGAACATGATATAGGGTTATCTCCAAGATCCAAAGTCCATGTTGTGTTTCCTAGTGTGTTGAATATACTGTTAAGGTTATTGATCGAAAGAGAGCTTAAGATTTTTATCCTGTTATATTGAAGATTAAGAACTTTCAGTTTGTACAGATGTTTTAATGTGAATGTCACTTGCTCCAGTTCATTATGAGAAAAGTCTATCAGTTCAAGGTCACGATTTTCAGTAAAAAGATTTTCCGGTATAACTTGAAGTCGATTAAATGATAAGTTAATAGAAATTAGACGAGAAAGTGATTGGAACAGTTGCTGAAACAACAAATGGTTTTCTTTTGCCATTTTATGTAACTTGTTGTTTGACAAGTCAAGCTTTTCAAGATTAGGGGTACATCCTAATATACTAGGATGGAGAAATTCCATTTGGTTTCCAGCTGCATTAATGTGTTTTATAGTAACAATTTTATGTCTGGAGCATTCCATCTTAAGATCTAAATGTTTAATATTATTTTTCTTTATTATCAATTCTTCACTTTTCCATTGAAAAGGTACATTAATTATGTATGTGCAATTTACAGTATGAATTGATCCCGTACCAGTTATACGGGAAGTCATGTTCACTATTTTAGGATAAAAAAAATAATTCCAAGGTTTAGGAAAGTCGGAATAGTTCCATGCCATGTTGACATATCTTGTGAATGGAATTAACCAAGATACTGGTACATGACACATATCAAACATATTGATATTCTTTAACTTTTGAAGTTCATTTTTGTTACCATATATAAAGTTTGATGCTGTACTATGAGATATATTCACATTTTTCAATGTCTGTATGTATTGTAAAACAGCGGTTATGTTTATTTCTGTGATTTTTGTATAACTGAAATCTAGAGATGTTATTTGTTTATCACCAAGTGCCTCGGCAAATTGTGTGTCAAAACTGATTCCTCTATTGTAGATATTTAAATTTGATGCTTTCAAAGTTTCCAAGCTTGGAAGTTTATTTGACCCTGTAAAACTTTTTACAAGTTCTGTCAGATTTAAATAAACGCATTCACTCAAGTCTAAGAATTTTAGATTGTCAAGTCCTACAAAAACATCTGAATCTAGTTGAATCTGTGTCGGAAGATTCATATGTAACTCTCGAAGTGATTTCAATCCGATGAAACACTTCTCCATGAAAATGATTTCTGCAATGTGTCCATGATCCTGTAACTGAAGTTCAGTTACATCTTCCCAGTTTTTAGACATAAAGTATGAACTATTGAATTCAAATGTTTTGTTTTCCTTCAGAAAATCTATGATTCTAACACGTGTGAATCCATTTGGAATATCCTTTGGAATATAATTACATTGTAGTGTGCTTGCATCCACTTCATTACATTGATAGTTTAAAGCACTTACAGTCGACCAGAAAATAAATATTATTGCGAAGAAATATATAAAATCCATATTTTTTCCCACAATATTTAAACTATTACAGTCGGGGGCCTTCTTAAAGAGGAAGAAGAGTAATAAATATACATGCCATCTAGAATATTTCACATTAAAACTGAGAACAAAGAAATCAACAAGGAAGTACGACATTCAATTATACACATCGACTTGTAATGTACAAATGAGAATTTTGTATACGTATTAACGTCATATTATCTATTTTCAAACACAATCTGTTTTGAATGTATAGGCAGTGATGCGTGAAAATCCATTTTAACTATTGTTTGAAAGTATATAGCGGATGTATTTGACTTTTTTATCAATTTGTATTGTCATTTAATATGTTCTACTTTCTTATTGGTTAAGTGTGTTTGCTAATCATAATTAAGCTTTAGCTATGTTATGTTTTTAGTTCTGTTCATCTTGTACAATGTCATTAATATGTAATGCCTGTAAAGGCCCATGATTGGATATAAAATTCTATTCTATTCTTATAATATATATTCTTATTATATATACCAGTTGTTGTAATGGATAATTCAAATAGCAGTGAACAAAACCAAAAAGCTGACAGCTAACATATCCTCCAGCTTATTTTAGATTTAATTGTCAAGTAATACATCACGTTTCCCCGGATGTTTTTGTTGTGCTTATTTCATCTTTTGTTTTGCTTTATATAACCTTTTGATTCGCACAATTACGTCTTTTGTTTCTGTGTTTTTAAAGAAATAATATATCCCAAACAATGATTTTAAAACTACATTTGTATATAAAATCACTGTTTGGAGTTCGGGTGTGATGAATTATATTGCGAGGGCTTAAAGAACATACTCCACCTTGCATAACAGTCACAAAACACCACACATCAACAGTAACAATGAGGAGGTTTTCCGGTGCCTTGCGCTGCTTCATGATTCATTTCAATTTTGGTACAAGAAAAGCATTGATGCAAGGCATCAAAGGGCGTCTAAGCAAGAAATGCAGAAAGTGAAGATGAACTGACATATGATGACAAGGTATTCTTATAAACTTTTCAATGGTTAATTGGTTTTTACCAGAATGAACGGACGAAAGACACTGTTCATTATGAACTTTGATTGGCATGCTAGAGATTAGAATATTACTTGTTATTTCTTTATGATCGTAATTATTAATAGTAACGGATATACATGTATACAATCATTTATAATCCATATGTGTAACGCCATATGATCAACACCACACTGCGAAGACCCCCTCTTAAGGTATCTATATTTATGAACAGCCACGCGAGGAATAACAAACTGTTAAATTGTGTTTAATGGCCATACCATACTATAAGGTATGGCCTCTGTTTATTGTTTTAACCAACAATACTTAAACATGTGCAAAGAATAGTACATACATCAATATTATGCAAATTAATACAATATAGACAATACACATGTAGGAATAATAATTAATCGAATTCTACTATAATAGTAAGAAATGTGAGGGTTTCGTAAGAAAAATGCACTGAAACAGTCGGCGATATAAAGAAAACAATTGGTGGTTATAACACCAAAGAAACAAATATATCCAACCTGGTACTTTCCAGATTAAGTTTTGTGTGTCTTATGATATCCACAAATGTCCGTAAAAATAACTATATAAAATTATTTTATTAAATCACTTTCTCATAAAATTTTTGCTTCCTCTTTCTACGCTTCTTAGTAATTGCTAACTGGTTCAAGACGATTTTATGTAGGGCTATTATCCGTTCAGCCGTTTTTACGAACGGCTAAAACCCGTACCTCCCTCGGCGGCGCATAAAGTTTGCTGATGCTATTTGGCATAGCTTATATTTATTTATCTGTAAAATATTTGTTCTGTTCTGTAACGATATCAAACATCTACTCCAAAACCGGGAGAGAACTGACAATAAACGTGTGATACTATTCCCCTGTCACTAGTAAATCCCGGGAGAGACCGGGAATTACCGATAGGAGTACATCCCTCTATAAATAGATTTTCGGAATGTTTAGATCATCAACTCATCATTCTATGTACTGCAAAATGATAACTAAAAAAACCGAAGAGACGGAAAAGGTTATTTCATTTGAAAATGTTTGCATTGCGAAATTCTCCAGTCCGCTATTCATTGTACATATCGCGACATTTCATTTTTAATTACATTGTAATAATAAACAAGCACCCTCATACCGATCGGAATGATCGGCTTTCATTATGACCGACTAAAAAGCTCGAGAAGTTGCTGTCGCCCTTTCACAAAATCTGATTTCATTCCATAAGGGGTGCCGCACTTCGGCGCGGACGCCAATAAAATGAACTATATATATATGCATATATGTTCTTTTTAGTTAACTATTATATAACTCATGATTGTTTATTTCATTTACAGTAAAGTTAGTTGTGAAAACAAATAAGAAATTAGACCTGTGCATACTGTACGTATATACTGATATAGATCTAGGCCTATACATGTATAAAAATTATAATGATCAGATGAATACAGATTACAGAACTGTACACACATAATATTTGTACTAAACATTGGACTCTACTATCATGTTTAAGTATTTAATAAATGTTGAAACATGGATAAAGCACAAATTTGAAAGATTCTTTAAGAAAATTGTTATATCTACTTATTTTACCATTTATTTATTTATTCTGTGCCTTACAGTACTAGGAATGTACTCAGTATCTAAGTTATTATTTATTGATTTATTGATTTACTTATTTATTCATTTATTAATTTATTTTTACCTTTTGTATATCTATTTATTTGTTTGTTTATATATTTATCATTTTTAGATGTAATTTTAATTAACTTAATTTCATTTCATTTAAAAGTATTCTTATAAATTTACATGTTCTTTGCAGGATATTTATGGATGTATTTGTCAGTAATTCTTTGAATTTCGAATTTTAGCATGTTTGGTCTCCTATAGTAATACAGTTTGATTAAGTTTTTTCGGTTTTGCTCAAAGAACGGGCATTTTAGCAAATAATGATATTCATCGCCTATGTCCTTTAAGTCACAGTGCAAGCACTTTCTGTCTGGCAAATCTATTCCATTCCATCTTCCAGTTTCTATAGGAAAATGATGGTTGCCTGTCCTAAATTTTATTGAGGTAATGAGTCTTGTTTATTAAGTTTAAGAAGGTGGTTGTCCAAATTTATATTGTTTTTAATAAGTGAATAGTTCCTACCTTTGCTAGAGTTATTTAAAGATGCATGCCAATTTTGAATGTTTTGGTCTAGAAGAGTTTGTTTTATGATAGTTTTGACACCTAAAATGCTTTCACAAAACTTAATATGTAATTTGTCAACTTTTTTTTCCAATTTCATCCAAAGTAAGTCTCTATTGACTGTATCAAATGCTTTTTCGTAATCTATAAATATACAATATAATATTTCATTTTTGTTCAAAACTTTTTTGATAAAAGAATGAAGTATAAAAATTGCATCAATGGTTGACCTTCCCTGTCGAAAATCAAATTGACTATCATTAAACACATTTTGAGATTAGCACCAGCAGTTTATTCTGTTTCTTAAAACTAATCAAAAGATCTTACCTATAATATTAACAAATGTTATACCCCTATAATTTGCAGGATCAAGTTTATAACCTTTTTTTAAAAACCGGTACTTTGGCACCTTTTGTCCACATTTCCGGATATATACCTTTATCTTATATTCTATTAAATAGCTTACATAAATAGAGACTAATAACTGCCTTAGCATCAGTGAAAAAATCTGCTACAATATCATATATATCAGGGCTTTTATTTCTATTCCTTGAAATAACAGCCTTTAAAATTTCTTCTGTCGTTATAACCCGATCAAGTTTTTCTATAATTACTGGTATACTACGCCACAATCTAAAAGAGGCGACGCGACTCGGCGTTACTCGACATATTATAAAAATGATTTAAAAAATCTTCTGCCTTTATATTATCAGAAACATTAAGATTACTACTTTTAAATTTGTTTATATATTATTATTACTACAACATAGAATATTCAAACTTACATTATTACAACAACATAGAATATTCAAACTTACATTTATATATTTCCAAAATTTTCTAGGCTTTTTACGGCTCATTTCGGACAATTTTTGCCTTTCTTTTTATAAAATTTATTTTTTGCTTGATTTTTTACTTTAATATAATCATTTCTGCTTTGAAGGAACAATAATTTAGTTCTTTCACATTTATTTACAGAAAAGGCTCTGTTACAGTTATAAAAATTAGACTTGGCTTGTCTGCATTCAACGTAGAACCATAGACATTTCTTTCTTTGAGGCCTCTTTTTAAAAGATTTTTTCTTACCAAAACTTTTAAATGAAATATCACTTATAATATTAGATAGGTCCTCGGTACAATCATTTATATCAATCACACTATCTAATGTTTATCAACAGAGCATTACCGATAAGTTCTGAAATTGCCCCGTGTGTGATTCATTAACATGAAATTGGAAATAAATATGAAAAATGAAAGCCTTTTGACATATGCTCGCCCATATGGTCTCTTTCTGGTGGTGAGGGTAAACAAACGCAAACACACACACCTTTTGACATTTTTACATTTCGAACTAAGTATATTATTGACTTTTTGAGAAAAACATGCATAGAGCTATTAACATGAAATTCAGGCGACTTAATTCCCACTTAACCATCATCTTTTTAAAGAATAAAATGTGCAGCAGATAACTCACACAAGTCTCTTTGCATTAAAATGTTGTAGTTGCCTACCCTTTTTAGTTTCATTAGCTGAACAATACAATCGATTTCAAATACGTCATGTGATAAACGTTCTTAACATCTGCACCGATTTTTGCAGAATTATCTCAGTATTGAACTTAATAATATTCTTTGTTTGCCTTAGATCATCTAAAAACAAAGTTCTCATAGTAAGCTATTGTGGGCATCCATGGGCAAACATCATCCTGGTTTATATGGTGGCTGATTTACGCCATGTCGTATTTTCGCTTCTTCGCCTCAAAATGCGAAAATGCGAAAACACGAAGGAGCGACAAAGTTGGACTTTGTCGTCTCTTCGTGTTTTTGCTTTTTCGCAATTTTGAGGCATCAAAGCGAAAATAATACAAAAGAAGGGCGAAAATACGACACATAAAATATGTCGTATATTCGCATTCCATCTGTCGTATTTTCGCTTTTTCGCATTCAAAATACAAAAATGCGAAACCACAAAAAGACGACAAAGTATAACTTTTCGTCTTTTCGCATTTTCGCCTTTTGTTATTGTTACAATTTCGCTTTTTCGCATTGTTACATTTTCGCATTGTTGCATTTTCGCTTTTTCGCATTGTTACATTTTCACATTGTTATATTTTCGCATTTTCTCGTTCCAGTTGCACATGCGCATGGAGACATCAATTCATTATTTAATAGTCCTATATAAGATATGTTGTTTTCACGTAGATGTATAATTTAAAATTATCATCCCGCTCCTTACACATGTAAAATAATTAAATAATGTAACGGTAATGCTTTCAGATTGTTTTGAATCAATTAATGCAACAATTATTATTATAAATACAGTAATCAGTTCCTACCATCTTTAGATTATCAGTATATTTTGCTGACGGGTGTGACATGAGATTTATGATAAAGGCACTGCCCGCACACATCTTAAAATAGATATGTCTTAGATTGAGGTGTATTTTCACAGGAAAACATTTTATAATGTCTGTTATTCTAGTACTACAGTTTTTATAAGACATACTTTATCTGATTACGTAAAGTGCATGTTGGATTAAGTTCATTTAAAATTTATATAATAATATGTAAAATCACTTTTATTCATTTTTACATTATACCATGTTGTCAGGCGTTCTTCAGGTCTTTAAATCAAAGATCTCTTGATGGTCACTCTGTCTTCCCAATATTGCACGAATATCAATAAAAGGAGAACAATAAAAAAACCATAGAAAAATTCAATAAACATATTGTATTTAGTTATAAAGTTACTAAATCACAACCAATAATTGCGATAATCAGTGAAAATGAAATAATTTAATCTTCAAGTTCAAGGTCATACATTAGTCAATGTCAATTTGAGTTTTATATTCATGAAGGTCCTGGCCTAAAATATTTTTTTCTCAATATAAAGTTAATCCATTCAAGAAAAGCAAAGTTATAGCCAGTAACAGCAATTTTTTTTGAAAATTTCAATAATTTGACTTTCAAGGTCAAATTCATTTATGAGCGCAGGTCAAACTCTGTCTGGTTAACTTGAAGGTCTATCCTTAAAAGATTAATATGTTCAAGTTATTAAAAATTAGCAAAGTTATAGTCACTTACAGCAAAAATCAGCAAACAAGCAAAATTTAGACATTTGATCCTGAAGGTCAAGGTCATTTATGAATGAAGGTCAATGTTAGTTTGATCTACTTCAAGATTTTGTGCCAAGGACTGTTGTGCCCAAATTTGAAGACAATACACCATGAACATAAACAGTTATGAACGTAAATTCGTAATACATCTTATATTAATCTTTGGAGTAAATAAACTCATTTCGCTATGTCCTAAATAGAGACTATAAGATTTGAAAGAAATGTTTATGCAATTTGAATTCGCGTTTCTAAAAAGAATAAGTTGAGAAACTTCTGTTATTCAGTACTTAAACAAATCTTCAAAATAACAGTGTATCAATCAAGAATCTTTTTTCGTTAATGTATATTTGAAAAAGGTCTGGTAAATGTGCAATCAAATTGTTTTACACCGGATGGTCTATATTAATAAAATTATTAAATAAATATATTAATAAGAATAGAAGAACCCAATATAATTCCATCAAATATAATTTATTCACATTATTGCACTAACATGAACATAAAAATGTAAGAAAAATATCAATTTCAATTAAAAAAGTTACTATCACAGATTTTACGTCAGAATTTATGATTTGTCCAGCTTAGATAGGCGCGTAATACTGTTTGTTTCTGTTTCTAAGGAGAAAATCTCGCTCTTCTTTGTTGCTATGACGACGTCTCCATGCAACAACACTCATTACAGACACAAATGCTACAATCAGAACACCTGCTACAGTGGCGATGATTGTCATAGAAACAGAGCTTGGTCCTGATTGGTTTGATGAACTGCCAGAGCCAGCGTTCGAATTGTCAACTTCGCTCACCAATTTCCCAACAGAATCCCCAAAAGTGTCTGTATTATCACTATTCTTGTAGGTAAAAAAGTATGGTGATTCCTATAAGATAAAATTGAACAATTATTGTTACACTTACATACTTACAATAACGTTGTAAACATGTATATTTATAGGTTATATATTGCATATATATGATGGTATTAATTGAGAAGATATGAAATTAAAATAAACAAAGTGGTTGTTAAGTTACTATCTTTCTTGTACTTTCCAAAATACCGCTCTGCTACTCGCATTTGTTATAATAATAATAATAATAATAATAATAATAATAATAATAATAATAATAATAATAACAAGAACAATAATAAAACCGATTATGAGCATTTCCAGCTACCATAAGGAGAATCAATGTTTCGGCCTCCTGGTATAACGCTCGAAAAGTGGATAATTTATAGTCTTCCAAATAAGTAAAATTGAATAATCACCATATCACCGACTTGAAACTAAATGACAACTGGCGAAATATGGGTGAAATAATCCCGCTATAAAGAAACCAACAAAGAGATAAGTCGGTAATACTTACGGCACTTGGACACTCCACTTTTTCTCCCGGTGTCCATTTTGTTCGTTTCTTCCCGACTGGTTCAATCTGTAAAAGTATTGTGTTTATTCATATGATTGAATGTCAATATGCCATTATAACTACACAAGTGGCAATAAAACAGGTATATCCCCATTTCCACTGTTTAGTCACACAAAGGATGAACAGTGAGACAGAAGGCTAGCGTGACAAAGGGGCGGAAGGACAGGCGGACGCGCAAATCTACATGTACATGTATATGCATTATCATATTAAAAGCAATCATATGCTTCTACAATAAGATGTACATGTATAGCCGTTTGGGTTATCGTTCAAACAAGAGTTTTCTCTTACGTTAAAACATGTGCTAGACCTTATCCAACCCTTAGCTTGTTCAAAGACATGCTTGCGATAAATTCTACCTTTGCAACCAGTACAGACCAAGATCAGCCAGCACATCTGTGTCGTCTGATCATGGTCTGCACTGTTATCTATTTGGTCACTGATTATTTTGAAATGCTCCCTTAACAATGAGGAACGGTTATGTCAAGACTGAAATATGGACGAGTCTATTTAAGCTAATTAATATATTTAATTATTAATAATATTCAATAGCGAGGTAAGGATTTAAATACTCCCGAGTTGGCTTACTGAAGTCAACCAACACTGGTGTGATATCAGGGAACACGGCAGTGATCTGATTGAGTGACAGACGTCTTAACATCAACGCTCTTTTTAATATGTGTGCTCTTCAAAAATCAAATTATAATATAAAATTTTTAGAGACCCCCCCTGCCCTTGTCCCCGAAAGACTTAAATGAAAAAATTCGGGGGAAAAATACCAATTTTTTCTCTTTTGTTGAAGCATGGAAATCATTTTTGGGATTCAATACTTATTAAAAATGACGTTTTTTTTGAAAAAGTTAAAATTAATTAAAACTAGAAATCTCAAAAGGGACAGTACTCTAAAAACCTAAAAGGGGGGCTGTGTTTCACGAAAAGGTTGCACACAACAGTAAAAACTCCCCGGGTTAAAATCGGCCCGTCAGGACCATTTCATTTCGTGTTCGTATAAAGTTTCCGCTCGAGTTCGCTTGGCCCCGCTATTAGGGAAACGCGCACAGCACACAGAAACCTGCAATATCGTGTGATAATTGGAAAGGACCATTTATTTCTTAGAAATGTTATCATTTTAATTTCTCAAAAAACTCAAAAATTTTGGCATCGTGTAACAGTTTCCTTAAAAATATCCATAGATGAATTACGTTTACTCCCTTTGCTTTGTTTTAAATTAGTATAATGATAGTGAATTAGTATTTAGTATGGAGTTCAAAATACTACTTTGTTTACATTTTGCTACTTTACCGAACAGCATTGCACATTCAGCTTTACTTGTTTTAGCTGTTAAACATGAAACATGCCCTAAATTCATTATTAATACATTATTAAACACATGTTTGACTTTTCTAAAGAATTCAGTTAATATGGATTTCTGCGTAATGTGCCTTTTAATAACCTTCATTATACTTAACTTTTCTATGAAACTTTGCAGACAAAAATAATCTTGCTGTAAAGAGTATAAGATCACAGGTATTTTACAATAATTAAAATGTATGATTTTTATTGATAATTTACTTACAAATGAAGAGCGTCACATACAAGATTTTGATTGAGGTCTTTGACAAAAGAAATTCAAGTATTTTACAAAATTGACAAACCACGTGGGACATTGGTGAAAAACCAGGTTTTTTGTTTATGGGGGTACATAATTCTCAGCTCGTGGTTTTTTTCCGAAAAAATGGTTATTTTTAAAGTTGAAAATTTGTATACCCTTTTTCTTTTGATATTATTGTTAATTTTTTTTAGGGGATTTTAAAAATTATTTGATTTTTGTTTGTTTTAAGTATATTAGTTTCGTAGATACTCCTTTTGAAGATTCAATTACTTTTATAGCGTTTTATAGTACATGTAAAATATGCAAAAATGACACTCCATTCTGATTCTGGAATTACAGGCTAACAAGTATGAAAGAACAAACATTTACTATAGAGCTGAGAATTTTCTTAAACATTGCATGAATAAAGAGAATATCATAATAGAAACAATGCTAATAAAATGAATTGAGGGTCGGCATCATAGGTTTAAATTATCTCTCCCGGGAAGTGATATTTGTTTCCTCTTTAATCATATATGTCATTTAAAATTAGTTATTCATATGTGACCTTTAATTATTTTTCGGAAACGCGGAAACACTGATTAACTTTTACCTTTCCAGAACCGCAGAAATCACATAAGTCATTTCCTCCAACAAACAATGTGATAACTTTCCAGTCTTCGTCATAGTTAATATTCTTGTCTGCTTTCATACGTTCCACTATTGTCTTTGCTTGACCTGGCATAGCACTAAAAATATAAAATACTGACATTTTGTAAGTAATCCAAATACAACATTCAACAATATTATGGTGCAAGTAAGACACTAATTAAGACCCCTTGACTTCTCGACCCCTTTAGATATTAAGATGACATCTAGACCCCTTGACTCTTAGACCCCTTGTAAGATGACTTTTCGACCCCTGTTTCAAATGTTGGGCTTTAAAAGAACCGTAAATATATTTTGAAAATATTGAAAGACATATATATAATATTTTACTTTAATATGGTGGTGGTGATGATGATGATGATGATGATGATGATGATGATGATGATGATGATGATGATGATATATTAAATATATACAAAAGACAATTTTGTCTTCAGAATGATATATTTTGCTATATATGGTGGGTTAATGAAATACGTATTTTACGGTAAATCTTTTACTAAAGTAAAAACTTACTCGGATTTATCTCCTGGGTCAGCAACATTAAGATGGGAGCTTGGTTCCCACCATACAGGACCGGAACCAGTAGAATAACCTTTGATGTTTGGACTGTATACTTTTAGAATATCTGAAGAGAAAACAGACTTCGAATAGTTAGCTCAAAGACTTTTGTAATAAAAAAGACATACGTTCATGTGCAAAATACCAACTTGGTCGTTTATCCTTAAACTCAACTAAACGAAGACTTGAAAACGAAGACTTAAAGTCATCACAATACCCTGTTATTTTGAGTCCTGTTCAAAATAGCTTCAAGTGATAAAAAAATATATTTTAAGAAGGTTACCTTAGTTTTTGACAATAACAAATTATAATAGATAGCCAACCAAATATAATATCCGTATCAAATATATGTCTTACTTGGAATAGTTTCCTCTTCATTCACTGTTTTATCACCACCGACACTAGAAAATAAAATATTTCATTATTTGGACGTCTGTATTTATTTCTAATTAATGCAAAAGATTTTCAGTCCGTCCGTCTTCCAAATTATTTTCAAATGAGTTGAAATATTTACCACATCAGTAGAGCTATATACATTGTACATCTATGTGAACTTTAGTGTTAAAAATATTTAATGCAGATATACATGTACTCAACATTTTTTTTATATTGTTTGCCAATCAAAACAAAATGTATAAAAAACATATATTTTTGTGCTCTATTTGTTCTGCGTTTTATTCTTGCAGTCAAGTGGCACTACATCTGTTTGAATGACTCTAGAATGGACTGTACTAGTGGGACAGGTAACATACCTCCATGATAAACCTCTGTCTTCCTGCAGAAGTCCAAGCACCGTTCCTGCGGTGATGCCTGTTCCAGCCTATATTATATAATAACATCATATTTTAATGATATTGGTTATCTATATTATATAATAACATCTTATTTTAATGATATTGGTTATCTATATTATATAATAACATCTTATTTTAATGATATTGGTTATCTATATTATATAATAACATCTTATTTTAATGATATTGGTAATCTATATTATATAATAGCATCGTATTTCAATGACATTGGTAATCTACGAGTGATTTATATAGCATTGTTTATGTTTTCTTTTTATAAAGTGATTTTCAAGATAAATCTTATTTCTTATTCGTTGCATTGTGTATGTGTTCTTTACTTATCTAAGGAATTATAGGAAAATACTGCAAAGTTAAAGTTGTTACAAACCAAACAATTTCATCATAAAGTAAGCATGTCAAAAATCGAATCTCAATTATACACTGCCGGAGTGTTTGTGTTGTAAATATTTTAAATGTCCATGTAAATTATGATCTTATCGGCGTTCACTTATGACATGATGCAATTCACTTGTGACATGATGTAGTTCACTTATGACATAAAGCAGTTCACTTGTGACATGATGCAGTTTACTTGTGACATGATACACTATACTAGAAGTAATCGTTGCGCAAATATTGCTTTACAATAGAGCTGCAGTCTCATTTTAAATGGCTAGGTGAGAAAATAATTATTAATTTTATATAAATTCAAAGTATAATCATAATTTATATACACACCGTGATAGAGTCACCTAGAGCACCTATAACACTGACGTCCATTGGTCTCAATTTGTGTACTGAAAACAATAAGAATTCCTAATTTAATTGGGTGAGATATTTTTTGTTTAAATTATACCATGGCAATGCCATATAAATATTTTAAAAATAGCTCTATAAATCTGACGGCTTATAAACTATTGCTATTATAACGACCGTTTGATGTGTGTGCGGTAGATAATAAAACACTGTCAACATATATCTTAATATATTTATAAACTTTCTTGATTATTACAGAAAAATCAAAACTGATATATAAGAAAGTTGAGACATTAAAATGTAAACAAAGTTAACAATTTAAAGTAAACGAGCCAAAACTTCTTCATGAAAGTAACTAAATAAGGTACACGTAAGATAATTTCTTATGAATTAATTACCGCTTTGGTTGATCCCTGTTGTAAACGCTCTGATTTTAATTAAGTGCCTTTTAGAGAACTGAATGTTTCATAATAGTTTCCAACGCACCATTTGTACCATAAGTAATGTACGGACGGAAAATTTACCCGTTGGTACATTATTTAAAGCACTAAGTGGGGCTTGCAAACTTGTAAGAAACACTTCGCTCTCTAAAAGGCTCTCTAATCAACGCGTTTACAACAGGGATATATGAGCCGTGTCATGACAAAACCAAAACTCTCACCTGAGGTCGTCTTAGTCTGTGGTTGTGGGAACGCTTTGCAAGGAAATGTTTCACTGATTCGCAGATTCTGGAGAGAAATTTTAAAATGTATCGTAGGTATATGATAGACTTAATAATTTTTCTCAATGCCTTTCTTTGTTTTGTGGTTTGTTTATTTTGATGAAATCTGACGATCAATATTGAAAAAAATGTAAGGATAATTTGAATTATTTTTGAAACGAATCTCTTGAGAGTTTTTTTTCCACTTGAGCGTGACTTTATCCTCATTATGGCGACATCTGACGACAAGAGCATCGTAATTATAAACGAAACAGGAAGTTTACAGATTGTTCATATATGACCCCTATTGTTGCATTCCGATAACTCGTTAAGATTGTTTCTGATAAAACGTACAGATGCAGACGACAGAAGAACAGATTATGAATTCTTTACAAATATGTTAATCATATCAAGATTTTCTTTTTGTTAATATTAAGTTCCGGTTACGTGTCACTGTTGTTAAAGAGTAAACAGTCAAACTGTTATAAGTTTGCTATTCGTTAACATCCAGATTGAGGTAATCCCCTGTATCAAAATCGCATCACCCCATACTTACTTACGTGATTCTTTGGTCAGAGATGATTGGTGACAATACAATATTTTAACACAATATATTAATATATAATAAGAGGATATTTTTTCGTTTGCGTGAAATATGGAATATATTTTCACGAAACATGATAAAATGCCACATATTTTCACGAGCCGGTACGGCGAGTGAAAATATGTGGCATTTTATCATGTTGAGTGAAAATATAAACCATATTTCACGAAAAACGAAAAAATAACCTTTTTATTTAATTTCATTATCAAAGAAAATGGTAACGAATCCCTTTGCTTGCTACCAACTGCAATTGTACAGCGCGCAGTAATTTATGCGTAAGCACGCGCTGTTTGGCGCTACATTGTGACGTCATGTAAACAACCATTTAAATGTCTGTAGAGCGTTAATTACTGAATTAAAGATATTGGTGTTCGGATTAATTTTCTTAGTTAGACCATTTTCTATCATGCTAGATAGTTTTCAAAACAATATTCAAGAAAAAGTTGTTTTGTATTAATCAGATTTTTCAAACAAAACGGCGAAAGAAGTCCCTTAAAATAAATATGAGTTTTGACTCCGCCCACTTTCATATTTATATTTCATATTTATTTTTAAAAAATATGAAATATATTTGACTGATATAGCACCATATTTCATGGGTAAAATTAAATAATAAGAGGATATTTTTTCGTTTCGTGAAATATGGAATATATTTTCACGAAACATGATAAAATGCCACATATTTTCACGAGCCGGTACGGCGAGTGAAAATATGTGGCATTTTATCATGTTGAGTGAAAATATATATCATATTTCACAAAAAAAAACGAAAAAAAAAACCTTTTTATATTTAATTTCATTATCAAAGAAAATTTTTTGGTAACGAATCCCCTAGCTTGCTGCCAACTGCAATTGAACAGCGCGCAGTAATTTATGCGTAAGCATGCGCTGTTTGGCGCAACATTGTGACGTCATGTAAACAACTCTTTAAACGACTGTACAGCGTTAATTACTGAATTAAAGATATTGGCGTTCGGATTAATTTTCTTAGTTAAACCATTTTCTATCATGCTAGATAGTTTTCAAAACAATATTCAAGAAAAAATTGTTTTGTATTTATCAGATTTTTCAAACAAAACGGCGAAAGAAGTCCTTTAAAATAAATATGAGTTTTGACTCCGCCCACTTTCATATTTATATTTCATATTTATTTTTAAAAAATATGAAATATATTTGACTGATATAGCACCATATTTCATGGGTAAAATTAAATAAAACTGATTATTATATACTTATAAATGAAATATTGAGAAATATTGATGAAATAAAATGCGTATTTTCATTTTCCGTATTTTCACTGTAAAAATTTATTTTTTACTGCAGTGAAACATATTTTCCGTATTTTCACTGGTGTCTTGCCGGACTACTTTCTTTTAAATTCTGCCAGTACTCAATATTTATGGGAAAGTCTTTCAAATTTTAATGTCCAGAAAGAGAAAAATGTATATAATAAACCGAAAATTCAAGTTTTTTCTATAAATACATGATTTATTTTCATCTTGTGGTATGAAAATTACCATATTTCACTCGTGGCTACCGCCACTCATGAAATATTTATTTTCATACCACTCGATGAAAATAAATCATGTATTTATAGAAAAAACTTGAATATCCTCTATTTATTTTTATGTCTTAATTTTTGTTGTTATAAAATTTATGAAAAATTAAAAAGAGAAACTATGGAGAATAAAGTATACCTTATCATGGTCCTGAAACTGACTCAAGTGTTTCTCGAACATACGGACGAATGTTGCATTCTTTGATTGCTGGCGGACAAACTCCTCATACTTGGCATAATCAGCACCTGTTAGATATAATAGTTCAAACAAAATGTTAGCAATACATATGAAATACATAAACAATATATATTTATATCTGAAGATCCATTTAACGGATATGAAACTAGGCTGTATTTCTCTTAAATTTCTATAATATTTTTGCTAATAATTAATTACAATGTAAATCGGGAAATGCATCACTTTTCCCCCTTATTTTTCCGTATTATTTGAAACTACATTTTATATATATGGCGACAAAATATTTTTCAACATTTGGGAGAAATGAAGAATTACGGACAATTCTTTTAAAGATCTCTTTGATAAAATATTAAAATAGATATAAATACATCTTAAATTAATTCTTCTATTCATTTATGTTATCACGTTTTCGAACTGGAATATTTCTTTACCTTTCAATAATTGATTATGTGTGACACTAAAAAGAGTTGTATATTGTATATATTGTATATATTGCACGTTAAAGGGGGTAATAATGAAGACGTACAATATTGTATTTATTTATCATTGTGTCAGTGGCTTCACAAAATATATTTTCGCAAATAATGTTGAACTGCATAATTATACATGTATTGTGAAAACCGTGTTCCAACTTTAGGCGTTTTATTAGCTTTATCAGATATAAGACTTCTAATTTATTCGCTTATAATACAAACAAATAAAATCTATTTTTGGCAGTCGCACTCGATTGTAACACTGACTTTAAAATTCGGTTAACGCGGCCTCCATTTACGTACATGTATTTATCCAATATAAGACTAAATTAAATAGTATCAGGTCAATATTTAGCAGACGATTTTTTTTCTTACGACATGTTTCCTTTCTTAAATCATAGTAAAAATACACATTAAGATGTATAATTTTATACGTATACTATAATAGAAATGATTTATAAATGTAAAATGGTTTGAATCTCTTACCCACACAGCCGAGGGTTATAAGCCCTAGAAAGCAATAGATCCAGATCATTTTTCAAATGTTAAATGTCCAGATTTGTGCAGTATAATGTTTATCCATCCACGATTTTATTACAATTATATAACTTATATATTGTATCGCTATCTAAAATTAACACCTTCTATCATATCATATTGTCCCGTGATAACATTATATATCATTACATCTCCCTCGTAATCAACGTTTAACTTGTACCCATTGTCAACAATAGCGCAGTTTCAGTTACAAAACATCAACCTACATGTATCATATTGTCATATGACTTCCTCACGTGGACTACCTGCCCTTGTATGCCAATAAAAAAACGCGTCAACCGTATTACGTACTATATCGTAGCAAATAATCTTGAACTATAGTTAACCGATATCTAACCATGAGAGAAAATATTGGTTTCACTTGGGGCCAATGTAATGTACGATTTAACCCATTGCTTCATGAGCATTTTGTGAAAAATGGCTGTTTTCATTGAAAAGTCTCCCGTTACAAGTTCAAATTGCTATAATACTATAAAAACTGCTTCAACACTAATCAAACTTGGCACAAATGTTGACTGGACCATTGTCCTTGCAACAACATGCTCAGGCTTAAATTTTCTGTTACCATGGCAACGAGGGGACATCTCAAAATTGCCAAAATCACTATTTTGCGTTGATTTTTTCCATCAAAATTGATTTCAAAGTGCTGCAACTTCTCAATGGATTGAGATAGAGTCAAATGCTTTTCAGCGTTGGTTACACGTTACCTTATGATCAATCTGGGGTCATTTACAGCCTCTCACAAGTCCAAAATTTTCTTGGCGATGAGGGGGACTCCGCCCCCCTTCAAACCCCCCAAACAGAAGGGGGCACATCCCCCTTCTGGCAACCCCCTGATGTATCTTTTGGTTGGGGGGCCGCGCCGAAAAAAGGGTCACTTTTTTTAACAACATTTCTCAAACAAAAACAAGTGTTTGGGGCCTAAATAAGGCATTTTTTCATCATTTGAGACAACAAAAAGGGGGGGGGTGAAAAAGGCGTTAAAAGGCGTGTATATGAAGTAATGGGTTAACAGAAAATGATGAAAATACTTGAAATTACCCTAAATCGCGTTTTTTCATGTTTAAACATGGCCTGTCATATAAATTTGAAGAAAAATTGTTGTTTTGTAGATTTTTTTATTTTTTTCATTAACCCATTGCTTCATGAGCATTTTGTGAAAAATGGCTGTTTTCATTGAAAAGTCTCCCGTTACAAGTTCAAATTGCTATAATACTATAAAAACTGCTTCAACACTAATCAAACTTGGCACAAATGTTGACTGGACCATTGTCCTTGCAACAACATGCTCAGGCTTAAATTTTCTGTTACCATGGCAACGAGGGGACATCTCAAAATTGCCAAAAATCACTATTTTGCGTTGATTTTTTCCATCAAAATTGATTTCAAAGTGCTGCAACTTCTCAATGGATTGAGATAGAGTCAAATGCTTTTCAGCGTTGGTTACACGTTACCTTATGATCAATCTTGGGTCATTTACAGCCTCTCACAAGTCCAAAATTTTCTTGGCGATGAGGGGGACTCCGCCCCCCTTCAAACCCCCCAAACAGAAGGGGGCACATCCCCCTTCTGGCAACCCCCTGATGTATCTTTTGGTTGGGGGGCCGCGCCGAAAAAAGGGTCACTTTTTTTAACAACATTTCTCAAACAAAAACAAGTGTTTGGGGCCTAAATAAGGCATTTTTTCATCATTTGAGACAACAAAAAGGGGGGGGGGTGAAAAAGGCGTTAAAAGGCGTGTATATGAAGTAATGGGTTAAGAGCATGGCAATTCAACATGCATGTTTTTACCTTATGTATCCTTTAGGGGTAAACTTTTAGCAGGGATAAACTTTTAGCAGGGATAAATTATTTTTAGCAGGGATAATAGCTGGAAGAGAATACTAAAATAAATATGATCGTACGAGAAATTTACTGTATCCAGTCGAGTACTAAAGATATAAACCATAAAAAAACGGAAGCTCCTGTAATTAACTCATATTTTATGGTTTTATATAATAAAATAAAACATAATGCCCAAATGAAGATTTATCAATATTGTAAGTTCCAAAAAGCATTATTTGTAAAGATATTACCAAATTTACATTTCATGTTAATAATGGGAGGTAATTAGAAATTTATTTTCTATAAAGTCGAAGTCAATTTTTTCATTTCGAAATAAATGCATATATTTTAATGATTACATATAACAAATTTTTGCAGTACATATTTTATTTATTCTTCAATGTTTGAAAATTGTTTAAGAAGCATAATTATATACATATGTAAAATTTCACTTAAATGTGGTAACAACCTTAATTACAACATACAGGATCTTTAAACGAGCATCTGCGCGTAATCAGTAGTGCTTAATTAACGTTCAGTTAATAATCAGCTGTTCATTGCGTCCAAATCTTGTATTCGATAAAGGTGTCTCTTGCTAAGATCATAATTTGATGACCCTTTATTACAGCTGGCAGGGGTAATTAGCCACACACACGTCGGATCAGATGGTAAAATTGTGTAATACATACGTAATTTACATGCGAGGAACTGCTGTGTAACAAATGAGTGAAATATATTTACTGTTACCTAAACGTGTCCCCCCGGGGTCATAATCTGTATTATACCGCGGCACGCGGAATCCCAGTCAGACCTTTCCGGCCCTTTCCAAGTATTATCAAATAAGAAATTTACGTCTTCCATGCATACATAACGATCGACGCCCTCAAATATTAGCATAAGATAGGTTCAGTTCGATTATAGGCTTATAAGGATTTCTTTAAGGATTCTGTATTTATCTATTTTATGATCACATCCGTGTTATTTGTGCCGTGTGGCGGCTTTAAAAAGTCTCCCCGTACATTTAATCAATGATGTTATATTTGTTATATTTTCGATTCTTGAAGATCGTTCAGCACGACATTATTGTTGTGCTTGTGGTATTTTTAGTTTCAACTTTTCGGCATTTTCTAGTTGGGTGGTTCCAATATTCCTACTTGAATAATGTTGAATCACCCTTAGGATATGTTGCCTGCTTTTTAAATTTGTCTTTTGACGTCTTATCTGTGATACGCAGGCTTCTTAACCTCTGATCCCCTTACAAAATTCCATTTTATTTAGTTCCGTTCATTGTTTTCTCGTTTAGGGAACAAGCTTTTTATTACTTGGGGACCATACGTCGCTTTTCATGAAATGGCACAGAAGTGCCACATTGAAGGTTCCATGAAAACCGCCGTATGAACACATCTGCGGGTGTTTCTTAATTCAAAATTTTACTGTTTCAGGTTTAAATGTTGAATTCTGCTTAAGCCGGTGCTATGGGGCGTGGACGGTAACTTGCACTTTCCAGTACCGTCCATGAACAGGCTCAATCAAACCGAGCCTGCAACATTTTCAATTTTGCCGTGTTGGGCTTTCTTTACGGATTCTGTATTTATCTTTTTTATGATCACATCCGTGTTATTTGTGCCGTGTGGCGGCTGTAAAAAGTCTCCCCGTACATTTAATCAATGATGTTATATTTTCGATTCTTGAAGATCGTTCAGCACGACATTATTGTTGTGCTTGTGGTATTTTTAGTTTCAACTTTTCGGCATTTTCTAGTTGGGTGGTTCCAATATTCCTACTTGAATAATGTTGAATCACCCTTAGAATATGTTGCCTGCTTTTTAAATTTGTCTTTTGACGTCTTATCTGTGATACGCAGGCTTCATAACCTCTGATCCCCTTACAAAATTCCTTTTTATGTAGTTCCGCTCATTGTTTTCTCGTTTAGGGCACACGCTTTTTATTACTTGGGGACCATACGTCGCTTTTCATGGAATGGCACAGAAGTGCCACATTGAAGGTTCCATGATAACCGCCGTATGAACACATCTGCGGGTGTTTCTTAATTCAAAATTTTACTATTTCAGGTTTAAATGTTGAATTCTGCTTAAGCCGGTGCTAGGGGGCGTGGACGGTAACTTGCACTTTCCAGTACCGTCCATGAACAGGCTCAATCAAACCGAACCTGCAACATTTTCAATTTGGCCGTGTTGGGCTTTCTTTACGGATTCTGTATTTATCTTTTTTATGATCACATCCGTGTTATTTGTGCCGTGTGGCGGCTGTAAAAAGTCTCCCCGTACATTTAATCAATGATGTTATATTTTCGATTCTTGAAGATCGTTCAGTACGACATTATTGTTGTGCTTGTGGTATTTTTAGTTTCAACTTTTCGGCATTTTCTAGTTGGGTGGTTCCAATATTCCTACTTGAATAATGTTGAATCACCCTTAGAATATGTTGCCTGCTTTTTAAATTTGTCTTTTGACGTCTTATCTGTGATACGCAGGCTTTTTTTTTTTTTTTAGCTTTTCCAGCCCCATTATTGAAAAATCATTTACTGTGTGGTCGTTCGTATAAAAGCTATACGGGAATGAACAATACAGAAAAACAATAGAAAATTTGTGGAAAAATAAATTAAGAACCTATAGACCGTATGGAGTTAATACAAAAGAATAACGCGGCAGACGGCAACCAACGCCACGGCGGGCGTCGTTCATTGACGTTACGTCACTTCCATTGTTTTGTTTGATATATTTGTATGTGAAATAAATGCTGCTGAAGAAGGCCGCAAGGCCGAAAGCTACGGCAAATTTAAATTAGCGTTTTTGCTTATATATATATATATATATATATATATATATATATATATATATATATATATATATATATATATATATATATAATATATATATATATATATATATATATATATATATATATATTATATATATATATATATATACTGTGGTCAGCATGTGAGTGTTGGGATAGTGTAAAAAAAGTAATTCTAGAAAAAAATATATACTGTATATATAATATATAGAGTGTAAAAAGTAATTCTATAAAAAAAATATTATACTGTATATATAATATATAGACTATATGAGCCGTGTCATGACAAAACCAACCTTATGTGTTTGCGACCAGCATGGATCCAGACCAGCCTGCGCATCCGGGCAGTCTGATCAGGATCCATGCTGTTTGCTATCAGTTTCTTTTCTGTATAGGGTTTGTATTAGCGAACAGCATGGATCCTGATCAGACTGCGCGATGCGCAGGCTGGTCTGGATCCATGCTGGTCGCAAACCCACTATGTTGGTTTTGTCGTGACATGGCTCATATATTATATATAAACAGTATTTTTTTTTCTAGAATAACTTTTTTACACTATCCCAACACTGTGCTGGGTCCCTGTGTGTGAATTCGGGAAAATCAAGATGTCAACATTGAAAAAATTGGGTGCCGTTTTTTATCAAAATAGAATAGATTGTACATATAATTTGTGTGAAGCAAAAATTATAATTATATAGATCTAGCAGTTCTATCTAAAAGATCTTCTAAAATACATTTATTGTGATACTGCTATTTTGCTTCTTTTTACGTAGGCCAAGAAAGAAAGTTTGCTTAATAGCAACAGGAACGTGTTTTATATTCGTCTAGATACTTTCCTAGACTTTTTATGGTTAAATACTAAACTACCATATACAATTTCTGGCTGCATGTATCTATGAATTATACAGTCCTGTACATTATATCAATAGATATACATGTTTTTAGTCAAATAGATCTACATGATTTTAAGAAGATCCATAATTATTAACATGTAGATCTTATTTGTATAGTGTACAGTATAAAGTATAACATACACATTATTTATAACATGTAATATAGATAATTAAATGATATACATGTACATGTTTGATCGAGAAGAGTCTAGAGCACTTTCGGTTTCGATTTTGAAGTTATTTTTAGCTACACTGACCTAATTTTTATCGGAAATCCCAAGAATGTTCTGGAATAATGCGTCACTTCCGTCGAACGTTCTAGATTAACCGATTTCCTACACCTATAAATTAGTGTGATCTTACATCCGTCAAGTAGTACTGGTGAAGAAAATAATATTGCGTGGTGAATTACGATATATTATATTGACTTATACCTGAATACGTTATAATTTAGTTTTAGAAGACGGAAATACTTCATTGATTTGAGCAATAATCTCTGATTACATATATTTTTTACTACCCGGCAATTGATTATTTTCCTACGCGAACACGCTTATTGACTGCAACCGGCGTGTGTATCAGTCAGAAACGCTACAGATTGAACAGGGCGAAGCTCGTTTAGTTGCGACAAAGAAAACACAACACATCTAAATGTAAGTTTGGAATAATTTTTACTATTCTTTACAGATCAATCCATTTTAATTTAAAATAATAATAGTAGATCTATTGTTTTTGTATGTGATTCAATGAGAAAAAAGGTTAAAATTGGCAGGAAAAAAAAACACGTGCGACCGGCATTTGTCAATTTTTTGAAAGCAAGTAATCGTTGAATTTTGTCGGATTCGATTGTATTTCTTTTTGAAATTTGTACTGATGTAATGCACAATTTATTGTTTTCCTAAATATCTAAATGTATCTTTATGATTCAGTTAGTTATGGACAGTGATCAGCGTGCTTGAACACGCATTTTGTCCTAACGTGGGCTTGTAATGGTACTGGTAGCATTGTCCTTGTATTTTTTTACCTATTTTATATATTTAATAAGGATGTAAATGAATTTGTCTCTCCCTACCTAATTGTGATATACAATTAGTATTTTTATTTCAGATGCCTGAACAACAAAATATGGAAGATGGCGAAACTGAAACCTTCGCATTCCAGGCGGAAATTGCTCAGCTTATGAGCTTGATTATCAACACCTTTTATTCCAATAAAGAAATCTTCCTCAGAGAATTGATCTCCAACAGTTCTGATGCTCTTGATAAGATTAGATATGAAAGTCTCACGGATCCATCCAAGCTGGACAGTGGGAAAGAATTGTACATCAAGATCATCCCAGACAGAGAAAGGAACACACTGACCCTCATTGATACTGGTATTGGAATGACCAAGGCTGATCTTGTCAACAACCTTGGTACCATCGCAAAGTCTGGAACGAAAGCCTTCATGGAAGCCCTCCAGGCTGGAGCTGATATATCTATGATTGGTCAGTTTGGTGTAGGTTTCTACTCTGCTTACCTTATTGCAGACAAAGTGACCGTTGTCTCCAAGAATAATGATGATGAAGGTTACACTTGGGAATCTTCTGCTGGTGGATCATTCACAATTAAACCAAACCATGGTATGTGCAATATTGTGTATTCATACAAGTTGTAAATAATCGGTAGAAAATTTGAAGTTACTTTAGAAATTTTCTTTAGCTTAATGAAATGGTATATACTAGATGGTTCTTAAATTTATCTGTCTTCCTTGGCGTCAAATTCCAAACTGGTTAAGTGGACAGACTTGGTAGAATATAAATTGCCTAACAGGGCTCACACTGGCTCAAATAAAATAATAGCCAATAATTTCAACTTAAAAAAATAATAGCCAAAAGTTCAGCGGACTATTCACGAATTAGCGATTAACAGCATAAACAGTTGATTAAATAAACATTACATATATAAATTTTTTTAGTTTTATAAGGATTCTCAAATAAACTGATACATTTGTGTATATTGATAACTACCTTTTTGCGACGGACGCGCCCTCAGGCGCGTTCAGAGCTAAGTCATCTACATGGGATTTCGTCTGCTACACTCGCGCAAAGTGTCCTCAACCGATTAACAGCCCAAGAAAAAGTACATGAATTTGATCCTTTAAAACTCCCATACTATGTGTGGATATCATAAAATCTTCCATATTTAGCCTTTTCAATTTCAAATTAAGTTATCCAAGTTAAAATATGGACGTATATGATTGATAAAAACGTTGTAGTCCCGTAGTATTATTGCGCAATTATGCAAATTACTGCGATTTACCGCTGTCGAAAAAGTAGGACAGCAAATTATACTATAATAAAGGTGTAAGCTCTGAGTTCCAAGAAATTATTAGTAGGAAATAAATATTTCTACATTATACAAAACATTATTATTAACAAATCAAAAGTTTTTTGGACTCTAGAATAACTCGCGCATTAATAAAAGAAGAACTATTTTCGTGACTCATACCGCGGGTTTAGCTGAATATTCAGCAGTTATTAATAAATTAGATACATTTTCTAGGTCACGATATGAGTTAACCATCGCTATTCTAAAAATAGATTCTGCTTTACCTGTGCTGATTTTCGGACAGTAGGGAGTACACATTATACATGTTATAAACCAGCGGATACTTACTTTGTTCACATGCAATTACTTTTAGAAATTCTATACAATTGTAAGAAGCAAACAAGTTGAAAATGTAATTTAGTGTGAAAATGAAAAGGACAACTAAACACTATAGTGCTTTTAAAAAAAAATTGTGACATTTAGATTAAAATAAAAACGATGTGCTCTGGCCCTTGCAAATAAAAGAAATCTAAAAAAATACGGTGACTATTAATTTGCTGATGATTTTAACCAAAGATATTTTTAATGAGACGTACATATCAAAAGAAATAAAAATACAAATGACTTATATTTTATTGTCTATATGCCCACTATGTTAAAACACGAAGCAATTTAAATAACATTCTCACATGTATAATCACGGATTTATCCGTGGTATAATGTATTATGCTTGAAGTCTATTTGCATGGTTTTATTTTAGAAATATGTTGTTGAAAGTTTTTTTTCCATTTACATATCATTTCTTGGAATAAATCGATAATGACACTGATTTACAAGTTTGACCAGGGTTTTAGGCATATATTTCATTCTGCTTGAAAGTAGAAAATCTGGATTATATCAGATTGGGACACAAAATATATTGCTCCTTGTATGGAACAAATTTTCTCTGTTATAGATTCCTATATTTTGTGTTTTATTTTTTTTCTAAATAACCCTAAATGTCTCCCCGGTTGCATGTCCGTCGCATTCAGTGCTGCAGCACTTTGATTTTAAATAGAACCACAACTTTAATTGTTATTATAGAACAGAATAAAAACGTTATAATTAGTATAATTACTGTATAACAATAATATTAAAGATTCATTATAACTTTACATAATGCTGTTATCAGACAACTTTTTTTTGTTTGTTCTAATCAATTTTGTCAGCTATAACCACTGTCAATTTCCACATTTCACACAGAACTGGAGTAGATCTAGGTCATATTAGCCTATAGAAATAACACAAGTTTGCAAACTCATTCACAGAATGCAGCCTTTTTTCTGAATAATTTACTGAAAAATATCATCATCACCAATGTAATACAAATTTTCTGCCATAGTAGTAAAGATTTTTAAACAGAACATAGCTTATTTCACCTTTAAATAAATATCAAAATTATCGGTGTCGCGAAAATATGTGACAATCGGATTTTTCCTGTTTTCTGAAGAAATATTTACAATTTTGGTTGTTTTGCAAATAGTTGTTTGGAAGTTAATACTTTTTAAATATTTTACCATTGTTTTCCACTGGCGATTTAGTCAAATAGCTTAAAACAAATAAAAATCAAAATTCGCAATTACTGCATTTCACGGTAAATTTTGGGTAAGTCAATATCCAGTTTATCAATTTTAAAACGATTTTTTGTGGCTAATTGACGGATATTTGATGGCTATTATAAATGCTGGACAATATCTTTAAAGTACTTATACAATTATACATCTCGCATGTATTTTTTCACCTCGGGCAGCTGCACGTGACCGGTAAAAAGTTGACACTCAATTAAATGCACCCCGCTGGTGTTAATTGGGTCTACTGCATTCATTATCGATTTTTACACCTTATATAAACACTGTTGGAAGTAAAAATTAATCGCCAGATTTTGTAGCCAAAATGCAAAAATAATCGCCAATCTTATAAAATAATCGCAAATGGCGACTATGGCGACCGACAGCGTGAGCCCTGGCCTAATCAATATAATGAAATTTAACTCTTTTAAAGTTGTAGATTAATTTATAGATGTTAATATATAAGAAAAAACCTAGTATGTTTTAATTTTAATGATTCTTGTATGAATTAATGACAATTATAAAAGCATGTGTGTATATTTTGACATTCTTATCTGTACAGATACACCATTTGAGCGTGGAACAATGATCACCCTTCAGATCAAAGAGGATCAGGCAGAATATTTGGAAGAGAAGCGCATCAAAGAGGTAGTGAAGAAACATTCCCAGTTCATTGGCTATCCCATCAAGCTTGTTTGTGAAAAGGAAAGAGATAAGGAAGTCTCTGATGATGAAGAGGAGGAAGAAAAGAAAGAGGATGCTGCTGATGGTGAAGAGAAAAAGGTTTGTAATTGATATTGAATATTGTTTAAATTTGTCTGGTTAAAGCTGCATGTGGATGAGCCAGAATATTTAAAGAAAATCAAATCGATAAAAATGTACTAAGCTTTCAAGAAAGTAAAAAGATTCAACAAGTTTTATTACATGCTTTTCGGTGGTTTATAGAAATATATTGGTGAAATATAAAGCTGCGCCAATCGTGAAATATAACTTTTGGTGCTCACTCAATGAAATATATTCCGATTTTTACACTGAACTAAACAAATATCCTCTATATAATTCACATTTTATGTGCAATTAATGACTGATTTTAAGTATGTATCAGAATATTTCTACTTAGTGACTGAAGCTGTAATGGCTAAAATATTACTTCAATTTTTTGGCAATTAAATTGAATACTAAATGCAAGACCAGCAATGTGTAAATTACTTCTCTTCACAATTTTTGCAAGTCCAGCAATAACCAGGTTTTCAATTTTGAAAATCCTGGTTATTAGATTGGGGTATGGCGGGCGGATGGGCGGGCGTCAAACGAAATTGTGTCCGCTCTGTAACTCTTCAACCCTTTGAAGAATTTTGATGAAACTTCAGACAAATGTTACCACATCAAGATGACGTGCAGAAACGCATGTTCCGCATGGCTGCTCCAAGGTCAAGGTCACAGTGACATTAACATGAAAATCCTGTCCGCTCTGTAACTCTTCGAAAACCCTTTTGAAGAATTTTGATGAAACTTCAGATCAAATGTTTACCACATCAAGATGAACGTGCAGAACGCAGTGTTCCGCATGGCTGGCTCCAAAGGTCAAGGTCACAGTGACATTAACATTGAAAAATCCTGTTTACATGATTTTAAACTTCGGGCGTCAAAACGAAATTGTGTCCGCCTCTGTAACTCTTCAAACCCTTTGAAGAATTTTGATGAAAACTTCAGACAAATGTTTACCCATATCAAAGATGACGTGCCCAGAACGGCATGTTGCCGCAGGGCTGGCTCCAAGGTCAAGGTCACAGTGACATTAACATTGGAAAATCCTGTCCGCTCTGTAACTCTTTCACCCTTTGAAGAATTTTGATGAAACTTCAGACAAATGTTTACCACATCAAGATGGACGTGCAGAACGCATGTTCCGCATGGCTGGCTCCAAGGTCAAGGTCACAGTGACATTAACATTGAAAAATCCTGTTTACATGATTTTAAACTTGATTTGGCAGTCAAAGGTCATATCATCTTTGGAGGTAATTTAAAAAAGATATGATATATTATTTCATGTCTACTTTGTAACTTGTTTTTCATTATACAGAATTAATCAAATATAATTATAGTGAACAAATTCTTCTGTGCTGAACTCGTCCTACATTTCTCAACGGATTTTGTTCAAACTTTCACAGAAGCTTTGTTCATCAGCACCCTGGCACATATGTGCGGGGTTTTGTGATTGGGATAGTTTTTGACCTAATTATGGCCCTTTGTTTTTTTCCTTATACTTAATATTATAGTGAACACTTCTTCAGTGGCAATTCCTCCTACATTATTCATGTTTTACATTGCACATAGTTACATTGTTTGTTGCTTGTATTTGTATTTCAAATACAACATATTTATCTACAATGGTGATAATTGAAAACCTGGTTTCATGGCATTGCCATGTTTCTTGTTTGCTTTTAAATACGTTATCCAAAAAATTCATGAAAATAAGCTTGAATCTGAAGGCTGCTGCTTTAAGTAATGCAAAGTTTTTAACTGTAATTTCAATAATTTTTTTTTGTAACCACAAAACTTTCCGGATAGGTCAGGTCAGTTTGAGCAAGATCTAAAAAATTTTAATCCTATTGCTTTCAGGAGGAAGACAAGCCCAAGGTAGAGGATCTTGATGAAGATGAGGAAGATGATGATAAAAAAGACAAAAAGAAGAAAAAGAAGATCAAGGAAAAGTACCAGGAAGATGAAGAATTAAATAAGACCAAGCCACTTTGGACCAGAAATCCCGATGACATCACACAAGAGGAATATGGAGAGTTCTACAAGTCACTCACCAATGATTGGGAAGATCATTTAGCCGTGAAGGTACTGCACATATTGTTTTCTATTACTTTGTTGTGGTCATTGTTGCCCAACATCATTATTGCCATAGGGTTTATTCAATAGTAACATTAATTTGTAATATAAAGCATTATTTACAGTTTTTCAGTTAAGATTTCTAAAATAAGATGATAAATACTTTATAATGTTTTGATGTATTTAAACACTGGCACAACAAAGATGTTGCTGTCAATTTATTTTTCTAACCGTAACATTTTATTTCTTGTTACAGCACTTCTCCGTTGAAGGCCAGCTTGAATTCCGTGCTCTTCTGTTTGTTCCAAAGAGAGCTCCATTCGACATGTTTGAAAACAAAAAGAAAAAGAACAATATCAAACTATATGTGAGAAGAGTTTTTATCATGGACAATTGTGAAGAATTGATTCCAGAATATTTGAACTTTATGAAGGGAATAGTAGACTCTGAGGACCTTCCTTTAAATATTTCAAGAGAAATGTTGCAACAGAGTAAAATCCTCAAGGTCATTCGCAAAAATCTTGTAAAGAAATGTATGGAACTCTTTGATGATTTGGTAGAAGACAAAGATAACTACAAAAAATTCTATGAACAGTTTGCCAAGAATCTCAAGGTAAAGCATAGTTTTTATCTATATTACGGTATCCATAGTAAAAATAATTTAGTGTACAATTAACAAGAGCTTTAAAATTTATAACATTTGAAAGACTTAAAAAGAACTATTTTGTGTGAAAAGTCTTGTAATGTATAACATTTGAATATTTTGGTTTTTACAGCTTGGTATCCATGAAGATTCAACAAACAGAAAAAAGATTGCCAACTTCCTTAGGTACCATACTTCACAGTCTGGTGATGAAATGTCCTCATTGAAGGAGTATGTATCCAGAATGAAGGAAAACCAGAAAGATATCTATTACATTACAGGTACACATATATTTTTTTTTGAAATTTTACATTTTCAAGCATGCAGGTTTAAATTTAATTTTGTGTTACAGTAAGGGAAAAGAATAAAATAAAATTAATAACCAAAATTTGATAATGGCAATGGTCCATTTTAACAATACTTCAAAATGTAACAGTTGGCCCAATATATTTTTCGGGAAAAATAATGTATAAAAATTTAACTTCTATTTCAGGTGAAAGCAAGGAAGTTGTACAGTCCTCTGCTTTTGTTGAGCGTGTAATCAGCCGTGGTTTTGAAGTAGTCTACATGACTGACCCAATTGATGAATACTCTGTACAACAGCTTAAGGAGTTTGAAGGCAAGAACTTGGTATGTGTTACCAAGGAAGGTCTTGAACTCCCCGAGGACGAGGATGAGAAAAAGAAACGTGAAGAACAAACAGCTGAATTTGAAGGCTTGTGCAAAGTCATGAAGGAAATCCTTGACAAAAAAGTTGAAAAGGTATGTGCGTAAGGGATGTACTTTAAAGTAATTTCCGCTGCCACTCATAGAATACTGCTCATACATTTCTGTTTATCAAGAATCTAACCAAAACATATTCTGAAGCAGATGGCTATATCTACTATGCTGTCATTATGTAATGGGCATATTTCGTAACAGTGATGACCAAAAAGTCAGAAAAAATGTTTATGCAATGGGTATTTTAAAACTAATGACCGCTCTAAATATAACTTTAAAAGAAGCAGTGTTTTTAGCTCACCTGTCACAAAGTGACAGGGTGAGCTTTTGTGATCGCTTTTCGTCCGGCGTCTGTCCGTCCGTAAACTTTTACTTTAAATGACATCTCATAAACCACTTGGCCAATTTCATCCAAACTTCACAGGAATGTTCCTTTGGTGGTCACCTTTAAAAATTGTTCAAGGAATTTAATTCCATGCAGAACTCTGGTTGCCATGGCAACCGAAAGAAAAAACTTTAAATATCTTCTTTTAAAAAACCATAAGAGCTAGAGCTTAGATATTTGGCATGAAACATCTTCTAGTGAGTGTCTACCAAGTTTGTTCAAATAAAAGCCCTGGGGTCAAAATTGGCCCCGCCCCGGGGGGTCATTGATTTTCCCTATATGCATATAGTAAAAACTTAAAAAATCTTCTTTTAAAGAACCCAAAGAGCTAGAGCTAAGATATTTAGCATGAAACATGTTCTAATGGATGTCTACCAAGTTTGTTCAAATAAAAGTCCTGGGGTCAAAATTGGCCCCGCCCCGGGGGGTCATTGATTTTCCCTATATGCATATAGTTAAAACTTAAAAAATCTTCTTTTAAAGAACCAAAAGAGCTAGAGCTAAGATATTTAGCATGAAACATGTTCTAATGGATGTCTACCAAGTTTGTTCAAATAAAAGCCCTGGGGTCAAAATTTGCCCCGCCCCTGGGGGGTCATTGATTTTCCCTATATGCATATAGTAAAAACTTTAAAAAATCTTCTTTAAAAGAACCAAAAGAGTTAGAGCTAAGATATTTAGCATGAAACATGTTCTAATAAGTGTCTACCAAGTTTGTTCAAATAAAAGCCCTGGGGTCAAAATTGGCCCCGCCCCGGGGGGTCATTGATTTTCCCTATATGCATATAGTAAAAACTTAAAAAATCTTCTTTTAAAGAACTCAAAGAGCTATGGCTAAGATATTTAGCATCAAACATGTTCTAATAGGTGTCTACCAAGTTTGTTCAAATAAAAGCCCTGGGGTCAAAATTGGCACCGCCCAGGGGGTCATTGATTTTCCTTATATGTGTATACTCACTGTATAGCAAAAACTTAAAAAATCTTCTTTGAAAAAACCCAAATAGCTAGAGTTAAGATATTAAGCATGAAACATCTTTTAGTGAGTGTCTACAAAGTTTGTTCAAATAAAAGCCCTGGGGTCAAAATTGGCCCCGCCCCGGGGGTCATTGATTTTCTTTATATGTGTTTAGCAAAAACTTAAATATTCTTTGAAAAAAAACAAATAGCTAGAGTTAAGATATTAAGCATGAACCATCTTCTAGTAAGTGTCTACAAAGTTTGTTCAAATAAAAGCCCTGGGGTCAAAACTGGCCCGGCCCCAGGGGTGTCATTGTTTTTAACTATATGTGTATAGTAAAAACTTAAAAAAATCTTCTTTTAAAAAGCCCAATGAGCTAGAGCTTAGATGTTTAGCATGAAACATTTTCTTATGGGTGTCTACCAAGTTTGTGCAAATAAAAGCCCTTGGGTTAAATTGACCCTGCAACATTGGGGGTTGGGGGGACTATATACAGGTGAGCGACCTCGGGGCCATCATGGCCCTCTTGTTTAAGATTTTTAACCCTGTATAAATTTGAATTAAATTGATTTCAACATTTGTAATTAGATGAAAAAGTTTATTAATTTCATCAGACTATGAAAATTTTCCTAAGCATGTAGTCATTCTTAGTTTTTTGGTGTAATCCTCTTCACAGCATTTATATTATTTGTGTAAATGTCAGTATCGGGAGGAAATATTAAAGATCTTCTGGCGTTGATGGCTGGACTACTGTTCTTCCATTGTCATTAAGAAGGCAACAAGCAGTACTTCTGCTTTTAAATAAGTTTTTTATTAGCAATTTTTTGTTAAAGTTTGTTAAATAATGTTTTTATGTTACAGGTTACAGTATCAAATCGTTTGGTGAATTCCCCATGTTGTATTGTCACAAGTCAGTATGGTTGGTCAGCCAACATGGAGCGTATAATGAAGGCACAGGCCCTCCGAGATTCCAGCACCATGGGTTACATGGCAGCAAAGAAACATCTGGAAGTCAATCCAGATCACTCAATTATTAAAGCATTGAAGGACAAAGTTGGTGTAGATAAAAATGATAAATCAGTGAAAGATTTAGTTCTCCTGATGTATGAAACAGCTCTCCTAGCCTCTGGATTCTCCCTTGAAGAGCCAACAACCCATGCCAATAGAATCAACAGAATGATCAAACTTGGTCTTGGTAAGTGTTCTCGGCTTCTTTTCAATTTTGATTTGTAGATTGATGTGTAAAATTACCATTAGAATTTGGTAATTTTACAATGAAAGGTTTTTGAAAACCCCCTTCACGCAATTTTTATTTTTTTTGTGTTATGTCATATCGGGGGGAAATTTAAAGAGGGGGATGGTGGACACTGTTCTTCCCTTTCAAAAGGAAGATAGTCTTAAAAAATTCAGTTAAACTAGTAAATAATTGTTGAGTAAATCAATTTTGTTCCAATTGATTTATAAGAAAGGTGTAGAAATGTAATCCTCTTCACAGCATTTATATTATTTGTGTAAATGTCAGTATCGGGAGGAAATATTAAAGATCTTCTGGCGTTGATGGCTGGACTACTGTTCTTCCATTGTCATTAAGGAGGCAATAGCTGGTCTTATTTCAGTAACACTATTATATTATTGAGTAAATCACTGTTGTTCGAATTGATCAGTTTTTTATTGTGACGGTTATATATATAATATTTTTATATTACTTTGACAGGCATTGACGAGGATGATGTAGTTGTTCAAGAATCTGGTGAAGCTAACTCTGAAGAAATGCCCCCATTGGAAGGTGATGATGATGATGCTTCAAGAATGGAGGAAGTTGATTAATTGGAAAAAACTCTGATACAAACTTTAATTATTTATATCATCCAGCCGTTGCCATTCTGAGTGAAATACCGAGATCCTGTGTCGAGACCAAATAGATGTTAAATGTGTTGTTTCATCTTTGTTTTTATAAAACTCTGTTGTGTTCATTATTGTGAAGATCGTGTGTTAATTAATAGATTTTGTTGCAATAAGCAAAATTTGCAAGAAAGACTTGTTAATATTCATATTTCATTTCATTCTGGTTTAACATAGTTAAATGACTTTCTTAACATCTCGCTTCCATCTCGCAACTGATCAAATATCATCAGCAGTTTAGTTCTGTTCAATCTGTGATTTTTTTTTCTAGTTTATATTTTAAATATGTTGCAGTATATTGTCAGTTCTGAAATACATTTGAGCATGTCTGTAGATACTCATTGTTAATATTCATCCATTAGAGCTCATCTTTGACCCATCTTTTGTTTTTCATAAATGATAATAACTGTTAATAAAACTAGAAAAATAATGATTTTTCTTCTGTTTTAATGAATTGGTTTACACAAGAATAATAATGCGCTGTATCAATTTACAAGTACACTGTAGTACACATGTAAGATACAAGTTTTCTAACAAACTGGGTGCCTAAGTCCATATTCATTGTCTACCTGCTTAGCTTGATGGGGAGAACTCTGTTTTGATATCTAGGGGTACCTTGTCTGATAGTTTGGTTTTACAGCACATTTAGCGGATGATTTTGGCTAATCTCTGGTGTTGACAAACTTTGGTCAAAGCCATCTCACCTGCCAGAGCCAAAGGGCATTTATTTCGTTATTGTTTGGTTTTATTAACCTGTCAATTACATACTGATTACACGGTCGATGCACACAGTATATTAATTTTCGGTAAGTTCCGTGAGTTGTACGCTTTACGATGGAATTTAATTTAATTTGTATCTATAAACTAAGTGCACTCAGCGTTATAGCGCAATAGGGTAAAGCACGAGTTTGTAATCTAACTGCCACACGTGTTTTTAAGTTCGAGACCGCGTTGGTCCATGATTTTTTTTACTTATTAATACTTTCAACATTATTGAAGCTATATATGATTATTTTATATTGTTCGTTTTGTTTTATTATGTTTTACTTAATTTTGTTTTGTCTATACTCATTTAAATAACATGTTTAAGAATTCATGTTAAAAAATTAAAACGGATTAAAATCAATAAATGTATTTTCAATGCCGTAAAACACACTACAAATCTGTTCCTTCAAAATATACTGCAAAAATAAAGAAAGAATACTAGTGGCAACAGTAAGGATCGAACCACAGACCTCTCAGTTATCAGGCATTCTCTTTACCGACTGTGCTATTGTGAATTAACGAAAACCTTCACATTAAGCTGGTGTGACTATCAACCCATGACTTATATACTCCACATTAATTCTCGTAAACTACACGGACCAAACCGAAGTGGGATCGAATATTTAAATGAGTCCTGTAATGTATTCATAATTGACAGGTCAATAAAATCAGACTATAATTCGAACCAATTTACTAAGGTGGCTAATTGTTAACCACAAGGCGCAAACAGTCCTCACTAAACAACGGAGAAGCATTTTTGTGTTGTGCCCAGATTCACATCTTGCAACTTGGATTGAACATGTAATGAAACATGCTTCCTGTAATACTAGTCACCAGCATGGCTTATGGAGTATCTTGCAAAGAAAGTGCTTGGTTAAGGGAAATTTGTGTAGAATTGTTACTAGTCTTGCCAGTGTCAAAAATCTAAACGGACTTGGCAAGGCATGGCCCATGAGAAATTTCCACATGTAAATGATTAATGCAGGTCAAGAGTGAATAATGGTAGTTTGGATAAATATACTGGAAATTATCACCCCTTGCTATAAATATAATGTTCATTTTCCCATAGGCCAATGGGAGTTAAGAGTAGCAAGCGTGACTAAAAATTTTGTACATGGGTAATGGGATACTCAAGATTATGTATCTCGAATTAGATTGAAAATTGAATATAAGCCAGATGGCTGGGTGTCTGCATCTGTGTTACACTTGGTAAAGACCCACTAATTTCCCATGATCTTTGAGGTATTGCTTTGAAACTATTGTAAGTTGCCATTGGCAAGAGGACATAACTGACAAAAATTTTCGCCTGGAATTTCCTTTAAGTTTTTGGTAAGTCCTACTTATTTCCTATAGCCCTTAAAGGTATTGTTTGGAAACTAAGTTTATATTCTTCAACTTATGACCCTCATCCCCACTTCCAGGCAAGAGGTCATAACTCTGTCGAGGATTTTGACCCTTTTTCAACTTGAACTTTGGGTTAAGTTTTTCATACTACCTTACTTATTCCCTATACCCTTTGAGGTATAGCTTTGAAACTTTAAAGATCCTGTAACACAATTTTTTCATGGTTTTATTTCATAAATATGATGCTCAAATTAAGATTTGTCAATATTGTAAGTTCCAATAAGCATTATTTAAATTAAACATTTCATGTAAATAAAGGGAGGTTATTAGAAATATATTTTTCTATAAATTCTAAGTCAAATTTTCCAATAAGAAATGAATGCATGTAATTTGTTGATTAAATATTATGTGCACAAATATTTGCAGTACATATTTTACATATTCTTCGATGTTTGAAAATTGTTTTATTTGCATAATTATATACATATATAAATTTTTGCAAGTGTGGTATACACACAGTAACAATATCAATCACAAAACATACAGGATCTTTAAATACTTATTAGTCACCCATCATTCCCAGTTTCAGGCAGGCTGTCTTACTGACAGCTCCTGTTCTTATGTGTTCTTATGATTCTTAAAAACAGTTGAACCTTTAGTACAATGAAAATAGAGGAGGCTCGTGACCTGAAATTTTGCACACAATATTGGTCCATTTATATCAAATGTTAACCAAATCTCAAAAAAATATATCCTGTTGTGTCCCTATAAAAAAGGTTGCACGTAAAAGGAAACACAATATTTTCTATGTTCACAAAGGGCCATAGTTGAGTCATGGTCCTTGGACAGTGATCTGTAATATGAAATAAATTTTACAGTTACAAACACATATGATATCTTCAGTAGTGCATGGGACATTATAATTAAAGTACTGTGCCAGTGCTTGGGTGAGTAGGATAGACCCACTATTCTTAAAATAGTCGAGCTAAACCTTTCATTTATCTATTTTTCCTCAAGTCACAGCCAATTCTTCACAAAATCAGCATGGTAAGAGAAATGACCTGAAGGGTATTGAGCTATATCTCTAGACATATTTTTGTAAAACCTCCAACCCCAGAGTCCAGATTCAAAGTATAATAATAATAATATCATTAAGACACCAAGAAAAAAAAACATCCCTAGTTTTCAAAAGTATTTATTATATATAAACAACAAGAAAGTATAAAATATCTACTCTAATATGTATCAGGAATGAGTTTGAACACCAAATTCCATGAATCATGTAACAAAACCAAAGTTTCAAAAAGCAATATTTATTTTAGCAATCCAGACATTCATATAAAAATATCTTTATAAATATGCAACAGATGGTAAAATTTTAACAAGAGGTGCAATTTTTTTATTTCATCAATACATGGAGATTAAACAAAGCAAACACTTGGCATGTAAAAATATTAAAATATAAAAACTCAACAAAAATTGCTGGAAAATATGATAGTTTCTTTGAAAATCAAGGATGGTTAAATTTTATCCTGATTGATGTAATTCATTTGACTTTATTATGGAGTACAGAGTCTGACAATGTTTTTATTTACTGTATGTGATTTGCTTGAATAATATTTTTTTCTGAAATACTGCAATATTTTGGTTAAAATTTAGCCACAATGAGTTATGAAATTCAGAAATGTCAAAGCAAAAATCAAGGAACTGTGCCGTTTTCCAGCAGATGGGACCACTTTCTTTTTTTGATCAAGGAAACTAATATTTGTCTGAAACTACATATAAACTACATCATCTGAATTAAATGAATATTTTTGGGATGATAATATTCAACTTGAGTGCTTTATCTTTTATTGTATATATTTTTAAAGCTGCAAACCTCCAGATGAGCAAAAATATTTCAATAAAATCAAATCTGAGAAAATGTATTAAGATTTTAGGAAAAGTAAAAAGATTTAAAATTCTATTAATAGTTTACATATTATGTGCAATTAATGACCTATTTTTCAGCATATATAACTATATTTTTACTGCTTTACTAACGCAGTAAGGGCTATCTTTGTAAATTTTGACCTCTTTTTGGTAACTAACATGGGTTGTAAGTGCCATTGATAATGTGTAAATTGCACCTTACAATATTATACTTTTAAATACATTTTTCAAATTTTCATGAAAATTAGCATGAATCTGAAGGCGAGCTGCTTTAAACCTATGATTCTGAAAAGCCTGTTTCATTTGTGTAAAAATGTCAGAACATAAATATACATGTATTCAAACATATACGGTAACTACATTTAATCAATGAGACACAAAATTCTTTTAAGGGCTAATGAGGAGATATTTATAAACCATATGTCTGTCCTGCTCTTTAAATATAAAATTAAAAATTTTCGCCTTGTGTATTTTCAAGACAGAATGGAAGTACAATTCAGACTTGTATAAAAATAGAAACAATAAAAAATTATATAGATCACTCATGGAATGTGAACAACTTATGATATATGCTAAAGTTTGGAGATAAAGTCACAATAGTAATATACATTTACAATATCATTAAATTTCTTTTAGAACAATAAAACAGTAACAAAATGTCTATAAACATCTGTGTATTATGTTTATCATTACTGATTACAGTATAAAAGATGTTGGAACTATTTTGAAGTAACAAGATTTTCTAAATCATAAAAAAGATTGCCTTACCAATTTGCAATGAAAGCAATAATAAATTTTAAGCAAGGGGAACTACTCATACAGTCATGTTCAATCTCTATTTAAGTTACTTCCCTTTATATATATAGCTATATATTAACGTTATTTCATGACTTCCACATATTTACCAAGTAACTTGTATAATAAATGACCGATTTCTATTGACATAGAGTGTCAGGGTAAATAGAGCCAAGAACATGTATTATGGTTTAGATAAATTCAACTATACAGCACATAATTAGGATATTTTTAGCACAGATTAGGTTACTTAACATGATTAAACCCTGACCTGTCTGCACATAATCAGATTACATAAAATCCTTCAATAATCAAGACACAGTCCATAAATAACACAGTACTATTGTTTGTAAGATTTCATTCTACTACGAAAATAAAAATGTAATAAAAAAAAAACCCAAAACAAACAAAAAAAAAAACATATCTTTTGTTTTCAAGTTATCCATTTCATTTAACAATACAAACTTACAATCGAAAAGAAAAGAAAAAGTTGCATAATTATAATAAAAAACAGCATTTTTGCATATCAAAGCATTATGTAGTATTTAATACAATGTCTGCGACAAGTTTCATCAAAATCTGCAATATAAAGGCAGAAAACTATTCCAGTGATTTAAATAAAGAATCTATGAGCATGGCTTTAAAACATATACTATAAGTAACAAGGACTTTATACATATAAACTAGAAAATATTTTACCCAGGCAAGATAAATTTCATTTATGGCTAATACTGAAAGTTTATCATATAAATTATATATTTTGCATCCATATTTTATTGATATAAAAAATTTTAACTATGTACAGTAATATCAACTTAGCTTATATTAAAGGTCAGGGGTTCGCTTGTGCCAGCTGTTTTGGTAAAAATAGCTTGTATACGGAAATGGCCCAATTACAGAAAAGGAAATATTAGATAATGTTAAAAATCTAAAAACAAATAAATCACCAGGTGTAGATGAAATTGTTAATGAACAAATAAAAAATTCAATTAACTTAATGTTAAGTATATATAAGAAATTATTCAATATTGTTTTTGACAAAGGAGTAATTCCAGAAAGCTGGACAATAGGAACTATAAAACCCATATACAAAAACAAAGGAAATCCAAAATTACCAGAAAATTATCGTCCCATATCTCTTTTGAGTTGTCTCGGAAAACTTTTTACAAGCATAATAAATAATAGGTTAAATAAATTTGCAAATGACTCAAATCTTATACATGAGACACAAGCTGGTTTTCGTAAGAAACATTCGACAGTTGATAATATATTCATTCTAAAGTCCTTAATCGATATTGTCCAGTCAAGCAGACGAAAACTTTTTTGTTGTTTTGTAGACTTTAAGCAAGCATTTGACTCTGTATGGAGAATAGGACTTTGGCAAAAATTAAGACAAGAAAATATTAATGGAAAATGCTTTAACGTTATAAAAAGTTTGTATGAAAATATTAAGTCTCGAGTAAGCACAAATGAAGGAAGCACCCCCTTTTTCGATTGTTTAATTGGGTACGACAAGGGGAAAATTTATCGCCATTTTTATTTCTATATTTTTGAATGACTTGGAATACTTTTTACAAAGCAACGATATTAACGGAGTTTCAAGAGATACAATTATTGAAGGCGTACATGTCTATCTTAAACTTTTTATTTTGCTTTATGCCGACGATACAGTGATCTTCAGTGAAAATGAAATTGATCTTCAAAAGGCTTTAGATCAGTTTAAATTATATTGTGAAACGTGGAAATTAAATATTAATGTAAATAAAACCAAAGTTATGATATTTAGTAAAGGGCGTCCAAACATAAATAATGTTTTTAAAATTGGGCAACATGTCTTGGAAATTGTAAATGAATATAAATATTTAGGGATATATTTCAATAAAAGTGGTTCGTTTTATAAATCTAAAATACAAATAGCTGAACAAGCTAATAAAGCACTATTTGCATTACTGAGGAAAATTAAAACTTTGGCTTTACCATTTGACCTACAAATTGAATTATTTGAAAAAACTATCAAGCCTATTTTACTGTACGGAAGCGAAATTTTGGGGATATGGAAATGTTAATGTTTTTAGAGAGAATTCAGCTGAAATTTCTCAATATATATTTAAATTTAAAAAGTCAACCCCGTCTTATATGATATATGGTGAAACAGGTGTCCTACCACTCAGTGTGCATATCAAAACACAGAGTAATTACATTTTGGGCAAGACTTATTGAAAATATCAATAGTGATGAACCAACAAAATTATCTTCAAAGGTATATATTTCTTACGTAAATTACATATAGATAATAAAGTTAAATCACTGTGGATAGAAAATGTAAAACAATATTTATGTGAAACTGGTTTTTCTGGGATTTGGTACATAGAAAGTTTTAGCAATAGTAAGTGGTTGATAAAAACAACATTTCAAAAGTTAAAAGATATTTACTCGCAAAATTGGCGTTCTGAAACTAAATAACACTTCTGATACAAAAACGTTTACAAATATATCAAAAAGGATTTTTCTAGAAGCTGTTACATAGATAAACTACCAAGCAATTTAGCTAATAAATTATTACTATTTTTGACAAGAAATCATCGCCTTCCAATTGAAATAGGACGATGGCAGAATATAACCTATTCAAGACCGTAAATGTAATACATGTAACGATATTGGCGATGAATTTCATTATCTTTTTGTATGTCCAGAATTTGAAAAAATTATAGAAAAATATACATAGATAATTTTACATAAATAGGCAAGTATGTTTAAATTTGTAAGCCTGGTCACATCGGAAAATACAAATAAACTAAAGAATCTTAGTATTTTTTGTATGAAAATAATGCAACATTTTATTAGAACTTGATGTGTTTTACTATACAATTTTAAATCATGTCTTAAATTACTATATGCGAAAGATAACTTATGACCTTTTTTCTTTTTGTGTGTCTTTGATGATTGAATTTTGTAATAATTACTCTTTTCACTTACATATATATACCCAGCTGAATTGTATGGTTTAAATAAATATGAATGTGTTAGGCTCTGTTATTGGAAATCTCAATATCCGTTTTCTACTACATTATGTTATGTGATTCTATGTTTGTATGTATGCATTTATGTATGTCACAATTTGCTTATGTTTCCCGCTATTGTGGGACTTTTGCATATATTGAAAATAAAATCTGAAAAAAAAAAATCTGGAAAAATATATTACGGCATTTTAGGGAATATTGAGAAATATAAAAAAAGCTTAAAAGCTACATTACACAAAACTCTGAAGGTTATATATCTATGTGAACATAATGTTTTAAACAGCTTATTCTTCTCAAAGGTTAAAAAAGAAAATTCTGCAGCTTCTTGTTTTTTTTAGTCTTAAAGAAACAAGACTATTTCAGATTAGGAAATTTGGTGTTATATCAGTCCCCTAATGCCCTACTTTAACAACGTAGCTTAATTGTCACAGTTAATCATACAGTAACTATAATAAGTTATAAACAATAATTCTTCATAAAGAAAACATCATGACATGTTGATGAATGCCACGATATACAACTGAAAATATCATCATATCATGATTTTGAAATAATACTTAAAAGAATAAGTAAAGAAATATTAGTACATTTTTCTTGACTATAAATTCCTACAAATAACTTTCATTAATCTTTATTGCAAAATACAAATATATATAAAGTTCTATAATATAAATAATCTTTGCTCTTTTTAATTACCCTGTATATACACAGAGGGTTTGCTATAACATGGTAACTTATAAAATATAAAATGTATAACAGAACAGTTCTGTATAAAATATATAAAAAAATATACAAATGTAACAGATAGCATTTTATCACATGACATTGTTTGTTTCCAATTTAATATATAGAGGATATTGAATGAGTGTAAGTGCAATACTGAATTTATTGCACGAGTTGAATAAAATTATATTATGCGAGCCTCTGGCGAGCATAATATTATTTTATTCAACGAGTGCAATAAATTCAGTAATGAACTTACACGAATTTAATATTCTATTTATCACAAACCCAAAATAAAGACCGTTTAAAGTGAAATAAGAGTCATTTTTTATTGACGCGCCTATAGTATAACGCTAACAATTAGCGCGTCTTTACACTATGTTTGTATAACGCTAATGACATCACGTCAAAATATATGCACGGCCGTGCAATACCATATTTACGGAGTCGCGAAATCGGCACGGGTGTGTGATAAAACCATTTTAATGTGTTTGTAATTTTTTAATCACACACAGTGACACAATTCATTTAAAATGCCTTTCATGATTTCTTTCTGGCTTTATAATAACTTGTGACAAGAACAGTCCTACTTAAGTTGTCCTCTATATAACTGTTACTTTATATTTAAGATTTTTTTGCAGGAAACAACTTCTCATTTAAAATCTTATACATTATACAAAAGTTTTAACATCAATATGCCAGTAAAATTATTAAACAATACAAAAGTGACTGGACAGTTATATACTATTAGGGTAAGGTGGTAATATCAAATTTATAGTAGATTCATCCTTGAAATATTAATTATTAAAACTGGGTAAATATTTTCATATCATCCCTCCACAAGTTGACTTTGAATATGATATCATTTATAAGCAAATGTACTGGGAATTTTATATTGATAAAATAAATGATTCCGTAACATCAAATCAAAAATGGGCTGCATTTGATATCAAATTAACATTGGAATCAATTTAATAATGCATTGTGAGTAATATCATCAATTTTCATAATAAATTTGACTGTATACTGATGGACTTGATATCAACAATTTGACAGTATACTGATGGACTTGATATCAACAATTTGACAGTAAACTGATGGACTTGATATCAACAATTTGACAGTATACTGATGGACTTGATATCAACAATTTGACAGTATACTGATGGACTTGATATCAACAATTTGACAGTAAACTGATGGGCTTGATATCAACAATTTGACTGTATACTGATGGACTCGATATCAACAATTTGACAGTAAACTGATGGACTCGATATCAACAATTTGACAGTAAACTGATGGACTTGATATCAACAATTTGACAGTATACTGATGGACTTGATATCAACAATCTGACTGTATACTGATGGACTTGATATCAACAATCTGACTGTATACTGATGGATTTGATATCAACAATCTGACTGTATAGTGATGGACTTGATATCAACAATCTGACTGTATAGTGATGGACTTGATATCAACAATCTGACTGTATACTGATGGACTTGATATCAACAATTTGACAGTAAACTGATGGACTTGATATCAACAATCTGACTGTATACTGATGGACTTGATATCAACAATTTCACATTATACTGATGGATTTGATATCAACAATTTGACTGTATACCGATGGATTTGATTTCAGAAATGTGACTGTTTACTGAAGAATCTGATGTTAACAATTGTATACTGACTGATGCAGCTTATATCAATAACCTGACAGTAAACTGATGGAGTAAAAATAATTACTGACATTGTTGATAATATCAATTTGACAGAGCAATGACTGTATTTGATATCACCTGCTTTACACAAGGCTGACAGTAATAAACAGTAAATATAACAATGGATTGAAGAACCTGGTGAATCATTTTTACAATAAACAACATGCATATTTAATTAAAATAAGTAACATTTCATTTTTAAGTTTTTTTTATTACTGATGTTTGAAAGTGCACTGATTTAGCTAAACACTTACTTTGCAACAAAGGTAACCTGATTATGTGATTAAATATAAATTAAATGATATAAAACACAAAGAATGATTATGATGGAAAAAACAAAAACAACAAAAAAAAAATAAAGAAAAAAATTAAAACTGATATTTTTTTAGATACTTTCGAGTATTACAGTCAAACTTGTTGATTTAGAACTTTTTAAAGACATTGGGTAAAAAAAGTGGTCTTAGTTGACAGGTGGTCTGTTCTAGTGCTGGTTCACATACAGACATATAGGCAGGATGGATTTATTTAAAGTTTAAACATCTAATAACATCTACTCTGCCTACATAATTCATATGTCTATAATATAAAAACTGTTGCAAACATCTAAGAATACATCAAGTTTACCCATTAAATTCTACTGAGCCTGGATACATTAACTTTTTTATATATATTTTTGATAGGAAAAAGAAAGCGAATAAATATAAAGAAAGTCAGTGATAATTACTAAACTCATGATGATGATTTCTATCACAATGTTGCTGTCAAGAGTCAAAGAAGTCGTCTTGTTGGGAACCGTGAGTTCCGTTAGACGTGATATGTGACGCACTCGGTGGTTTTCTATTAAAAGCATTATCAAAACTATCAACTGTCCTGCTGCTGATACCTCGAGTTAAACCTTCTTTTGTTTGTTTTTTAGGGCTAGATCTTCCGGAATATATTCTTTCACCAGAATCTCCAGATTGCCCATCTTCATCGTTGTTGTTGTTGTCACCATTAAGCCAGGAATCAGCTGAAAATAAAACATATTGTATAATTAGTGAATATACATGTATTACAACAGAAGTGGGTTTTTTGCTAATGAAATAAACTCACACGTCATCTATAAAATGTACATAAAAAGATCAAAAGTCAGTTTTTTAATTAGACATTAAAATATCTGAAATTTTGAATATTTTCTAAGTGGTAAATTTTTACATATATTTCATAAACTGCCTTTTCAAAAATTCAAAATATTTTCATATCTTTGATAAAATTTGCACTAATGAAGTTATAAATCTTTCTGGTATTTTTTTTTTTTTTTGCAATTGAAAATTTAACTAAAATTTTATTTAAAATAGAATACATAAATTTTCAGGGACAAAAAATTATATTTTTCAAATAATACTAAAATAAATATGTAGATAACTTACAGAGAAATGTCAAAATAGTACAAATCTAATTCTAAACAATACATCTTATTTATACATAAATCAAAATAAATAAATAGTGACAAAATGTTTCCATTATATTCCACAGCAGTATTATAATACATTAATGACAATAAAGAAGTGATTCTAGCACAGTTCAAAACACAAGATTTAGTATCCGTGTTTTATAAAAAATATGATGCAATAAACTGTACACCAAACATTATAGATATGTGCTAAAACCAATCTTAACTCAAAAGTGTGCCAAAGATTTAAACCCATAACCTGTTGAATGTCCTAAATGGACTTGTCTGGCAACTGGTGAATTTCTTAAAATTTAATCAGTTCGATTTTATTAATAATTTTTGGGATATCATGATAAAAATTTAAGGTTGTCTTACTGTAATGCTTTCCCGCCAAAAAATGTCTAACATCAGCCGATATCGTAGTAAAATCAGTCATTTCCGGATTGCTATTTTTCACAATTTTTGGTATTCAGTAATTTTTTTGATGTTTATTACCAGAATTTAGTACATAGGGAGAAAGGATGAGTGATTGTAAATAATCTAATGACTAATATTTTTAAAAAAAATAACGTCCCGGAAATAGCCAATTAGTTACGATATTGGCAAATGTTTGATTTTTTTTGGCAGGAAAGCATAACAGCCAACATTATGGAGCCCATATAGACTGCCAGGATGTTCAGGCTTGCCTGGCTCTGTACGCTATACAAAGGCTAAATGACATTTGGTTCCAGCAGGGTAAGGGTTAAATCTATCATCATAGGCAGAAAATAAAAGAAACATTCAGTTATTGTTGATACAGTTTGTCATAATTTGATAGTTTCTATGACAATATGTATGCCAATTTTGGTGTGGAAAGGCAGTCTCTTTTTGAGATCACAAACTTGTAAATTATAATGTGCACTTTCCCTTTGAAAACATGTATACATTCTGAATCCTTAACCTGTGTTCACTTTTTGTGTTGCCCTGCACTAAATTTGAGTCTTAGTATAATGGGAAGACATTTAATTTGAATGATCATAATAAATTTGTCTTTATACAGACCCCACAATTATCATTAGATCAGCAGTTAAAAAACTTTGTATTAGAAAATGAACTTAACGCCACCATTTCCAGGATTTCGTTAATGACTGTGAATATTTCTCTCACTCTCTTGTAAACCTTTACCCACAATGCCATTGTTAGTTAATTAACACACCATACAACTTAATGAAATAATCAACAACCATTTTTTTAAATGTTTCATGAATATAACAAACGCCAGTCATATAATTTTATTAAGCCCCAAAATATTACAAGATTGCCTAATAAGCAGAACCTCAGTCATTTACATGTATATTCAGAATTATTAATCATCTGAAATGATTGAACAAACTTCATAGAAGAAATATAAAATATTTATCAGATTGCTCATTCTCTGCAATGAGAACCACAGGCAAAAGTATCGGACCTGGGAAGAAAAAATATGACCAGATTGATAAAAAAAACCTGTGTTCATCTTAAAAGTGTCAAAAAAAAACAAAAACAAATGTATATAATGACCCCCTTTAAAAATATACTATAAGTTAACTTATAGTATATTTTTAAAGGGGGTCATTATATACATTTTTTTTTGGTTTTTGACACTTTTAAGATGAACACAGGTTTTTTTTATCAATCTGGTCATATTTTTTCTTCCCAGGCCCGATACTTTTGCCTGTGATGAGAACATTGCAAAACATTTAAAACATATAGATATGACTTTGTGCATGACTGAAGCAAATATATGCAACAAGTTTATTGGCAAACACAATAAATTATGTATCTTATGCGATGCTTTAAAACCTAAAATTTGAAAAATTCCAAGGTCATTGTCATTTAGGCTTTTTTTAAGCTTAATGGATTGTTATTTTTTAAATATGGTGATACAGTTCTACAAAATTAACAAATGCTCATCCCAACCAGTAACCATATTAAGTGAAACTATCAATTTAAACATTGACTGTCAACAATATTGCACATAATAATACATTTATACCATATGTTCGGGAGTACGTCTTACTTATCTGAAATAATTCGTCAACATAAATTCATGTTCTAACAATTAAGATTGTTCCAATACCTGACCATCAATATTACAGTGTTTCTAACTTTCAAGAATTTGACAAAATAATTTACTTTTTTCAGCACATTTTAGAGTCTAGTCATACTGTATGAATATACTGAGCTGGCTTGGCTAATGTCTGTTACTACAGCTCAGAGTTATGCAACCCTTAAATTACCCCCAAACACATGTCACAGCAGAATGTTTCAACATGTTATTGTGTGTTATGTGTAAAACACTTCCCAGAGAACAGTCTGCAAAATTTGTACCAGTTCATAGAAAGTTTAATGATTAATAAAAATTTAGTATCAGAAGTAGAATGATGTAACTTTGGACTTCTTCAGACTTTTATCTTTTGATCTAGATAATACAATGTCATTTGAATAGTTACTTAAAACTGCACCATATAATGCATATATAATGATATGATGTGTGTCCTATAATTTGATTAATCATAGTTTGAGTGTTACTATAGTAGTTAGATAGGTATTATGACATTTTAGAAACAATTTCAACTTTGTTCTAAATGGACACTTAAGCAACTACTTTTCAAATGGTGAAAGATGAAAATACAATGTTTTATCAGGTATGATTGAATAAAGAAACTATGTATGTATGTATACCACCAAGACAAACCAACATGACACTGCATATCTTAAACACTTGTTTTGTATTTACTTTTAAGGTTATCTCCAACTATAGTAAAGGAATAAAACAATTCTCTACAGAAATCAGTCTACTTTTATTTAAATAAAAAACATTAATCAATTAGATAATAACTTTTTTTTATAGATATTTCAAAATCAATCAGAAACTTATTTAGAATTTAATGATAAAAGCTTTTTGTTTAGACAGAAAGCTTATATTTGATATATTTTATTCGCAGGTAAGTTTCTTTATCATTTTTACATGAAAATTTTGTGAATAACTGTAAAAGAGAATGTCATTGTAAATTATTGTTAAAACAGGATTTAGCCATACAGTTGTATGTCTCTAGACAAGTAAAGAAAAATGAGAAATCTAAAGAGAGTAAACAAATACAAAAGTATGTACAGTCTATAATGCCATATGCATACACAAATTTCCAAATTTTACATTCTGCACTGAAGCTCTCAGGGTACATTTTAAATGCTTTTCTTATACTTGTTCACATTTTTAGAAATAATTTCTTACAATAATCAAAGTCTATTGAATGCAAAAATCCTCTCACCTTAATATAATAATTGTCAATCTAATGATAGTACTATAAATTCCATTTTCATAAACACAGATTGTAAAGTATGCTTAATGCTTTATAAATAGAGATAATTCCCTTATCTATTAGCTACAAATTGGCAAAAAATATCCTAAACTATCAAACAAAATTCTAGCTATGAAAAAAAAATTGGAAAAAAACAAACTCTCTGATCACAAATCACCAAAGTTTCTACTTTGTGAAAATATATTTCAAAAAAATTTACTACAATCTAATGTGATTTCATTTGACAACTGAAACCTCTGGCCTCTAAATCTTACTTTCAATCCAGGAGTCTATCTCCATTTCCACTGTAATCACCCAAACATCATAATCAATTCAAGTTTGTTTTCATATTTTATAGGCTGTTACATTGTATACATGAGCCACTATTTCTGTCATTAACCAGCAGGCAGTTATGTAACTACTACTATACAACTTTTCCTGGATTTTGTACCTGGTACTTACTTCTTTTTTTTTTGCAAGTAACTCCCAACTTTGTTATAAAAATCTTTTGAGACAATGGTTTAAGACAAAGTATTTGAGGTATTGCTGTAAGCTAAACTTATGTCACAGAAAAAAACATGTGAGGTAGTTTTGGCAATGAAGCAGTTTCCATCAACCATGGTAACAGTATCTTTAAAATTACCCAAAGTTAACGCAAAACAGAATGATAATTGGATGGAACTACTTTTGTCATGATTCAAAAATTGCTTATTGTCATTCTCTTTTAAAGCCAAAATCCTGATGCAATTTCCATTGTATATATCAAAACAGCATAGCCTTCACCATTTCATTTTACATTGTTATTTAAGATTCTTTTAACCCTTTACCACATATATACGCGAAACAACGCACTTTCGACCCCCCCTTTTTTGGGCCTCAAATAGGAAAAAAATGTCCTATTTGGGCCCCAAACATAAGTTTTCGTTTGAGAAATGTTGCTAAAAAAAATGAGCACTTTTTCGGCGCCGCCCCCCATCCAAAAGATACATCAGGGGGTTGCCAGAAGGGGGATGTGCCCCCTTCTGTTAGGGGGGTTTGAAGGGGGCGGAGACCCCCTCATCGCCAAGAAAATTTTGGACTTGTGAGAGGCTAAAAATGACCCCAGGTCGATCATAATGTAACGTTTAACCAACGCTGAAAAGCCTTTGACTCTATCTCAATCCCTTGAGAAGTTGCAGCACTTTGAAATAAATTTTGATGGAAAAAATCGAGGCAAAATAGTGATTTTTGGCAATTTTCAGATGCCCCCTCGTTGCCATGGTAACAGGAAATTTAAGACTGAGCATGTCGTTACAAAGGCAATGGTCCAGTCAACATTTGTGCCAAGTTTGATTAGTATTGAAGCATTTTTCATAGTTTCATAGCAGTTTGAACTTGTAACAGGAGGCTTTTCAGTGAAAACGGCCATTTTTCACAATATGCTCATGGGGGAAAGGGTTAAGTAACCTCATTTTTTCTTGACAGAAACAGCGCCGGCAGTGCTTTGATACTAGTAGACTTGTTATGCCACTAGCAGACCAAGAGTTTATGTTGAAAACTAAAAACAATGTCTTATTTGTTTTCATAGCAATCATTGCACATGTCATATATTTATAACTAATCAAGTTTTTATATCTTTTACATATAGTTAATAGCTTCAGAAAAATGTTACAAATGTAATGTACCAGTCAAATGAATGTTTCTCCTCCTGCCCCACTCCAGGGAAAATAGCTAGACTTTTGTCTTTTAAGTTGGAAATATCAACCGCTATTTCAGTGTAAATATAAAAACACAGCCTGACTTGACAGTGCCGAGGCAAAACAGAAAGTAAAAAAGTCTGCCCATTTCGCACATACTGCCAATAATATGGAGGGGAGAGGTGTTGGGCTTCAAATGACTGATACATTATATTTTTTATCAGCTCTCTTCTTCAATTCATAATTTTTTCATAGACTATAAATTTATAAGGAGGGCAGTACTATGATAACTGGAAGAGAGAAAAGGTTGCCTGAGAATAGAGAGAGAAATAAATTAACTTACCATCTTCTGCATTATAATCCTCGTCTTTCTCTACATCTATATCTAGTTCATGATCTAAATCATTCATTTTCTTAACCTGAAATTATAAAACATCAAATACTTTATGAACAATAAATACTTTGACCTTTTATTTTGTACCTGTATTGCATCGAGAAAACTTAAAACTGTACTTCAGTCATACATTAGTATGTATTTGCAATTGATTAATTCAATTTTATTTTATCCCTTACCCCACTCACGGCTTGTAATTAAAGCCGTGTCTTGCTGAATATCTTAAGTGGATTTTCCCATCTTAAAAATTTTTAGGTAAAATTTCACAATATATGGGCCGCGTCACGACAAAACCAACATAATGGGTTTGCGACCAGCATGGATCCAGACCAGCCTGCGCATCCGCGCAGTCTGATCAGGATCCATGCTGTTCGCCATCACTTTCTATACTTGAAATAGGGTTGGTAAGCTAACTGCATGGATCCTGATCAGACTGTGCAGATGCGCAGGCTTGTCTGGATCCATGCTGGTCGCAAACGCACTATGTTGGTTTTGTCATGACGCGGCTCATATATAGGCCTACTGACTATATAGTGAACAGTGTAGACCATGATCAGATGGCATAGATGTGCTGGCTGCTATTGGTCTGCACTGGTTCGGATAGGTATAATCAGATTTTATTAAGTATGTCCATCACTTACGAGTCTTTTTCATAGGATTACCATTCAACATGAAAATACAAGCAAGCCTGGCTTTATAATTGCGGTATATAACCGCTGCTATTACTAACCAGCATTCAAAAAAAGGTTATGCAGAGAGTAAAAGTAAGTGTTAACCTTTTCTCTTGCTCGTCTAGCTCTTTCTTCTCGTATTCTTTGTTTCTCTTGTATATCCTTCAGTTTTGCTTCTCGAGTCTTTCCAGCAGAGCTCAAAGACTCATTTATCTAAAAAATAATGTGACTCCTTAAAATTATTAGTACTAACCAATTACAAAGTGAGTAAAAGTAATTTCAATTGCTTGTCATAGTTATCCCATTATCTCCATGGACTTCTCTATTTTGCATCAGGAAAAACACTCATCACTTTTAGTGAAAATTTAAAAAAAAAATTACTGACTTATTAGCAAACAGGACAGCTGGCACTACAGATGACAAGGTTAGTGCCAGCAGATTTTGGTCTGCACTGGTCGCATTTGTATATTCAGCTGCCACTGTTAAATAAGTATTACTGCTGATTTGTCTCCCTTTGAAAAGGGATATTTATATAAAAATTCTTAATAAATAGAGTCTGGTGAAACTGTATGAATGATGTACACTAGCCCGGTTGTATATTAGTAGTTCATTATAACATCACAGTGACCAAAAGGCTTCATTAATAGGAAAGGAAATATCAAGTAGTTCATTTCAGAATTCATCCAAAATTTTGATGAAAAATTTACTGTATTCAAAACAATACATAACACTACAAATGTTGTGTATAAACTATATATTGATATTCATTTTTTCAATGACCACTTAGCTCTGTAACTTTAATTCAATGGAGCAATTAAAAGGGGAAAAACTTTCTAAAACTCTTTGCTATGTAATAGTATTAATAATATTTATTCCTGACTTTTTGAAAGTATGACACTAAAAATTCTTGTTGGTAATACATGTGAGCCGCGTCATGACAAAACCAATATAATGGGTTTGCGACCAGCATGGATCCAGACCAGCTGCACATCCACGCAGTCTGGTCAGGATCCATGCTGTTCGCTATCAGTTTCTCTACTTGTTATAGGGTTTGTAAGCAACCAGCATGGATCCTGATCAGACTGCGCGAAGGCGCATGCTGGTCTGGATCTATGCTGGTCGCAAACCTGCTATGTTAGTTTTGTCATGACGCGGCTCATATAGTTAAATCAATCTGTACCTTTCCTTCCACCTCTTTCTGTTGAATTTCTTTATCATATCTTTGAGCATCTAAAATTTGTTGTCGCCGTCTTGATGCCTTCAAGGACGCGCTTTGCTTCCTCTTAATTTGCTAAAATAATATTGACCTCATTGAAAGATGAGTGATCTCACTTTAATTCATCATATGTATGTCATAAAGTTTATGGTATCACATAAATTGTAAGTAATTTCTGTATCATTTCAAAGTTCAACAAGCTGTTTCATCAATTGTCTGCCAATCATTTTAATCAATGAAATACATCCCTTGATAAGTAATTAAGTTATAACAATATGATACATGAATATGAAAGCTTAATGAACATAAACCTTTTATTGTTGAACAAGCAATGTGTTCAAGTCCTGATTATAATCATTTGAAACCCCAAACCCCTGCCCCACTTTCAAAATGTTACAATAGATCAAGTTTCAATTTTACATTAATGTTTTTTTATTATTTAGTTTTAAATCACATAAACACAGTAACAGTCACATGCAGTCCTTTAAGCTTTACTAATTCAGAAGTACCTCCGGTTCTCCTTAACTTTGGGCATTATCACAGACGGGATCGGGCACATAAAGGTGTTAAGATGAAAGAATCCAAAGTCTTTGACAAAATTTGGACCAACAGAAGTAAAGGTCAAGAGATTTGAAGTCAAGGACACTAATCACTTGTTTATAAATGCCCAATTTATAAACTGATGTTTTGAGTTAACTTTAACAAGAAGATATTGGTCAAAGTGTTGGCATAGTAAATAAGATGTCTCTGAACCTAGGTACTGTAACTGTAGACTTACTGAGTTTTCTCAAATGAAACGGATACAGACAAAGTACTGAGAGGACTCAAAAGTAATTGAATAAACAATGATCTGTGGCTAAACAATGAATATTTAATTTGCCTAGATACAACAACAGACTTTAAAACAAACAATATAACCACATAACCAGAAATGATAATTTATGCAGGTTTTTTCACTCTTTAATTTACACTTAAAACCAATGATCTGCATATTTGAATTTGAAACATTGTTTAAAATTGCTAGAACCTGGGCAACTGGTTATTTTAAGAAATTACTTACAGCTTCTCGTTTTTCATCCGCTATTCTCTGTTTCTCAGCCAATTCTTCTGCCGTCAACTTTGGAACATTTAATGGATCTAGACGCTGTAAAAAACACAAACGTAAAGCTGTTACTTAACAATTAAAACATTTAATTATATGGACATAAGTATAAAGCAAACTAGTCAACCCTCATTATCTGAATTTCTTTTTTGGATCATGCAATGAGAGTTAACTGGCAACTTGCCAGCATAACAAATTACCCTTATATGCTCCTGTGTGTAATAAATTTAATTTCTCAATTCCTAGCTTGCATTTTCATATAAGCAAATCAAGTTCAAGTCTGTTAACCAGTTAACCAGTCAATATGAGGTAACTGCAGTACAAAAGGTTTTATAAAGTCAATGACAATAGCCAATTAGCAGTATATACCTGGTGGGGGGTGGGGGGTGTCTAAGACACCATATGTAAAGTTCACATGTCATAAATAGCATCCACTGAGAATATTTGCCTTACCAATCATTAATGTCATGATTAAATGTATCTATATACTTTTGCTTGTATAAAAATGCCATCTGAAGTTTATAAATACAAACTGAAACACTTTGTGTTTTTTTCTTCTTATTTTCTAAGACTAGATTATTTGATTTCTGTGTTGGCATTCTCACTAATTAAGAAATATGTATACATATATACTGGTATATCTACTTCTCACTTTATACACATTGCAGGACCCTAGAGTCAATACATGTAGCCCAAAATAGTTATAAACAGAGAGTGGCAACTTCCTCCAGAATGGTTAAATAGCTTTTAAAAACTTATTTTATACCTTATATATCACAACCATTTATATTCATAATCCAGGTGCAAATTTCAATGGATTATGCAAAATATAACCAAACTTTTAACTTTTTATAACTTTTCTCATGAAAATACTATCCATTACTAACAGAGTAATTTAATATCTGCATGGTTAATATTAAAAGGTAAATTCAGTACATCTGCATGTATATAGTAGATACCGGGTTAAGCTGGGTTAATTCATTTACTTTCCTGAACTTGAAAACATTTTTATTTATAAAAGGAACACTTTAATAAGTTTTCATAAAAATATACACTAAATATGGAGGCTGCTTTCACCTTTTAGCAAATTTGTTGTCATAAATAGCACAGGATGATTTTCCTAAAGAGTTAAAAAAAAATTAACAGGTAACAACAAAAACAAGAGGGTCATGACAGCCCTGGATTGCTCACCTGATATACATTGCTAGAAAAATCTTTTCAGTGTTGAATACAGTATAGATGAGGTCACATTTGGTATGTCGTTTTTTATAAAAGCTGTATAATTTTCAATTTGTATATGCCTGCTATAAAATTTCTTAATGGCAAATCTAAGGATCATTCCAGCAAGGTTTAGTCGAAATGCATCAAGATGTTTTGGAGGAGTCGCTCTTAAAAAAAAAAGTTGTGGATAAGCAGGTATAATGGACACACTGCCATCATAAAATCTCACCTCTGATTGATGTGCTTAGGTGAGCTAAAAAACATATTGGCAATAGAAGATAAATTTTGATTAAACTATTGTTCTAGAATTTGCCATAGTCATGAATTTAAATTTGTCTTAAAAGGACATATGGGTACAACAGGTAAAAGGTACACAATAATATGATTGTCATCCATAATCTTTCAAAAGGCACACTGCATAGCTCTTGGTAAGAAAATTTTAATGATTTCGATCAAAAAGGGCATAGCTTTATCAACAACAAGTTGATAAAATCAAACTTAGTCTGAATTTTGATATAGCATATTGACATACCAAATATAGAACAATCAATGAAATCCTTCAAAAGTAACGCTACAGAAACCATTGATTAGGCTAACACAAATTTCACAGAAAATTTGCTCACAAAGGGGCATAATTCTTTGTATGCTGTTGATGGCCTGTGCTTTGATATAACTTATTTTCATGCCATTGCGAAATAATTACTTTTAAAAAGCATAATCACTGAAATCCTTCAATTTTTATCCTGAGGAAAATAATAATTTCACAGAAAATTTACTTATAAAGTGGCATGTCTCTATCAATAAACAGCTTATTCTAGGACAAAAACAATATTTATAACATGTTTTGATATAACATATATACATGCATAATATAAACATCACCATGAAACTCTTTCTGGAAAATTTGTAAATGACAACACAATCATGTTAATTCAATAGTTACAATGCATAATTCATTTGTCTAGTGATTACCAAGACAGACTACCTCAAATTTTTCGATGATGTTCCCTAGCATTTAGAAAAAAAACATTCATAATCTGTTTCAAATTTAGCCCACCTTTAAGTATAATTCCTTATGTATGTTCAAGTCATGGTTTGTACAACCAGATGGCAGATTAGACAAGCCGAACATAATAGCCTAAAGGAACACCATTCCGGCGGAAAAAACCCTGAAACATTAAAACAAGGCAACGCAGGAGCATTATATGCCGAAAGTTTTTTTTTGAAGAATGACAGCATTTTGTAAGCATGGTATTAAATAAAGTATACCTCCTCAAATAGCAATCCTCCTATGAAGTTTGAATACTATGGGTCAAATGGAACTTAAGTTATGCTCCAGAAACCATTTTCAGTGTTAGGGCAATAGTGACCTTGACCTTTGACCTTGTGACCCCGAAATCAATAGGGGTCTTCTACCCAATATGGGCAATCATCCTATGAAGTTTGAATACTGTGGGCAAAATGGAACTTAAGTTATGCTCCGGAAACCAAATTGCTAACGGACTGACGGACGCCAGGGGGTATAACATAATATGCCCGAAATTCTTTTGGGCATATAAAAACTGGTTGCAAAGGCTTTTTACTTTTGGTTCCAGACGGAAAGGGTTAAGAAAAAAATCTATGCCATTTTTTTCAGTTCAACATTTGGTTCAATAAAAATCCTATCAGTTTTATTCTCTAAACAATAACTATACCATTGCATGACATTGTGTTCTGAAGTAGAGCTTTCAAAAAATTTCCATTTCATTCAAAGTAAATATATTTTGCACTTATGTGCAACAGATTTTATTTGACATCAATGAAAGTTCATTAAATGTATTTTAAAATGTTACACTAGCATTGTTAAAATGTCATTTAGTACCATAGAAACATCAAAGTATTTTTATATTGACATTATAATTCACATTTGTTTGATTAACATAAACATGTCTAGTATTTTGCACTATTCTTTTAGAAAGCCAGGCACATTTTTAAATGCTTAAACAATGTATTAAAAAAATCATTCAAATCAATTTGACAATGTACTGAAATTTTATCTCTCTTTTAAACTTAATCTAACAAATCACACACTAAGATTTAAGTATCCAATAACTGTTTTAGAGTTATGTTTCAATGAAGTATTCTTTTTATAATTCACAGTATAAAATATACAATGACAGCACTGATAGATACATGATAATGTGCCATTTTGATAGATTCTTTTATTCCTAAATTGCTCTTTAAAAAAAATCTTTGAGTTAAATTGTAATAAATATCATGTCTTCATGACGAAACATTTGAAAGGATTCATTTAAACCATTGAGCCTAATTATTATTCATGGAGGTAGACAATAAAATTTAGTTCCCCCTCCTTTTTCATTAAATACAAAACTATGACTATGCAACTTTGCAAGAAAGTTCATTATTTCAACACAAGTTTATTACATTGTCTAACTCCTACTTTGTATTTTTCGATAAATTTTAAGAAAAAATTGTCATTTTTTGAACTACTAGGTCACTCATATTTTTAAAGGTGACATTCCCAGTGTATTGTTGTTCTTAAAGCAATAAAAAAAAATCATGTGACATCAAATTGAATAAAATAAGATGCAACTTGGTGAGTATAAAACTTTCCTAACAAGTATAATTAAACCATCTAAGATCTTCTTTTTTCAAAATCATAATTCCCAATACATCACAATATATCCAGGTTAAAAATAGTTAGGGAAAATTTATATCTAGATTTTATATGACCTTTGATTTCTTACCTTTAACCTCGGAGGAGGTGCTCCCAACAACTTTTGCTGTGTCTCTTTACCATCTAAATCTACTGTAAATGCTACTGACCTTGGAACTGAAAGTAGAAGGTCAAAATTGAAGGTCAAATTATTGAGGACCTGGACCTTACATTTTAACTGGTCATTTATAAATTCTTAGGGTTATTAAACTTTAAATATCATAGTTTCTGGACAGGGACAACAGCTTGTATCAGATAGGTTATTAGTTTGCATACATAAATCTGTTTTATACATGTAATGATGTAAATAAATGTAAATGCATCAAGCTTGTCAAGTCAAGCTATCATTATAAAATGGCATTATGTACCATGCCATGAGCACAGTGGCATTACCAAAAGTAATTTGTACATAAATAATTTATTTTCCCAATTTAAATTCAGAAGCTAAATTCGCCTTATAAATTATAAAATACCACAATAAGTGCGTATATACATGTATATATACACTCATTGTATATACATCACCATGTGTTTCTTATTCTTGTATATTTTGTTACCTATATTTAATTTTCCCTTTATTTTTATTATAGTAGATAGATGTTTGTTTTGTTGGGGGCAATTAGTTATCAATGTCATGTGGGAAACTGGTCAATTCTGGATTTAGAGTACCTGAGCAGGCCTCGACATTAGCGGTGATCCATTGGTCCGAGACCACTTGATTTTGGCAAGGACCACCTAATTTTAAAACCTACTGGTCTGTCGGACCACTTGAATTTTCTGGTTGATGCAAGGCTCATTTGGGAGAATTGCGATTTGGTCAAAAACATGTTATATAATTTTGTTTAAAATCTATGTCCGATGTTCATGTATATGGTTCATAAAGTTTAAACCATTTTTTTTAACATTCTGCGTAATTGTTATTTTAAAATTTTAATCCCTTTTTTTTATTATAGAAGTAACTTTTTTGTGGGGCGAATTAAAAAAGTAGTGGGACTGCGAGTACAAACAAAAACCTTCACATGACAATTGCCTCCTTGTCCAAACATGGATCATCCACAAAGGGGCAGGATGTGAAGTGGTTGCAGTCACTTGGTTCAAGTGAAATGGTTGCGAACTTGACAAAATGGCAACCGAGTCATGAAAATTTATAACGCCTGCACTATTTTATCCAGGCAAATGGGTTTGTATGTTATTTTGATTTTTTTGCCCATTCCTCAAGGTAATGTTTATGACACACTTGGTTTTATGTGTCAGCTTCCTAGCTTCTGATTTGACGAAGTTATTGAAGATATAACATACAAACCCACTTACCTGGATAAAATACCTGCCTGCGTTATAAACTTTCATAACTCCGTAACCATTTTGTCAAGTTTGCATCCAGGAGTCAAACTTACTAATTTCAGGTGACTGCATACCTAATACTCTCCCATATTAGCTTATTTGACAGGCTGTATATCATTTCTTACAATTTCTATTACACCCCATACTTTAATATCAACAAGGATACGGTCTATGGTGAAACTTCAACATGCATTTTAATCACAATTAACATTAATCTGAATAACAAAATATACAGAATTGTAATTTGATTTCTATTATGTTCTACACAAGTTGGATTCTATTTTTTACTACTCTTATCTCATTTTAATCAAAACGTTCATTTATGAGCGTGACAATAGAAGAAAGCAAAAGCTAATGTGATAATAAATGGTTAAAAACAGACTGGTAGCATTGGATATAAACAAACAAACAATACAATCTGATATAGAATGTGACCCATCCTGTAGTGCTAAGCTAACGTTAATTGAAGTTTATCTACATTACATAAAATATAAATGAATACTGGTCCCCTGGTGTTTCTTTCACACTTAAAATCAATGGTAAGATACTTACCAGGGTATTGGGGTGGAGAACTGGCAAGTACATGTACTTTTATTGTACTTATAGAAAAGGCCAACAAACTCAATTTCTGATCTCAAAAAAATAAAAAAAATAATAATAAAAATAAAATGCTTTCTGGCTTACTTTCTTTGTTTTCTTATTTAGTTTAGTTTAATCATAATATTTATTTTAAAAAAGCTTGAAGCTTAAATATTAAAACCAATTTTGAGCCTTAAATTACAGGAACTGACCAGTTTCTTTTGTTTCTCAGTTGAATATATATTAAGCATTGTTTCATATCTTTACACAGAATTTAAAACTTCAAGCAAACAATTCAGGGAATGGACAAAAAGCAAGAAACAATTTTTTTCAAACTATCATGGTTTTGCAACTGATTACTATTATGTTTAATACCAGTGTAACACAGTATAGATCTACAAGTTCAATAATACCGGAGTGTAACACAGTATATCAGTTGAATTTAAAACCTGAGAAGAAAAAATAATCTTAGATTAATATTTCTAGATTCTGAGCCAGTACTAACCTGTCTCCACAAGTAGTGTTTAATAATTGCGGAGATCAACAGGACATTAAACAGTTACATCTACAACAAAATATGTTGAAAAGTGCAAAACATAGGCTTTAAATTATTCAAGCAAAGGTCTGAAGACCATATTAATTACTTAGGGGTATTTGTTTTAAACTAGCCTGCCTGCCTCTATTCAGTGTAATTCTTTAGTTTATACAGGATTTAATAGGTAGGTACTAAAGATAAGTCCAGAACCACTTGCTGCTTTACACATTGTTCTCCCCTCCCCTTTTTTCTATCAAGAATTTATTTTAGATTGGTTGTATAGGAAGCTATAAGCTTAAAATCACCAGTACTAAAAAATCATGAAAATGAATGCAAAGTTTCCTGCTCAAGTAAAAAATAGCTTGCCCCTAATGGGATTTGAACCTACGCATCTTAGTCATTGAATTACTAGTCTGACGCACTAACCACTGAACCATACTGCCGTATACAGTGTCCTGGTATTAAGGCAAAAATATTTATCTCAGAGTTAATGGCACAGTGCCTACTATGATTTATTGTGTGATAAGCAATCCAAACTTTAAATAATAAATGACCATGCCTATTGATTTCGCTGATTTTTATACACAATACCAGGTTAAAAGGGCAGGATAGTCTGATTTAATCATATACATTATAATTGTGTTTGTAATCTTAATAGTTAAAAGTATCAGGAATAATTTATGTCGGCTGATGGCAAATCAGATATGTTGTCAATAAATAGCAACTGCTAAATTTTGTTTGTCGACAAGGAGCATCAAGTACGTTACTCTGAATCTGCAACTATATTGATAAGTCGCAGGCAGTGTATTTAATAAATGTTCCAAAATTCTGCACCAGAAATGAAAAAAATATATATGCAAATAATTAATAGTGGTCAGCTCACCAAACAATTTTATCATTTTGTTTGAGTTCATAAATAAAAGTAATGGCTAGCTTGCAGATCAAAATTGGTAAACAATTAAAACTACTGAGGAAACGGTCCTTTTGTTTGGCTCATGATTGTAGACTGACCAGTTCACAAGTTAATGTCAGCAACAGCTGTACAACTGTTTTTTACCTAACAACCTGATGGGCCTATATAAATTGCTAATGGCTGGTGGTTGGTCATTTAAAGACATTATCTAAGAAGGCTGCAACTGCATTAACGTTAACATATCAACCCCTAAAATTTGAGGAGCCGTTGTCAGATAACAATCATGACATAAGAAGTTTGAAAGGACAACATGCAATCAGCATTTAATTAAACCTGCTAAATTTATGTAATAGATTTGCCTTTCTCTGAATTTGGAACAGCTACCGTATTGTATCGGTGTGCAGGCTGGTGCAGTTCTATACCGAGGTGCCAAAGACTCACTGGTCACTTTAGTTGTCAGCAGGATAAGACCCGCTCCTCTGCATACAAATGCAAAATTAAAATTTGATAGAACTAGTACAAAGTATTGAGCTGTTTGTCAGAAACCATCTTAGATAATATACAACAATGACCATTTGCCTTTACCAACAATTATAATATCAAAGCACTGAAAGTGCTGGTGCTGCAAACCCCAAGAATGCAGCATGCAGTATATAAGTAAGCAAGCAGTTTACAATTTGGTTTGATGATATTCTGATGGTAAATATAACATAAAGAAATGAAAAATTAAAGCATGATTTTTGTTGTTCTAATCAACAAGCTTTTTTTTAGCAGAGTACCTCCCTGTTCATATCAACGTCAAACTAAATCAGTTTAACAGGATAATTTAACATGATTAAAGCTATTTTCTTTTCTTTTTATTAGAACCAAATAAAATGTTTTGGGATTCAAAACTGTCTGTAACTGAGAACTTCAAAATTTGCAAGAATCTTAATATATTTTCCTCTTAAACTAAGACTTGTACATTTCATTAACAAAATAATATTTAACATTGAAAATTCTTGTCGGCTAGTAAAATCACAAATCAATTAACCATAACGCCTTGCCAATAATTGATGTCCAAAATTTAGGGCTGTCAGTGATTTGATATATTGAAGGCTGAATATATATTGACAATATATCAATACATCAAATAAAATTGCTACATGTAGTACAATGAAAACATTTAGATATGAGATTTAAATTTAACTATTTAAACATGTATTCATGCTGTCTTAGTCATCACAAAATTCATACAAAATACTAACAGAATATTTTCTTGTTGTTATTTCACACTTAACTTCAAATTAACTGAAAATTAAATTCAGGGTTCAAGCTAGCCGAGAAGTCCTTCTGACAAAAAAGAAAAATATTTTCACATGAAAGGGAAAGATGGACTTTAAATTGTATCATAACAAATTGTGAATTAAAGATTGTTGAATATTGATGAAACATTGATATACATGTAGGGATATTCAATGTCAGCTCTACTGAATTTGCCTACATTTCTGGTCACATGGTGAACATAATCGTCAGTTAAGTTACAGTGCGGAGGCAAAGTGCAAGGAGTTTAGCAATTAATGGACGTACTAACACACAAACTGACACATTTAACATACGCATGTTAATATTTTCAACCATGTTTATCTACACTAATTACTCTGCATAGGCAATATACCAAAATTAACACAATACATAATCATTCATTTCATTAGATTTAATTTAATACAAATATACATGTAGTGTCAGTTTTTGTTTTATTTTCAATAACTATATTTACTGTGCAACAAATAATGTTATTTGGTTAATGATTCTAGCTCAAAATCTTCTGTAATCTCAGAACTTCAGTTTATCGCCATAAACATATCTCTATTTATTCAATTTGAATTATTAAAAATCTATCGACATGTCATACCTGGATTATTAGTCACTTCATCTGGTCTGTTGGCATTAGAATCTATTGTAGATTTTTTATTTATTTCACTTGGAGTATGTCCATTTTGAACAGCACCATTTTGCTGCTTTGGTTTTTCTAAGGGTCTTTGATCAGGATTAGCCCCTGGTTCAACCTGTGATGGTCCACAGCCCATCCCTCAACAGGTTATATAATTACTTCAAATTATGCAAATGAACACAACCCTGGCACAATCAATCTTTGGAACATTCACTAAACTTCTCACTATAAAGTCATCATATTTGAATCTCTGATGATAAATGTCACAATTGCCTGAAAATACAAGATTGCAATGTTAAAAATTTATAGAATACCATTAAATGCCAAGTCTAGATCATTTTACTTGGCCTGAAAAACTGCTATTCACTGGTATCTTAGAAAGATCATATACAACATAGAGAAAATAAGTGAGAAGTGAGTAAGAAGTTTGACAGTGATTTGAGCAATGTAATTTAGTGTACAAAAATCTCTTTTTAGAGACCATCTATCATTAAAGACCACTATTTCATTTACCAATGTACAAATCAATTGTAACCCTGCTAAACCCCAGGAGAGTGCAGGATATAGATTGGGGTGGGGAAAAATTTTCCTTTGTCTCTGTCCCGGCCGGCCCACACAAAGCAGTTGCTTTGCTTTGGTGCTAGTGTGGGGGAATTAAGAGGAGATTTAACTACATCTAACTGACTGCAGACCTGTACCTTTCAAGGCGTAAGAAAATCTAAAATAAACAAGAAATGTGGAACATCACATATGCCCCCCTTTCTAGCCCTCAATTGACTCACATTATTGGTAATTTTGTTGTAAAAACTTGCCATAAATGGGTACTGTGAAGTGTTCAGTTATGGATAAAAGAAATAATAATGAAGACTCTGTCATAAATAGTTTTCAAGATAATGTGTGACCTTGACCATTGACCTAGTGACCCCAAAATCAATAGGGGTCACTAACTAGTTATGACCAATCAGTATCTGAAGTATGAAGACTTTGTGATCAATAGTTTTCAAGATAATAAGCATAAACCATTCTGACATTTAAGGCCCCTGTGAGTTTGACCTTTGAACTAGTGACCCCAAAAGCAGTATGGGCCATCTACTGGTCATGACCAATCACTATGTGAAATATGTAGACTTTGTGATAATAAGCTTTCAAGATAATCACACTGAAATCACACTACCATTCAAGGACCCTGTGACCTTGACCTTTGACCTGGTGACCCAAAATCAATAGGGGTCATCTACTAGTTATGACCAATCAATATGTGAAATATGAAGACTTTGTTATAAATAGTAACCAAGATAATGAGCAGAACTCATACTACCATAATTCAAGGTCCCTGTCACTTTGACCTAGTGACCCCAAAATCAATAGGGGTCATCTACTAGTTATGACCAATCAATATGTGAAATATGAAGACTTTGTAAAAATAGTAACCAAGATAATGAGCAGAAACCATTATGACATTTAAGGCCCCTGTGACCTTGACCTTTGACCTAGTGACCCAAAAACCATTTGGGGTCATCTACTACTTATGACCAATCACAGTGTGAAATATGAAGACTTTGTGATGAATACTTTTCAAGATATTCAGCAGAAACCATTTTGACATTAAGGCCCCTGTGACCTTGACCTTTGATCTAGTGACCCCAAAATCAATAGGGGTCATCTACTAGTTATGACCAATCACTATGTGAGGTATGAAGACTTTGTGATAAATAGTTTTCAAGACAATCAGCGGAAGCCATGTGGTCTACTGACGGACAGAACGACAGAAAGACAGACCGACCGACATTAGCAAAACAATATACCCCCTCTTCTTCGAAGTGGGGCATACAAAAGCACCTTATATTTCTGAGTGGTACATGTTAAGTAATGCTCAAGTACTTGCATCGCATTATAATATTAAGAGCCATACTAAAACCAGTGGGTTTAATGACAATTTTATCTTGTAACTTTCTGGCGTGTGCCTTCCCATATGTGTACATATGATGGACTGGAAAAGTGAAAACTTCAAATACACTAAATATGTAATAAAAATCATTATACCCTATGGGCATGAAAATTGTCCAAATTAAAATATAAGACACAAACAAATGTCTTACAACCTCTTGTGCACTAGCCAGTATCCTAGAAACATTCTTACAAAATGTCCACAATGAGTGGTGGCATGGCTGAGTGGTTAACACGCCGGACTAGTAATCTCATGATCGCTAGCCGGATGGGTTCAAACCCCGTCAGGGGCAAGGTATTGTTTCCTTGAGCAAGAAACTTTACACTCATTGCTCAGTACTGGTTGGTTCCAGGAACGGATTCAAAAGTGTGTCTATAAGCTTATAGCTTCCTACATAATCAAACTAAATTAAATTCTGTATAAACAAAAATGTGCACAATCTGTCGCGAACATTCCTTTGCCTTTGGGTTTTGATATCAAAGACTCAAAGATTTACTTAATGAAGATGACCAATGGAAATTTAACAAGACATTCCAAGATCATAATTAAGTTTAAGTGACAGTGTAACAAACACAATGAAAATGAAAAAAATTAAGACATTCTTCACCCAAAATTTTTAATTCCCAAATAAATAAATATCATTTACTGTATCCAAAGAAATATGGTCTTTGTAACTTCAGTTTTTATGCTGAAATGTTATCACCAAAAGGGGAAAGAATAACTATTTGGTACAAATTAACTGTCAGTTACTGAGTTAGGGAGCGAATCAATCATATAAAACAACTTTTACGACAAGGAAAAAATTTAAATACTTGAAAGTTTCAGCCAAACGTATTGTATAGAAATCTGTTAGGTAAAATCTAAAGTAATATCTTGTTCAATTAAATCATATATTTATAAGAAAAACGTTTAAAAAATATTAAAAATACACATCACTGTCAGAGGTTTAATTAAATGTAACTTACCTTTATGATAAACAAAAACTCTACTTAAAATCACTGTTTAAATTATGATAAAAAGTATTTTTGAACATTCGATTGTTCCAATGGTACAAAAGACAAATCATTGATGAAAGAATGATACTGAAAGATAATTAATGACTGAACATTTGAATAACAACTGTCAAACTTTGAAAATAAAATCTTCATTAAAATTTCAAACCTCGGATCAGTTAATTTTATTAAGCAATATATTATTTTTTTGCGGTAGAAATAAAACTTACAATCACTAATAGAAAAAATACTACCTAGTTGATTTATCTCCTTCTTTATTGTGTGTACACAAAGTTATCACATGTTATTATGAATGGCATTTTTCAAAGCAAGGTGCCTGTGACGTCATTGTATCATGGCGACATGTAAATAAAAGGGAGAGGTTATTATAGATTTTTTCGCGTTTAAAAATTATAAAAATTATTTCATCTCAAAAGTCAAAAACATTGCGAAAATTGTTCTAGAATAAAAATAGTTCATAATATTGAATTATCATGTTAAATCAGATAAAATGATTTAATCATATAATTTATGAAGAATATGTATGGTGCCGTACCTTAACGTACACAAATGTGTACGGTACACTTTTAGGCAATTCAAGTAATATTTGCAATAAGTTCTGAAAATAACAAGCGATGTGTCCAAATGAAAACGACACAAAATTATGTGTGTGTAATTATGAACATTTATTATCTTTGTCTCTGATAAAGATCAGGGTGCCGTTAGATAAGATAAGATAAGATAATCTTTATTTAAAGTCGGTTTCATAAAAACATATAAACATTAGCTATGTAAGCTATTTTCCGACAAAACTTATTATCCTATAACAATTCAAACAAACAATCTGTATAAAAGAAAATATATAAAAGTATTAAGAAGATCAATATACATTTATGAAAGACTCTGTAAAACAGTTAAGATTTATCAGCACATATAAATATGGGTAAGAAAGCATTAAATGATTAAAAGCAAATATACATTACAATCAAACATCACATAAAATTACATCATACAAGAATTCTATTTATGTACACAACCCTAAAATCAGAAAAAGGATTAGAATTTTTTAACAATTTAAATTTTTAAAATAAATTAAAGTAACTGATTCAATTTTATTTTATTTAAATATAGTTGACCCAATTTCCAGTATGATGCTTGAGCACATATCAGTAGCAGCATCTGATATGTACTCAGTCATGAAAATATGGGTGTAACTAAAACATGTACAAGTATCATAATAATAAAACTTAAAATGTTGAAATGTTTGTGTAACAGATGCTGATCTGAGTTGGCCTAGATAAATTCATGGTCTAAGTTACTTACTTAATTAATTAGAACCAAAATAAAATAAAAGTAGAAATAAAAAGGTAAAAATAGACTTAAAGAAGCTATTGTCCCCTTTATGGGATATATGAAAAGCTGATCAGCAGCTGTCACATATACAAACACTAACATGCACTGACAAATGACTATACAAATATATATATACACACAAGAAGCACATGAAAAGCATTACATGATAAAACAGGTCTTATACAGCATTACTCTATGGCAGACAGAAATACAGGAAAAACAAAAGAAGAAACAAAAGAAGCATGCAGATTCATTTGATTCACATTTCAAAACTCAACGAAAAACATAACACTTAGGCACACATAGAACATTTGCATTTGAAGCCACTCCAGGTTTGGATAAGCCTCCGAAATTCACCGTAATCAGTTTCTGTTCTTAGTTCATTCGGGAGGCTATTCCAGACCTGGTGGCCTCATAGCGAAAAGCTTTTCTTACCATAAGTCTCTGTATTTACTCTAGGAACTTCAAGTGTGTTGTTATTTCTAAAAGAGTAATAAGAGGAATTTACTTTAATTAGTTCTTGAACATATTTTGGTGATATATTTTGCAAACATTTAAAAACTTCAATAGCTAATTGTCTTAATCTACTGATATGTAAAGTTGGCATATTAGCTTTACTTAAAAGAAATTCATATGATGAGCTGTAATCCTCAAAAACTATCTTCAATGATCTATGTTGTAACTTTTCAAGTTTTTCAGTATTTTGTTTACTACAAAAATGCCAAACTAAAGGACAATAGTTAAAATTTGTTTTATCAACAAAGACGGTCTTAAACTCTGCACTACATGTATCTCAAAACCGCTTTATGAACACGGTCACGAGTACGCCTCCTCAGTCGCAGCTAAGGCCATCCTTTCCCTCTCCGTCGTACAACCGTATAAACAGTGACCATACAGTCAAAAGAAGGTCGGTAGGCTATACTGTGCAGACAGACTTTGCAGACAAGTTAAACGTAGAGGGATTTTGCAGACAATTTAAACAAAGAAGGGTTTAGATTTTGCAGTCAATATCTAGATTATATACATGTAGCAGGTGCTAAATCTCTTGTCGTACCTTGTGTGAATGGGAAAGATACTGATTTAATTAGTTCTAGAAAGTAGTAGTATTTACAAAATGTTGAACGAACACATTTTTATGGTAATTAACGTGGATTGTAAGTGCTGTTTACAATTAGTAAATAACTTCCGTTGTGCACTTCACAATATTTTACTTTTAAAGTATTATTTTAAAATTTCCATGGAAATTCGTATTAATCTAAAAGCATGCTGTTTTAATTTTCTTCTCATTTTAAGTTCACTTTGCAAACAATTACACAATAAATAATCGTTTCCAAATAAAGTATTGCTGATTTTTTTTTTTAATAATTATTAAGTATGTATATTAAGCTTCAATAGCAGTGACTTTTTTAAGGATTATCATAATCTTACAGAAGCCTCTATTAAAGCCTTTTCTTCACATAAATTAACAATTCCTCATTTTCAGCAGGGATGACAATTGGTATCAGAGTATATGGAAACCTTAATTTACATAAAAATAAGAATTTACATATACACATTAAACTTTGAAAGGTGGAACTAACCACATATGTTATCACATTTTCTATTTGTTATTATTTCAACCAATCAAATTCGAATGGTACAAGCTTATCCTGGAATTGAAAAAAAAAGCTCAAAATAAATATGAAAGCAGAAAAAAGACATATGTATTGTACCTGTGTTCTGCATGTCATACAATCAAAAATGCTTATTTCAGCACTTTGTTATCCGCTTTTGGTAGTTTACATTGAATGCCACTCTAAAAAGTTCGATGGCTGTTTTAATGTCATATAAAATGCCAGTATTTTAAATCATGGAGCCTTATATTTTATATTAAAAAGAGAACGTTTTGTTCAATTCGGCTTTGATTAAAAAGTGATGTGTTTATTTCGTATATATCCACGTCACGGAACATGAACAGCATATCCAGTACTGCCTCCGCTAAATCAAATAAAAAAGACCCTAATAAAAACAGCCTGTCGGATCGACTTCGTTAGATTATGGTCAGACATACTGGGCTCTCTAAAATCCCTTTTAAGATTCACAATATCCTTTGTTGTAGATCCCAAATGTTTTTGTTATAAATTTTTGATGAAGGAATGAAATTCCGTAATCATATCTAAAACATGTTCAAATATTATTTCAGGCAATGTGCAAATTAGTGCAAATATACAAATTAATTACTAGTTAGAAGTTTTAGCTCAAAAAGACCCTTTCACATGTTTCACGGGTGAGCGTATTGAATGTGCACTTTATTATTCTTTTTTCATTTATTTCATATTTGAAATATAACAATACAAACATACACATTAACATTAAATATGATTTTTTTTATCAAAACTGCTTATATTAAGTTTTTTTGGATATACATGTATATGATCAGTACATGTGCTGGGATTGACAAATATACATTTTATTTGGATTTTAAAGGCGTTTTGAGCTCCACATCCCAAGTGTCTGTGGTCCTCCAGCAGAAAAACTGCATGGAAAGTCGCCATATGTCCTATACTGTGTTGGTGTGACGCTGGTCTCCAAGTAAAAGAATATGTTTGCACAATTGGCGGAACTTAATAAAAAGGAATTTTGAAAGAGGATCAGTGGTTATGAAGTTTGCATTTATTAATATTTCAAATGGTAGAATCACCATCAATTACTTCCTTTTTAACTTTTTGAAGTGGTAAAATAGCATTTAAAAAGATCGCGGCCTATACGAAATTTGAGAGAAGTGATTACAATTGATATATATATCTTGAATGTGCTTTTAAAAACGTATTCATAACGTTCAAACATAAGTATTCTATATCACAATATCATTATGAAGTTAATGTCATCATAATTTATTAATAAAATACATCATTAGTTCGAAAGATGCAAATTTATATTGTTAACGATTACGCAAGCCAATGGTACAATTTTCTGGAGTGTTCCAATCTGCCGCCGGGTTTCGGGCGGCGGCATTAATTCATCGGTGTACATAATAACACCTTTTTCAAGAAATAAGAAACTTCAACGTACCCGTTTTTATACTGCGACGCATCAGATAAATGAAAAAAATGTTAAAAAGCGACTATTAAAGTTTTGGAAGCCAGAAGCCAGTAGCCAGACCTATTTTCAGGTAACATTTTGATTAGTGACGAACAACAAAAGTTATAGATATTAGACACTATAGAAGAATGATACCATTTACGAAAGAAAATGAATGGAGGATTGGATATTTCCATATAAGCGTACGGTATTTAAATATGGTCAGAATGACAGATGGTGACCGCCCTAAACTGTTACCCTCGGGCCAGATATCCTCGTCTGTGACGCCAGTTGGTGTTTTTATTTTTTTACTTGTATATTTACATAGAAATCATGTTTTGGAACTAAAACATGTATTTTTATTTAGCACTTTTTCATCGTAGGAATGTGTCATAGGTTCGCGCTTTGTGGTTACAGCATAGCATTGTCAAACAGGAAGGCGATTTTTATTTCGATTGTTTTCTTTCATGATACAAGTTTTGGCATCACTGTCATATTGAATGCTACAGAGAGTACACATTATTTGTTTTACTCTACCAGTGGATAAACCCTTGAGCACGTGTCAGTTCAGATACCGGTTAGTTAGATTTACAAGTTTGATTTCTAAATGTGTGTTTTGCTTGTAAAGAAATGAACCCGACAGAGAATCATTTGTTTGTAAGACTTTACGTGATAAAAATGTCTGTTAAATACGGAATGCCGTTAGGGCCATTGCCTATGAATGTGTTGATCTGAAACGCGATAGTCGATAGTACGATGTTGAAAACGCGAAATCACGAAACTACGATGGTGAAAACGCCAAAGTACGATGATGAAAACGCGAAAGTACAATGATGAAAACGCGACAGTACGATACTACGATGATGAAAACGCGATAAACTATCGTGTTTTCACCATCGTACTGTTGCGTTTTCACCATCGTAGTTTCGTGATTTCGAGTTTTCATCATCGTACTGTCGTGTTTTCATCATTGTACTATCGCGTTTTCACCATCGTACCATCGCGTTTTCATCATCGCACTGTCGTGTTTTCATTATCGTACTATCGTGTTTTCATCATCGTACTATCGCGTTTTCATCATCGAACTATCGCGTTTTCATCATCGCACTATCGTGTTTTCACAATCGTAGTTTCGTGATTTCGTGTTTTCACCATCGTACTATCAACTGTCGCGCTCCAGATTAACACATTCATAGGCGATGGCCCTTACGGCATTCCGGAATGCCGTTAGGGCCATCGCCTATGAATGGTTTGATCTGAAACGCGATACTCGACAGTACGATGATGAAAACGCGAAATCACGAAACTACGATGGTGAAAACGCGACAGTACGATGGTGAAAACACGATAGTTTATCGTGTTTTCATCATCGTAGTATCGTACTGTCGCGTTTTCATCATCGTACTTTCGCGTTTTCACCATCGTAGTTTCGTGATTTCGCGTTTTCACCATCGTACTATCGACTATCGCGTTTCAGATCAACACATTCATAGGCGATGGCCCTAACGGCATTCCGTAGTTAAATGACTGATAAAGCTCATGTACAAATGGTAAATATGTCTACATATATTGCCGTACAATTTAATAGGCAAAATGGATATTATAGTTATAGACCTAACTTGTGCAATGTCGAATGGTTCTTGTATAAATAAATCACAGGATATGTCGATCTCGTATGAGGCATGTTTTTAAAAAATGAAAAAATTGAATGCCATGACATATATGTATCAAATATCCTGTAAGGCAATTTCTTATGGTTTTATATCATAAATATAATGCTCAAATGAAGATTTATCAATATTGTAAGTTCCAAAAAGCATTATTTGTAAAGATAAATACCGAATTTACATTTTCATGTTGATAAAGGGAGGTAATTAGAAATTTATTTAAGTCAAATTTTTCAATACGAAATGAATGCGTATATTTAAATGATGACATATAATGTGGACAAATATTTGCAGTCTACATATTTTACATATTCATCGAGGTGTTTGAAAATTGTTTTAAAAACAAAATTCTATACATATATAAAATTTCACTTGTGTGTGGTAACAGCCTTAATTACAACATACAGGATCCCACCTAAAAAAATAGTAAAAAAAACCCACAACCCTCCAAACAAAAAGAAACAAAACAACAGCAACTATAGACAACAACAACAACAACACCAATGTGGAAAATCGCCAAAGCGCCACAAAAACAATGACTTGATAAATGATGCATTGTCTAGAACACAGATACTTGGGGTTTGGAGCTCAAAACGCCTTTAAAATCCAAATAAAATGCATATTTGTCAATCCCAGGACATGTACTGATCATATATATCAAAAAATCTTAATATATGCCGTTTTAAAAAAAAATCATATTTCAACAACTATAATAATACACAAGATAAAAATGTTCGCCGGAAAAAATCCGCACCCCTACCGTCATAATCACCATGTATTTTATTCCATTTCCAATATTTTCACATAATCCTTTGGTCCATCGACACAGAAGATATAATTCTTCACGATGATGGTCAATTTTAAACTTCAACGGTAATATAAACAACGCAACAGCCGAAATAAACATCAATATTCTCGCCGGTTTTTTTTCAACGACAAAATCTTTCGATAAATTCAATGGACCAGACGGCTATGAACGAAGCTATCCGATTATGTGGTTCCCAAACTTAAAAGCGCTGCGCATTTTGCACACGGCAAAGCTGGGGCCACATAATCGGATAGCTTCGTTCATAGAATTTATCGAAAGATTTTGTCGTTGAAAAAAACCGGCGAGAATATTGATGTTTATTTCGGCTGTTGCGTTGTTTATATTACCGTTGAAGTTTAAAATTGACCATCATCGTGAAGAATTATATCTTCTGTGTCGATGGACCAAAGGATTATGTGAAAATATTGGAAATGGAATAAAATACATGGTGATTATGACGGTAGGGGTGCGGATTTTTTCCGGCGAACATTTTTATCTTGTGTATTATTATAGTTGTTGAAATATGATTTTTTTTTAAAACGGCATATATTAAGATTTTTTGATATATATGATCAGTACATGTCCTGGGATTGACAAATATGCATTTTATTTGGATTTTAAAGGCGTTTTGAGCTCCAAACCCCAAGTATCTGTGGTCTAGAATGAAGGCAAAAGTTACAATACCGTATATAAATAAAAATTAAAAACCATGTAACATGGAGGTAAATATACTGATTTATTCAATCTAATTAAGTAAAAGATGTTAAAGAGCACATATCATTACTGGCAAGGATATGTTTTGACCAAACATCTTATAATTGAGTTCATACAAGGTATTAATTAATTTGAGGCTAATTTATCCGAATGACCCGCAAACGCCACCATACCGCTTAAAATTATTATCCTGCATAATCCGCGGAGAAACCTTGTTTACAGCAAATACGCGTTTTTATATGAACTTTACAATTCAACTGTACGAGCTAATTGTTTTTGTTAAATCAGTATATAGAATATAATAATTTACATACAATTTTTGTGATTTTATCAGCATATACCATCAATGCACGGATAAAGGGGAGCTAAGACATAAATCAACAAATCTAAATATCATGTATTTCAATGACATGTAGGGATTTTAAAGAGGGCAAAGTGTTTGTGAACTAGTCAGGTATTTTCGGAGATTACCAGGATGAAGACTGTGATTGTTATTGGGGGAGGACTGGTAAGTATTCAATTAATTAATTGATTTATTAATCAATCGATCATTAATTTTAATATGTACATATTAACCTACCTGTATTCGTGTGTGTACAAAACTTTACATTTAACTCTTATCAGTAACGGCGTGCTGCCTTATAGTCAATCATAACGCTGTAATACAATGTCGTGTATATTTTGCACACAATATCTGAATGTTTTCTGTCTGCTTTGCATTTATGCATACGTTTCATGAAAGTAGAAAAACAACAACAATCGTTATGTACATTTAGCGAAGCATTCTGTATGCTAATTTGTATTTTTAATATTAATTAATTACGTAACGTCAAAAATAGGTATATTATTATTATCATTAGCAACGTATAACGGTTTAATTGTATAATAATGAACTTTAGCAAATTAGAATTTTATATAAAAATATGAGTATATGTATAAATATGATGCATGTATAAATAGATGATATTTTTCATTTAGAATAGACATGACCGTAAGTTTGTTATACAAGGACGTTACTTCGCCCTTCATTTTGTAACATTAACGCCTGGTCAGCGAAAATTTACGCGCAGTTGTTGAATACAAAACCGACCAAACTTGGCGATTTCAGCATGAACAAGTCACTTTAATATGTTCTTGGTGTGAAATTAAGTAATGGGAGCCCTGGTCCTGCAACATTGAAAATGGATTGTTTACTCAAAATTGCTCTTTGCTCTATATAAATACATAACCAAGGGTAATACAGAGATCTTTTTCAAGATGGACTGAATGTATGTTATATACACTGTAATAGAATGTTACAAAGTATTGTTGATTTTAATAATTTAAGCCATACTTTCTGATTTAATACTACTAGTTTCCATGATTTTAAGTGAATATGATCCTTTTAACCAAGCAGTAATTGAAAACATTGCCTATGCCATGGTTTCTATGTCTATCAGAGGACCGACACTGTTCAGTGCATTCGATCAAAGTGCTAATACAAGGCGTTATTAATACTAGAATATTATGCAAGAACACAGGTCGGCATATAACTTGATTATTACTGACCGTCCCGGCTTAGAATAGAAAAAAGATCGGTTGAAAAACAAAACGAATTTTGTCTCTTTTTCTAGCACATGCATTAATATTTGTGCTGAACAGGTGAAACACTTGTCTATCAGGACATTATATTAATACAGTAAATGTATTTTCCAAGTTTCACTTTCATTTACATGTACATGTCATATCAAAAAGGAAGTACTATGCATTAAATGAGACAATTTTAATGTCCGATTTTGAATAATCATGGCATTGATCTTTTCTCTTCTAAATAACCATACAACTTCCTGGAGCTATGTGTCTACATTGTTTTTATGTTTTAATCGTGGAATTAACTTCCTGGAGATATTGGTCTACATTGTTTTTATGTGTTAATCGTGGAATTAACAGTAATTGACAGTAAATGCGCATTCAGCGTTTTGATAGCTAGCACGTGTATGTTTATATAAAGTTTATCAACCTCTCTGAATTTTATTTATAACAAATGAGCCACATCACGACAAAACCAACATAACGGGTTTGCGACCAGCATGGATCCAGACTAGCCTGCGCATCTGCGCAGTCTGATCAGGATTCATGCTGTTCGCTTACAAACCCTATAACAAGTAGAGAAACTGATAGCGAACAACATGGATCCTGATCAGACTGCGCGGATGCGCAGGCTGGTCTGGATCCATGCTGGTAGCAAACCCATTATGTTGGTTTTGTCATGGCACGGCTGAAATTATAACAGATGAATGTCAGAAACCGTAGCCTTAAAGTGACTTAGCATGTAAGTACAAAAGTGAGTGACATTTCGGTAAATGTCGGATCAGCGAACCTTCATAAATATAAACTAACGTTTCATACGTTTTTAGACACGTGCTACATGAGAATGCATTTATTTTCTGCTGTCACTTTATATGCCCTCTCACTTGTATGTAAAACTAATATATTTACTCGTGTTGTTTACATACAGCACCATATGAACAACTTAAATATTCTTGCTAATCGTAAGTTTGGATCAAGGGCACGAGACGTATAGTTCAATACGATATGATAATGAGTATTGTTTCCAAACGCTTGTTATACGTGAATAAGTTTATTTCTAGCGCATTCATATTTATATGATTTATGCTTTTATTGTAATGCATTGATATAGAAACACACATATGCACGCACACAAGAACGCACGCACATGCGCGCGCACACACAGGCACACACACACATACACACATACGTATGTTTTTAATGAGATGCGTCAATTGTGCCAATATGGACGTAGTATGATGGCCATCACATCGGAGAAATAGACAAATTAAATTTGATTGGTACTCTTATTAATAATTATACAGGTATATAAGTATTACATCGAACTGAGAACATTTGACTGGCAAAGCACTTAAAGCTATGGATACTTTGTTATACAAATGTAAAACATATGAACCTAAACTTCTTTACCAAATTGTTCAATTTTAAGTTGTGCTTCTGAAATATGGGGTTTTATAAAGTCTTAAGAATAAGAACGAATTCGTTAGAAGTTTTGCAAACGAATTTACAAATAATTTGAATGCTAGTAATGGTTTTGTAAGATATTGATTTATTAGATTTATTTTATTAAGGTCGGTGCCTTGCAAGCATGTTTTATGGCCAAGAGGGGATACAAGGTCGATATTTACGAAATGAGATCAGGTAAGTGTTACAGTTAATTTGTCTTTAGTTAGTAAAGTGTGTTGTTTTTCATAAAAAAGTTTCCCGATCTTCCTTCGTTCCTCAGATAAACAATTATACTGCTTCTTTATTCTTTAGTCAGTTCCATTTATAAGTTTAACAAAATATTAATTTTCTGTCTCCATTTCGTTGTGACTTTATAACGTCGAAGGATAATTTAGCGTTTTTAGTTGATTATAAAATAAATTAATTTTAAACTCTCTGTCCATTATTTGAAACCAAATAGTAATTTAGTTGATGTCGCAATATTTCAAGTTTTTTTTTGCAACCAAGGTGTTCCTCTTTTTTCACGAACGATATATACGCATCAGCTCCTAGCACAAATATACAAATTATTCATATTATTTCAGATATTCGGACTATGGAGGTCGTCCGAGGGCGGAGTATAAATCTTGCATTATCAGTTCGAGGGCGGGAGGCTTTGAGGAGGGCTGGTGTAGAAGATACGATAGTAAAGTATGGTATACCAATGTACTCTAGAATGATACATGATCGGGATGGAAAACGGCGACCTATACCATACGGTAAAAAGGATCAGGTATATTCATTTTTGTATAGGGCATTCTTTGGTGGTCTCTTTGCAGTTAAGTTTATAAACACTTTTATTTTAGTTCGATTATGGTCATAACTGAGGAAACATATTCAGGACCCGTGTATCCCTCGAGTCCACTTCTGGAACCAACCAGTACTGAGCAATGATCGAGTGTAAACATTCTTGGTCAAAGAAACAACGGCTATCCTTTGACGGGCTAGACAGCGGTCCTTAGATTAATGGTCCGACGCGTTAACTACTCGGTCATGTTACCACAGTTGTATTGCTTTGAGTTTTGGACACCCACTTAAATTTAAAGGTTTCAGGGATTTCATTTTCAAAATACAGAAAGTGAGATAACAACATTATAGAGCTTGGATGTGCATATTGACCTCAATCTTACAACAAAGGCTAATCATTTTTTGTTCAAGAGGATATGGGTTACTTAATAATACAATTTTCCCCGGTTAAGCCAATTTGTACCAGAAGTTTGCCTTGTAAGTCTTTACATCCACTTGATTGCCATTAATTATAGTCTGTAGTTTTTAGAATCGATTTAATGGTTTACAATAAGTATACAATACACGTGATTTTCAATCAAGAAACATCATAGTATAATTGGTGACATGTATTTGTGCATTTTAACAAAGACTAAAAGACTACACGAGGAGCGTTTTCGTGACATGTTAGTTCTTTAAGTAAGGAGGTTATAATTAAATATCTGCTTTTAAACACAAAATGTAATTTGTCATTTTATGGCGTGAAATGGCCGTAGAAAGAGTAATCGGTAAACTATGGATCTACTCAACATACTGTATATGTTTCAAAAATCCTTTGATTATTTTTTTGAAGAGATCATTTTACAAAGTTTTCAGAAACGGATACCCGGTATTTTGATATGCATACTTTTTCTTTATTTCAGTACATTATGTCCATTGATAGAAGACACCTGAATGAAATATTACTTACAGGTAAATGAAATCTGTATAAAGTTTTTATTGCATATTTTAAATATTCAAGTAAATGAAACCTTTACATCAGTTTCTTATTTTCTGTACTCGTAATTATGACAGTTTCCTTGTTCAACAATTTTTCTATTTTCAGAGGCAGAGAAATTCTCCACCGTTACAACTCATTTTGAACACAAAGTTGTAGAATGCAACTTCAATGAAGGATCAGTGACTTTTCAGAAGTAAGATTTACTGAATAATGCTTTTCCATTTGAAAAAATATAGTGATATAGAAAATACAAAACATTTCCATAAAAGTTTATCTATAACAACAGTTATTTCTATAACAACACTAATTCTATGAAACTCAAATCACCATCATTAATAAGAAAACATACCCGTCATTGCCCCGCCTTTGTATCGTTGCCCTGCCTTACCGTTGGGTGTCGTTACGGGGGGAAGGCATTCGGAACTGCCTCGGCCATTATCTATAATAACCTCGGAAACAATACGGATTGAAAGTAGTTCTACCACGTGGTTTCAGATGTAAACAGAAACAGAGATATAATGTAAAACGAATGTATATATTTGACATCTAATGTCTGTTCCGGTACTCTTATACTTGAAAATATATCAGACAACAATTTGTGATTTAAATATGCCCACTGATGTTCAATTTTAAACAAATCCGACTAAATGTCAACAGAATGGTTTTTTTGTATTTTCGGTTTCTACAGCCATAATAATAAATATACAAATAATGTATTATTTGCTTTTGTACCTAGGAATTCACTTATTTTAGGTGGACTTTTACTACATATATTGGAAATAAACTTGTCAACAACTCCCAGCATTAAATTACTATTTGTTTACATGTTTAGTTTCTTAGCGTAGGTTAGAACGCAATACCGCATCCGTACTCGAATACTGGCGGAAAGGGCCGAGTAGTTGCGATTGGGGGGGGGGGGTGTTGGTAAGTTGCAGTGTTCAGTGAACGTCGCTCATCCTGGTTGATTTTACCTTTCATATTATAATCAACAAGACTTAATACAAATCTTCATCCTCAACGTGTAGTACGAAACTTAATTCAAGAAATTTCGTCAACAAGTTTAATTTACCAAACTTAATCACTGACCACTTAGCATAATTAACAACTTAATGTTAGTCGTAAGTCCAAATCTAATGTACAAAATCTTCTGTTCAGACTTAACCTAAGAAGCTTAATTTATCCATATTTTATAAGAATTTATGTTAATATGGTCTCTATGTAGGATTCACGTCAAAAACCTTTTGTAGGTTGAAATAAAACGATGATTTTAGTATTCTATATGTCTCTTTTTCATTTGTTTTGGGACATTATATTCTTTTTACATTTCAAACTGCATCATCAACTTTCTAACCAGTGCTGTATTATTCCATTTTTGAGCAATTGAACTCTTTTAATCTCAATAGAATTATAAAATTCTGGTTCGTCTTCATTCATGTTTAATTAAGTTAGCTCCCAAGTTTAAGAATGGATCGAGATTTGGATCAAATGGCTAAAATAGTATGTGACATATTTGTTGTAAAGAAACATGGTACTGTTGATGAATAACAAATAAGTTGAAATAACATTAATTACCGGTACCGATAAAATTGAATTTGATCAAAAATGTTGAAATACGGTGTATAATTTTGCTTTGATATTGATTCTTAATCTTACATCTTTGAGAGCACAGGGTCTGGGGCAACAAAGACCCGGGCAGCTCTAGAAATAAAAATAATGCTAGATCTTGAAAGCGATGGAGATTTCTGAGTTCATACGACCTGTTAATGAAATAGAATACCTTCATATATATATTAGGAAAGATGGTAGTGTGGTAACAGTGAAAGCCGACATGGTTATTGGCTGTGACGGGGCGTATTCCAAGGTTAGACAAGAAATGATGAAGAAAACGTTGTTAGATTACGAACAAATCTTCATTCCTCATGGCTACATGGAACTGAGTATGCCACCAGCACCTAACGATAAGGTATTACAACAAGAAATGTATATTGAGTTAATGCTTATATATACTTTTTATTTTATCATAAAATGAAAAATAAAACTGAAAACAAATTTTCTAAAGGCGATATATTTTATGTCATAGTGCAAGATCCATTTTGTTTTAAACCAGCAGACTTCTTTCTCTCTCTCCCCCCCCCCCCATTTGAACAGCTCGTTACAATATAGTTACCGTATGTAACATGTTATATATCTACGTAATTATTCTGATGTCTGTGTTTCAGTACGCTATGGAGATTAATTACTTACATATTTGGGCGAGAAACGAGTATATGATGATAGCGTTGCCTAACTACGACAAATCATTCACGGTTACCCTCTTCATGCCATTTGATATTTTCAAAACTCTCACCACAGAAACAGCTGTACTAGACTTCTTCAAGACCAACTTTGCTGACTCTATCCCGTTACTTGGAGAGTACGTTGATTGTTTCATTTATTACTTTTGTATGTCGGAAAAGTCGCTTTAAAGCACGCCCTAGCTGTTGTTTATTCTAGCTTTAAGCATGCTCAACTTTATACAATATGGTATCGTCTTGTCTTTGATCCTTCACAGAAATTATCCTTATCATACATATATAGATGCATTATCAACATTTCCTTTTGTAGTATAGGCAGAATAATGGTTTACTTTTTGTTTCACCATTTACCTCGAGAGTTTTAGCCAAACTAAGCAATAGCATTTGTTGAAATCAGCAAGAATACATTTTAATTGTTAGGTACACCTACATTTTATAACATTTTAGACAATGTCAATAAAGAAAATTGGGCGGATTCTTTCATTTGCTTTACAATATATTTATCTGGCACAATTTCATTTCATTTTAGAAAAGCTCTTGTAGAGACTGTTATTAAGAACAAGGCGTTGCCCATGGTAACGGTCAAGGTTAGTAAGATAAAAAGAAACAGTGTTTCAGTGTTTTTTTGAAATGGATTATTTAAGAAAAGTTAATTGGATAACTTGTTAAATAACATGTATTGCTGCCAGTAACCATGTCATTCTTAAGCAAGAAATCATATACTAGTACATGATGATTTTTCTTTGTTTGGGTCGTCAGACCAAACAAATAATGGTAGCGAAATTTCAGAGCCTAATGCTGTATGTAAATGCCTAAAGTAGTCCACTTTTTTGAAGCGGTTACTTCCCTTTATATGTACACTAACGCCGAAAAATTCAGGGGAGATCAATGCGTAAAGATTGTCAAATGACAGGCGCATTAATTTTCAAGCAAAGTAGTTCCCGAATGGTCGAAGATTTCTAATATTGTTACATTCTGTATACATATACATGCTTACAGTAAGCTCCATGATTATTTACATCTGTGTTAAACAACAGGTTTAGCGTCGAAATAATAAGAGTTACAAACCCTAATTTAGAATAATATGGTTTTCTTCAGGCCGTTAACATATAACTTCATCGTGGTCGTGGGGTTTGCACGCTCGCTTATGAATCGAGAGGTCTGATGTTCAAATCCCATTTGAGGCAACTCATTTTTTAAAAAAATTTTTACATCAAATAAACATTGAATTGACTATCAGTGTTGCAATTAGTCTTATAGCCAATTTACTACAGTAAAAACACTGGAAAGCATTGGTGGCACTATACAAAAACAAATTGATTTATAATCTCACAACCTTCACCTTTCTGACATTCTGAGACCCAAACAAATTCAGCGCCTTCTGTGCTTTGATTAAATGTTGTATCTGTGTTATTTTTCAACATCTTTTGAGTAACTAACTTAATGTATAATCACCATCGATAAAATGATCTTAATGTTCATGAAAAACGCACCGTTTGTTATATAATGATATTTTTTAATGTAACGTGTTAGTACATTAAAAAGAAAAAATGTGAAGTAAAATTAAGTTATAATATGATATATTGACATATTACACAACAAAAACAATTCTGTTTGAACTGTTGAAAGTAAAAGCCGAGTTTTTATATTCATTGTAATTGTATGAAATGCAAACCAATTCTCTTGATCTATGTATTTATTTTCAGTGTTCACCTTACAATGTTAAAGACAAGTTTGTAATAATGGGAGATGCTGCCCACGCAATGGTTCCTTTCTATGGTCAGGGTATGAACTGTGTAAGTTAACGCAATACTTTTCTTACATGTGATTAATTCAGACAAGTGATTACATAATTACATAATTAATAATTAACTTTAATATCTAACATGATCTAAAGCAAATATTTAAACGTTATACAGCTCATGCATGTTTGCCCAATCTAAAGAAGAAAACTATTATTTGTTTCTGAGGCATAATGTGTCTTTAATTGTGAAGTCAGATTGTTAGTCCTTCCGATCATTTATTTCAATACAGGGTTCAAGGTTGAATACCGCTTAAGTCGGTGCTAGCCGGTGCTAGGGAGCGCGAGGGATGTTGCACTTTACGGACTCTTGAACGGACTCAATAAAAAGGAGTCTGCAAATTTCAACTTTTTGATGTTTTTTTCCCATAATATCTCTCGGGGAATTTCCCCTTTGAAGTTTTTTTACTATTTTCGGACAAATCTTTCTCGATCGATTCTTTTTACCAACTTTTAAAGCTACATTCCTATTTTTTTTTCAAATATGTTTCAGGGTTTTGAAGATTGTGTTGTGTTTTGTGACCTTCTGGATAAACACGAAGGAGATTTCGGTAAGTAACACATTTGTATATATTTGATATTTCATTAATCAAACTATAATATCATACTCAATTTACATTCATTCCAACAAGCTGGGAAGACTTAAGACTTAAAGTATGTCTTCCCAGCAACAAGTGACTTTAGAAATCTACTTAGATCAGCCATCACGTGTACTTTTAATTTAATACAAGGACCAAAATGGTGTCACTTGTTGTAAAAGTAGCATCAAGGCAGTAAAAGGGTCAGAGTTATATGTTTATATGTTGATGTTTATATGTTGATAATGTTTACATCAATACATATTTTGAACTTGAACTTGAGAGTCAAATGTTGAAATAAAGCACATAATTGTTGCTTTTCTTTATGTGACAGGTGCTACATTGCATGAGTTTACGAGTTTCCGGTCAATAGACGCTAAAGCAATGTGCGATTTAGCTTTCTACAACTATATTGAGGTAATTATTATTCACTTGTTGTAATTGTTTAAAGTGAATTGGTCTATAATGGAAGATATGTAAAAAATATGCAGGTAGTATGTATCAAGTAACAGATATAACACCGAACCATGAAAGAATTAGGTATATATAGATGTTGGAAAGTGTGAGATGCATGATCCGAAATTACATATGAGTCGCGTCATGACAAAACCAGCATAATGGGTTTGCGACCAGCATGGATCCAGACCAGCCTGCGCATCCGCGCAGTCTGATCAGGATCCATGCTGTTCGCTATCAGTTTCTCTACTTGTAATAGAGTTGGTAAGCGAACAGCATGGATCCTGATCAGACTGCGCGGATGCGCAGGCTGGTCTGGATCCATGCTGGTCGCAAACGCACTATATTGGTTTTGTTGTGACGCGGCTCATATGTTCATGTAGCAGATAATAAATTGTAACAGGACAAAATATTATTATCCATCATTAGGTTTCAATGTTCATAATAAATAACTGAGAACTTTATCAATGTTTACAAGTAATATTTTATAAAAAATGTCCAAATGATACATTTCTATTGTTGTTATCAAAATTTGAAATATATAAGGAAAATTTGCCCATTGTAGACCAATTCGCTTAAAAAATGTAAACTGTTATATTCACAAACAACAATAACAACAACAACAACCAATTACCTATTGCACGATTTTATGATATTTTTGTTGATAAGATTAATTGAACTGCTCTTTTAACATAAGAAATTAACAACAAATTACCTTTAATTATTTTGAATATCCAAATTTTAATCAATTTTTTTTTGTTTGTTGCTATTTGTATGTATTCTTAGAAATCTGTTACACTTTTTTTCATTTTTAGATGCGCCAGTCAGTAAATTCTCGTTTGTTTTTAATGAGGAAGAAGCTGGATAACTTCTTATTTTGGTTGCTACCAAACACTTGGATCCCTCTTTATACAACGGTAAGAATTTTTTTGTAGATTATGTTGTACTTGACTGTTTTACATTAATGAGCCGCGTCACGACAAAACCAACATAGTGGGTTTGCGGCCAGCATGGATCCAGACCAGCCTGCGCCTCCGCGCAGTCCGATTAGGATCCATGCTGTTCGCTATCAGTTTCTCTACTGTCTGGATCTATGCTGGTCGCAAACCCATTATGTTGGTTTTGTCGTGACGCGGCTCAAATGGTTATCCATCTGCTTTTAACTATTTTCATAAAAAATGATTTTTTTACTCTGTGTCCTTCCTATTTGTTTTGCGTGCCTTTCCGATGGCCGTGTGTGACTGGACTTTGTCGGGGGACAGCATTCCGTAAATGCTCTCATTTATTGGTCTTAGTATTCTAAGTCTCTGATATTATTCTCTCCAGACATTTTTTGAATAACAATAAACTCATAAGATAAATTCTTTGTACGTATAATATGTTTTGTAATTGATATGTTGAAATATTCACAGGTGTCATTTTCAAGGAAGCGATATCATGAGTGTATCAAGAACAAGGAATGGCAGGATAGGGTATATATGTTTTTCCAATAATATTATTCTTTATTATAGAACAAAACATCATTTTTTGAAATTTACTAAATCTAAAATGCAAAAGAAACGCTTACAAATACAGTGTAATGTCAGTTGTATGCCTGTCATATTTCACTGATGATCAAAATACCTATTATATAACAAAGAATGGAATTTTAAGTTTAAAATATAGGTTTTATATGTTTCCTGTGCTTTTTGTTTTCAAGCACATTTGGAAGTCGCGAAAATGATTAAGCTGCGATAAAACTAAAGTATTGTTCATTTCAGGTTATTCAAAGGGCTTTGTACATTTCCATTCCAACGTTAGCAGTTGCTGGATATTACATGTACAAACAAGTGGAGCAGTTAGAAGTACCTTTACACGAAAAGCTTGTACAATTGGCGGAAAGATTTGTATCCAAGCTGAAATAATAATGTGAAAGTACTTTGGTGACGAATCTCCGATTAAGTCAAACGCCTACTGGGGACCTATAGACAGAGATTGTTAAGCATTGATATTATGAACGGCTTTACTTGCCTTTTACATTTAACAGTATTATCATGTTATGTATATTCTTATACATGTATCTTAACAGTATTCATTTGACAGTGTTTAAGCATATGTGTATAAACGTATTTTGGTTATGGATCTTTTTGTTAACATATTTTTTTAACTCTTCATATATGTTTAAGAATAAAACAATATGAATCTCATTTTATTATTCATATCTTCACCAGTAAATGTCAATATACACGTTTAGCTTGACTATCCTAAAAATAAAGAAAGCTATTGTACTCACCCAGGCGTCGGCGTCACACTTTCGTGCAAGTTGGTATCTCCAAAACTTATCGTAGGAATGGCTTGAAAACTCGCACACAAAAAGGAAAAATTGCTTAAATAGTGTAAGAAGAGTAGCTGGACAAACTTGAAAAAAAACCTAAAAGGCTATAACTCTAACAAAAATAATTGAACCGGACGAGACTGACGATATACACAACTAGACTAGGTAATGATCATTCCTGTAAAGTTCGGATGAAAGTGCATAAGTAGTTTCTGAAGAGTAGCCTGGACAAGCTTCAGTGAAGCTGGCAACACAAAAATCATTAGCAGGCCAAAACACCTCTTTATAGGCCCATTACTCAGTCAAAAATCTGAAGCAGAGAACCCGTGTAATATGCGCAAGTACTTGAGCTACGATCAATCCTGTTAAGTTTCATTGAAATTTCATGAGTGTTATAAGAGGAGTAATCCGGACAAACTTAAAAAAAAAAACAAAAACAAAAAACAACATTAAATAGTCATAAATCTGACAAAAATCATTGAACCGGAAAATGACGACGACATAAATAAATGTATTTGGTATTGATCAGTCCTGTAAAGTTTGAATGAAATTACAGCAGCAGTAGTTTCTGGTGGTGTGTAGTCCGGACACGCTTCTCTGTAGCTGGAAACACAACAAAGGCGATCAGTGATCACATGTGACACCTCATGTATCCAATTGCATGTCGCAGCTACTGTGTAGCAGGAGACACAAAATCGTTAACAGGGCAAAACATGTTTTTTTATTCAAGGGCTATAACTCGGGCCAAAAATCATTCAACCGAAAAAAATGTTAACAGAAACAGAGATAATGTAAGACGAATGTATATATTTGACATCCAAAACAAAAGTAATGTCTGTTTCGGTACTCTTATGATTGAAAATATTTCTTACAACAATTTGTAATTTAAATACTAAATGTCAACATGTTGGTTTTTTGTACTCCCTGTAAAGTTTGGATGAAATAGCACCAGTCTTTTTTATGAGTAGTTTGAGTTTATGTGACGGACGAACATACAGACAGACCCCTATATATGTCACCACCACTATGAAGATGCAAAACAAAAATCATTAACAGGCCAAAACATTTTTTATATTCAAGAGCAAAACTCGGCCAAAAATCATTTAGGGGGATATCCGTGTAATATGCGCAAGGAATATGAAAACGCACAGGCACAGGCACGTACACGCAATAAAGTTTTATAGTTTCATTTTGCAGGATGTTTGCGACAAATGGGACAGACTACAATAATAATAAATAATATTTTCATTGCCTATTACATTCCCTGACGGGGAGAAATCCCCTTTTCAAACAGGAAGTATCAACTTTGGTTGAGTTACAATCAAAACTTTAATACTGCAACATAAGAGCTATGAGACGTCACACGAATATGAATGATCACATATACCTTTTGATTACGATAATTTGGTGGTCAGGTATAAGTGCATTAAAGCAACAATGTACTGCAGTGGACAAACATTCACTGACATGTAATTATATTCCAAAAGATATTCCAAATGGATTCACAACTATTAGTTTGATAGATTTTATGGGAGAAAACAGAATATTTGAACTGAATAATTCATACTTTACATCTAAAAAATGGGGACAAGTAAATACAATCAAGTTACTGCAAAGTCGATATGAACCAAACTTTAACGTGAATTTTAAGGATAAATGTTTTCATGGATTGAAATCACTTCGGGAGTTACATATTAATCTACCACTACATATAGATGTAGAATCAGATGTGTTTGTTGGACTTGACAATCTTAAATTCTTAGACTTGAGTGACTGTGTACATTTAAATCTATCAAAACTTGTAGCCAGTTTTACAGGGTCAAATAAACTTCCGAACTTGGAAATTTTGAAAGCATCCAAATTGAATATCTACAATGAAGGAATTAAAATTGACACAAAATTTGCTGAGGGACTTGGTGATAAAAGAATAACATCTTTAGATTTCAGTGGTGCATCGGTCACACAAGTAAATACAACTGCTGGATTTCAATTCTTGGAAAAGTTAAGAAATGTGAATTTATCTTATTGTAAAATATCCGACATAATTATAGACAGCAAAACGGATGTCCGGAAATTAGAAAGCATCGGTATTTTAGATTTGAGTCATGCACCAATATCTTGGCTAATCCCATCTAAAAAAATAGTTAGCAAAACATGGTTTCATTCCGATTTTCCTATGAAATGGAATTATTTTCTGTTTCCTAAAATAGTAAATTCGAGTTTCTGTATTCGTGACCAAGGTTTAATTTGGATTGTAAATGGAACATACAAAGCTGATTCACCTTTTCTGTGGAAAAGCGAAGAATTTATCGTCAAAAATAATAATGTAAAATATTTAGACCTCAAAATGGAATGTTTCATTCATAAGGCTTTTACAATAAAGCACATAAATGCAGCTGGAAACCAAATGGAATTTCTCCATCCTAGTATATTTGGATGTTTCCCTAATCTTGAAAAGCTTGACTTGTCAAACAACAAGTTACATAAAATGGCAAAAGAAAACCATCTGTTGTTTCAGCAACTGTTCCAATCACTTTCTCGTCTAAAGATAATTAACTTATCATTTAATCGACTTAAAGTTATACCGGAAAAAATGTTTACTGAAAATCGTGGCCTTGAACTGATAGACTTTTCTCATAATGAACTGGAGCAAGTGACCTTCACATTAAAATATCTGTACAAACTGAAGGTTCTTAATCTTCAATATAACAGGATAAAAATCTTAAACTCTCTTTCCATCAATAACCTCAACAGTATACTCAACACACTAGGAAACACAACATGGACTTTGGATCTTGGGAATAACCCTATATCATGTTCAAAATGCGAAGCAAAACAATTTATCTACTGGTTAACACATACAAACTCTGTGAGTATTTCCACAACAAATCTTGCTTGTACTACCTTAAAGAATACAAGACGGAAAATAGATAAACGTACATTGAATGATGTCAACAACATTTGTAAACGGAGGGTCATGATTATATCAACCACTTTATCTGTGGGATTTACTATTATTATTGTTCTAATAGTCATATTGGTTGTATACAAACGTCGTAAGCGAGCTACTAAAAGAATGAAGAGAGGAGAATTAGTAAACAGGCTACAAGAAGGTCAAGGTCAAAACGAATTTGTTGCATTTCTTTCATACAGCAGTGAGGACAAAGATTTTGTTGATAACTTTTTGATTGATGACTTCAATGAAACTCTCCAACATATGACCGGTATAGACAGAAACTTGATATGTACAGGTGACCTTTATCTGAGACCAGGTTTCAGGATTTTGGACGAGATAGCATTGTGTATGGAAAGAGCATCGGCTTTCATTGTGGTTGTGTCAGATAACTACAACTCAAGTCGTTACTGTCATAATGAATTAGATATGGCTTATCGACTTCAAAAACCAATAGTCCTTTTCATTAAAGGAATGGTTGATGAGTCACTAATGACGCCAGTGATGAAATCTCTCTTCAAAAGTAACGTCAGAGTACTTTGGGCTTTTGAAAGCCAGCAATACACACTGAAGACTACATGGGACAATGTTTGTTCGTCTTTGTTTGATTTGATAATACAAAATCAAAATATTTGACTTCACGACTGATTAGGTTTTTTTCAACAGAGTATATAGAAGAAGATTGGGATAGCAATTCAACTTTATATACTGTAACTGTGGATATGACATACCGGTAGAATAAAGTTGTAATCCAAGCAGCATCTCTTATTTTATTGTTAAACAATATCTAAGTTCTTTTACTTCTTTTTTGGGCGGTAAGATGCTGGTTTAAAAAATGTTTTATTAAACTTGCAGTTGTTTTTTTGCACTAGATTTATATAGAAAATCTTAAAATTGACAATTAAATGTACTTTAATGCTTTTGAAAACTTTTACGAAGAAAGGAAAGAGCGGTTGGTAACAGTGGGGAAATACAGAAATTTGATAAAGCTAGGCTGTTTACATAATAAATAATAGAGGAGCAAACAAAAATTATCACACAAGCATGTTAGCATGTAGAAAAAAAACGTAGTCAATGTTTAAAATGAATATAGTCTTGAAAAGGAATATGTTGTTGAGGAGGACAAAATTCATTTTTTTGTTTCATAACGTTATATTGTTACCATTATTTGCTCATTACATACCTTTTTTAAGTTTTCTTTATTATGCCCCCACAATGTGGAAGCGTATAGCGTTGCACTTGTCCGTCCGTCCGTCCGTACGTCCCGAAATCTTGTGAACGCAACTCCTCTTAAACCGGATGGCAGATTTTGCTTAAACTTACAGGGATGAACAACCTTAATGTGTAGATGGTAGTAAAGGAAGGAATTTTCGCTGCGTCCAAATTTAACAGAATTATGGCCCTTTGTTGATTTTTTCACTAGATCCTATGTAGAAATTTTGTGAACGCAACTCCTCTTAAACCGGATGGCAGATTTTGCTTAAACTTACAGGGATGAACAACCTTAATGTGTAGATGGTAGTAAAGGAAGGAATTTTTGCTGCGACAAAATTTAACAGAATTATGGCCCTTTGTTGATTTTTTCACTATATACTATGTAGAAATTTTATGAACGCAACTCCTCTTAAACTGGATGGCAGATTTTGCTTAAACTTCCAGGGATGAACAACCTTAATGTGTAGATGGCAGTAAAGGAAGGAATTTTTGCTGCAACCAAATTTAACAGAATTATGGCCCTTTGTTGATTTTTTCACTATATACTCTGTAGAAATTTTGTGAACGCAACTCCTCTTAAACCGGATGGCAGATTTTGCTTAAACTTCCAGGGATTAACAACCTTAATGTGTAGATGGTAGTTAAGGAAGGAATTTTTGCTGCAACCAAATTTAACAGAATTATGGCCCTTTGTGGATTTTTAGTTTTCAACTTGTGGCACATGTAGTCCAAAAAATATTTGACCTAGAGTCATAAGATTGACAGAACAGTGGCGTGTGGGGGCATCCGTGTCCTATGGACACATTTCTAGTTGGATATAAACTGCCGCACATATCATAACAATTATCTGATTGTAAAAATACCACACTCAGTCGATCAATCTGAAATAGGATTTTGGTACTAAAATTGATAAAAATGCAGTTCTAAAAGTACTTTTTATTTCAATTATTTTTATTGTCACTCTTCTCAACCACTTGAAATTAAAAAAACTCCGTAATTCGAAATACATGTAGCACGTTTTATGACTAGATTTGAGTATGGACTTTTACAATAAAAATGTCATAAATAAAGCTGAAATGGTCGCATTCAATAGTTATAATTTAACTCCTTTGTATTGGTTATGACATTTAAGATAATAGCATTAAAATAAAAATTTAGCAAAAACGTTTGAGAAAAAAATTAAACAAAAATGCTATGTTTTATATTGTTATAATAGAACATTCCGTTCGTTCAAAACAGAGGAACATTTTTGAAAAAAAAAGAAGAAAAAAACCACATCCGTTAGTGCGCTTTCTAAATCGACAGAAATGTGCCCAGTAGACAAAGGATATCGTTCATTGCTCTGTATTTGTTTTTCGCAATTTTAGGTGTTCTTCTTTTTCATAGTTTTTCATAGTTTAGTTTTAAACTTGTATTTATTGCATTAAAATGTACTAGTATTTCATTCTTTTTGCATATTTTCGTTCAATGGCTTAAAAGTGTATAAATAAAAACTATCTAATTGTATGAATGAAAACTTTCACAAAATGAAATTCATTGAAAGTAATTATGAAATATACTGAACCAAAAAAGAAACTTATGTGCCAGTTGTTCAAGGGTACCTCTTAGATGCACACACTTATATATACATGAAGTAGCTTGTAAAACTCGTTTTGTTTGCAAAATCGGTCAGCTAATCCCCGTAAAAAAGCCCGATATGTTTATTAGTTTCAAAAGGATTGAAAAACTGTACTAACATATCTACATTCAAACTTGGAGAAAGTTTCTTTTTTTTCAGTATATTGATTTGAGTGTTAAGTCAAAATGTTAGTGTAAGTGTAAATTTTCAAACCTAATTATGTATTGTCTCTGAAACTTTTATCTGCTTCGTACTGCTGTAATGATGTGTAAATACATCTGCGGATCTTTCTAAATTCAAAATTTCACCTTTTTTATGTTTAAATGTTGAATTCTGGCAAAATAAGCCGGTGCTATGGGGCGCGGACGGTGCTATGGGGCGTGGAAGGTAGTTTGCACTTTACAGTACCATGAACAGACTCAATCAAACCGAGGACTTTCCTTCAGACATGTTATGCTTCAGAAACGAATACATTTTACTTCTTTAAAAAGGGCAAACATGAATTTTATAACATTTAAATAATGATTAATGATTTAAGAGTAAGTTAGATGCTTGTAACCTGAAGAAAATAGCGATTAATGTTAAATAATGTGTCATAAAAATAGCACAATATAAACAAAGTAGCATTTGGACTTCCATACAAAATACTAAATCACTATTAGTAGCAGCAGATGAAAGAAATTGTTTAGGTAATTGGCCAATGACTATTTTTTTTGGAAACTATAAAAGTATACCAAAATAAAAAGCTTTTAAGAAATAAAAAATGCCTTTCTGTGTCTTAATGGGATTCTTATTTTCTCTATTTTATACTGTATGTATATATATATATACACACACGCACGCACGCACACACACCATGTTTGTATTATGTATGCTGCACTGGGTGTATTTAGACATCTCCTTAGTGCGAATGCGAGAAAATACAGACAGTTTGAATGAGTATGAATCTTCTTTTTTCTAGTTTAATGTTTACAGGAGCTTTTCTTACATTGTATTGCTTTTGCATTGTGTCTATAAAGAAAGTTGAGATACATTTTTTTGGAAAAGCAATTTTCTTTCTTAGCGGTATATATGCTTTCTTATCATTTGTAAGAATTAAAAAGTGTTTGTTTGCATGTTTGTTATTGTTGTTACTGTTAATACCGTGTTTATCCGGTTACACAGTTTATACAGTCAGACCAATACGCCGGTCGATATAAAAAGCGGCCCTACAACGCGGGCATCCTGCAGCCTAGAGTTTTTTGCATAATAATGGCGGAAACATGAACTTCGTAATTACTGCATCTATGGCTTATCCGCAACAGAGTAAGACAAATGGTTAAGTGATGATTGGTTCTAGAAAATAGTGTTTTTACAAAAATTCGAAGATTTTATATATAGAAAGAACAAATCGCCAATCCCCAAAAGCGACCATAGCACGCGGACCTCTCTCGGCCATTTTTCTTGGGCTAGAGGTTTGTGTTTTATATTGCCGTAAAAACGAACGAACCTCAAAATTACTGTCATTGCTAATCTGCAACCAAATGTGTCGGATTGTTTTGTGACGGGCTCTAGAACATTTCTTTAAAAGAAAAATAGAAGAGTTTATAAATAAAGAACAAACCACCGAAAATACACCCGCAGGTAGCTCCAGAAAATGGTGTTTTTACGAACATAATTATTTAGATTTTATACACAAAAAGTTCAAATCTTCAAAAACCGACCAAGCCACGCAGACATCCCTCAGTCATTGTCTTACAGTTTAATCTTTGCGCCTTATAGTTCTGTAAAAAGGAAACTGCTAACTAATGTTCAAACCAAAATTCCACCATTACATGATGCCTCTCGTGGCTATTTTCCTAGAGTTAAGAGCTTCGTGCATCAAATTGCTGTTAAGAAGAAGCTCAAAGCTTATGAAATGGTTTATCAGAAACAAAGTCAGACAAATAGTGTTCGAGTATAATAAGAGGCTAAAAGATTTTGCCTTTATCGAAAATTCTACAACGTTAAATACAGAATGAACAATCTGTCTATCCAAAAGTCAGCCATCACACGCGGGCCTCAAGCGTCCATTTTCATTAGGTTAGGGCTTCTAGCCTTATATTGCTGTAAAAAGGAACCTCAAAACTAATTTCAATGGCAATCCACAACTGAAACAAACGAAAGATTACAAAACGGATGGCTCCAGAAAATGGTGCCTTTCACGAAAATTCTTAGACTTGTTATCAGAAAATCGACCATGCCAAGCTGACCTTTCGCGGCCATTTCGATAGGTTAAAAAGATGGCCGACTTGAAAGCATGTTTGTTATGGAGATGCATTACCTAGAAAAAGGGGAAGTGCATACGACGATCTCGCGAACGCCGTGCGATTTTAAATCTGATACCTTGGTGGTCATGAATCAAACGGTCGCAGAGGGTTTTTTGCCGCATTGATCTTACAGAAAGTTTTCAAAGGATCAGGCGGTCGCGCGTGATGTCCGGACGCCGCCCGTGCGATTCATTAATGTATCGGACCGTCGTTGCGCGGGCGTCGGACGTTAGCTTGACATTTTATATTCTTTTATAAGCTAGTTGTCAATATGCCAGCAAAAAAGGGCAGTAACTAGAGCCATCTACAGTCATGACTTCAACCACACAAACCTTCTTTTACGGTGACCTCTGTGCTTATCATTGCCATATTTTACTGCTGAAACAGTTATATTTTGCCTTTGCCTTATAATAATCCCCATAGACGTTCTTGCATTACGAATAATTTCATGTAAAATCTAAAGGAATTCACAAATGCATTTTTGAGGCAATAACAACAAACTCAAGCCGCGTTTACAACAAACCTAAGACACCCGGTCGCCGAAGGCAAAACTATGACCGCCCAGTGTCTGCTCATGAATCGTCCGGGTACTTGGTGACAATCGTTCGCCAACTGGGGTCTATTCGGGTGCCGGGTGGGCCCCGGGCGATGTCGACCCGGGTGCCTTAAAAATCAGACTATCAAAAATAAATCGCCCGATCCAAAAAAATCGCCGTTGACCGTGCGATGTATAACCGATGATAATTTTAACTCACTGACCCCAAAAATTATCGACCGCGTGCCGTTAGCTTTTAAGTTTTACCGTCCGATTTACACTGCCGCCGGTCGATATATTGCGATTCTTTGGAGAAACAGACGCCGCCGGGCGGCCGTCTGTTATTTGTGACAGAGGCATATAATCACTACTGATTGCTGAATGAAGTGTTACCAAAACCGTAAGAACGATATACAAGTTAAGTTTTATACAAGGAGCGAACCTACGCAATAGGCCATTTGTACGCATATACATGTATATCCCCATTCCACGTCATGAAAAGACATGTCACATGTTATCTAAACATACCTGTGTTAAAGTGACACAGCTGAAGTGTCATTGTATTTTATGGCCAGGATCTGACTTACCAATAAAACCCCTAAAACCTGAAACTATTTTCTCTGTTCCTCTTTTTATTTCAAATGTAAATACAGTCTACTGCCGGGTATGCAAATGAAAATTGAGTTATCAAATCGGAAGTGAAGATTGATTTTTTCAAAGAAACAGTATCCAGTCAGTTAACATATGTATTATTCAAAGACTCAAGAAATTCTTTTATTTCTATCCCTCAATTTTTTTTACCTTTTTTTACTTTTTTTGAAAAAAGTTACTCACTGGCTGAACCATCTTTTTACTTCTGTTGCTATTTGACAAATTTATTACAGTTATGGTGTCTGGAAGTCACATTTCACATTTACTGCTACTTTCTTCAGCTAACAAGCATCTTATATGTTCTTTAATCATTTTTTTAAATGTCAATAAAGTAATCTTTCTAATAAAGTTGATATTCATTTATTTCTGAGGTGTAATGTGCCTTTAAACATGGCTATATTTTAGTGACAGGTTTTGACAATGGACTGTATTGGATCAAAGATGTATACACTAAACATTTCGACAGCAGTGTGTACAGGTAGAGTAGACTGTGGCTTGAGTGTTTCATATCTCGAGTAGGGGTAAAACTCAAATACTGGAGAGAAAATATTAAGAGTTGAAACGAAATAAATATTGAGGACAAGGGGGTACGGTTAATTAGTATTCCAAACAGATATACATGTATATGATATAACAACCTTTATTACAATGGTTAAATCCATCAGTCATACAGATCATTGCTATTGCACAGTTTTTCTCTACAAAATTATCAAAATACAACAAGAAACATATTTAATTACAATATAAGATTCTGTAATTATACACCAACATGTAAGTTTATCATTTGAGCCGCGTCATGACAAAACCAACATAATGGGTTTGCGACCAGCATGGATCCAGACCAGCCTGCGCATCCGCGCTGTCTGATCAGGATCCATGCTGTTCCCTATCAGTTTCTCTACTTGATATAGGGTCTGTAAGCGAACAGCATGGATCCTGATCAGACAGCGCGGATGCGCAGGCTGGTCTGGATCCATGCTGGTCGCAAACCTGTTATGTTGGTTTTGTCATGACACGGCTCATTTTTTTTTGCTACCAAAAGTTATCATCAGCACTACATAAATACATAATGCGAGATCAATATGAAGTAAAGTGCTATTAAACATCTGGTATTAATTCCAAAGGCGTGTAGAAGTTGAAAAATCCTTCAATTATGTATCAACACAGTTCTTTCACTCTTTAAATATCCAACATAAGTCATTAAAACGTATTCTATTCAGTATTATGCCATACAAGGTGTTAGGTTTGCACTTTTTTATCACTGTTGATAGGTTTTTTCCCGAGAGAATTGAGTAGCTTGCTTAGCCCGTCACACTTATTCTTTTAACCTCACATGCATGGCCATAACATATCATAAATGAACATAGCCATTATTGTAGAAGAAAAAAAACGATATATTTCAATAAAATAGTAATTAAGTTATTGTAAAATAATGGAATGTTATAAGAATTTTACTACATTGTTCTTTCGTCATAAGTTACAACCTAGTTACAAAGAATATCAACTCTGACACTAGTAGCATAACAACAACACATTATCAGCAGTAAAAGCAACCTTTAGATATAAAAATACTGTTATAAATATACAAAATCTAGTAATAAATATCAGTTTTTACTGCTACCTATAATAATATTAGTAAAACAAATGTCTATCACAGAGAACTGTTGCACGAAATCACATTCCATGACACGTGCTAGATATTATATCTGATATATGTATATATCTGTAAACATTGAAATTTAAAAATTATTCAAAACAGAAAATCAAATTCCATGATGTAATATATGTAAAATGTTTCATTGATCTCTCCTTACAGTAACTGTAAAATAATTGACCTTCTGTAAAAAAGAAATAGGTACACGTTATAAGGAAGACTTTTGGATAAAAACGTAACAAACATTACACCTTCATTCAACATATAGAATATCATGTATACAAAAACATAAAAGTCTAATTTCCTATAGACTCTTTATAACTCAGCCTTTAATTTATTCAAGATATTTTTCCATTATATTAAGCTTGTTAATGTTTCAGATATTAAAAGATATTGTTTTTCAAAATTACTCTGGACACTTCATGGACTTAATAGTCAATAATTGGATAACAATAAATCATATAATGATGATGATGTAAACAACCATTTATATGTGCTGATTTATCATTACAGAATGTACTTTAAATGTCAGGTTGTTTATTCTTGGTCCTGCAGAAACTTGATTTAGTCTTCCAGCACAGTTGCATCAAGGCAGACCTTTTCTATGGCACTTGTTATGGTGGCAACTGGAATCCTTTCTTCACACATGTTTACAAACATGTACAACTTTCTCAGAGCATAATCATTCTGTAACACAAAATAATCACTTATTTCTTATATTCTATACCTACTAATATTTAACTAGATAAAGATTAAGTTTAATTAAAACAAATTTTGGTGAGCAAACACTATCAAACATTCAATCAATATGCAGGCTCAATGAAAGTTCACAACCTTTTGTAACTATTGAGAAGTCCTTCATTATGTTAAAGATATACTAAGCTAAACTTGTAGGTAAAAATCGAGTAAATTCTTCCTGAATATGTTTAATTTGAATATTTGAATGTACAAATTACGTTTAGGAAGTTGCATTTGTATTTACTTATCAATTGATTAGGTCTATTATAAAAACTGCCCGTTTTTTTTAATGACACTGTGAAATCATTCAGTAACTACCCGAAGTGTGTAAAATTAAAAACCTATAAGCCTCGTTACCGCCCAATGGGCAGAGTCCCCTCAGGACGGATATTTCGATCTGAACCGCAACATATGACAGATATTATAATTACATACTGGTAAGTACATGCACGAGTATTTCATAATTTTATATAAGCAAAATGACCTTATATCATAAGCATAGGTTTTGTTCTGTTTTGAGGAAGTACAACATGGTAAAATATAAAGTGACAAACCTCTGGAATATTAAGGTGATCATCACAATTTTCATCCAGGAAATCAAGAACCTGCTCATAACATTCCCAGTCCTGAATATGACTGCGTGTTTCCATCATGTTAGTAGAGGTCACATGATCATCTGTTGCTATACCAACAATCATCTTTACAGTTTTATTAACAATGTATCGCTCCTAAAAGACAAGAATATGAGCATAAATATTTTGATATGGATTTAACTCATTACAGGATTGGCGCAGTACTTCTAGACACTTGTAGAAATCTTGATCACAAAATAGAGAAATACCGTTAATTCATTATCGTACATAAAGTGGCAGAAGAGATGAATTTGACATGTTAAAGTTCATTCCATTGGGTGAAAAAAAGAGATTTTAGCATTTAATCAGTCAAGTGTCCTGTCCGGGTATATACTGGATTACGGTATATCGTGAGGTGCTCCAATCCTTTTTTTAGTCTTAACCTATTTAATACCTCCATCATTACTTGGATCCTTCATATTTACAGGACAATCAGTTTACCGGAAAAAATCTATAACACGCACTTTCTATTTCAAAGTAAATAACAACAAAACCGCCCTCAGGTAAATATTTTTGATTCAGTTCTTTATTTACTAACATGCCCTTTTGTTTACTAGTTATTTCATGACCTGGTCATGCGGGGAATAATCTGTTTTGCGCATGCCTGAATATTGAGGCCTTTAATGGGTTATTTTAGATGTTTTACTTTAAATTCTTCTCAACGTCTCTCAGGAGACAATCGTAACATATTTTAATGATTAAAAGTAATTTTAAATTTAGTTCAAACAGTATCTCGTTGTTGTCTTTTACAAAGAAAAGCAATTTAAACAAGAGCTGTCGGTAGGACAGCAACGCTCGACTAAGTGCTTGATAGTAAAAAAAATGCTTGATACAGTTACCTCCTCCTGTTTACAGGTTGGGGTAATAAAGGTGAACAAGTGTGCAAAGTTTCAAAGCCATATGTCAATGGACTTTGAAAATATTTTAACAATTACAAAAACTTTAACGTAAATTCTAAGTCAAAAAAGGGGCATAATTCTGTCAAAATGGTTGATAGAGTTACCTCCTCCTGTCTACAGGTTGGGATCATGATGGTAAACAAGTGTGAAAAGTTTCAAAGCCATATGTCAATGGACTTGGAAAAAATTTGAACTATTACAAAAACTTTAACGTAAATTCTTAGTCGAAAAAGGGGCATAATTCTGTCAAAATGCTTGATAGAGTTACCTCCTCCTGTCTACAGGTTGGGGTCATGATGGTGAACAAGTGTGCAAAGTTTCAAAGCCATATGTCAATGAACTTTGAAAATATTTTAACTATTACAAAAACTTTAACGTAAATTCTAAGTCGAAAAAGGGGCATAATTCTGTCAAAATGCTTGATAGAGTTACCTCCTCCTGTCTACAGATTGGGGTCATAATGGTGAACAAGTGTGCAAAGTTTCAAAGCCATATGTCAATGGACTTGGAAAATATTTGAATTATTACAAAAACTTTAACGTAAATTCTTAGTCGAAAAAGGGGCATAATTCTGTCAAAATGCTTGATAGAGTTACCTCCTCCTGTCTACAGGTTGGGGTCATGATGGTGAACAAGTGTGCAAAGTTTCAAAGCCATATGTCAATGGACTTTGAAAATATTTGAACTATTACAAAAACTTTAACATAAGTGGTTACGCCGACGCCGACGCTCGGGTGACTGCAATAGCTCTACTTATTCTTATCGAATAGTCGAGCTAAAAAAAAACATATAAGGAAATGGGTTACGCCCATGGGAAGAAACTCTACATGAAATGTAAATAAAATAGATTTTATGGCTTTTGCAACATGGTACATGATGACCAAAAAGAAACTGTATGACAAAGAACAGAATTCCATTTGAATATCAAAATGTTTCATACGTTTAAGGATCATGAAGAATCAATATGTTAATTGGGTTAAAAGTGTTAATTTCAAATACGCCTCTATATTGGCCTCTTCGTAACAAGCATGGCTGACATGTCTGTTTTAGAGACATACTGGGTTTTTCCAGTGTCTTAACCTTGACATTCAATAGTCGTAGTTTCCTTGATTATTTTCAATTCACGACTTCAAAATTTTCTGAAAAACAATGTCCGGTAAATTGAGCTGTCTACACGATTTGTTCTCTATTATAATGCCCTACTTTAAAGACACATTTCTACGGTCAAATGTTTAATTTCATGTTTGATAAAGGAATGTTTACGTATATTAAGAACCCACAATTATTTGGGCAAAATTCCATTCTTTTTTATTATTTTAAATAAAAGGTACAGCGAAAAAACATCATATTTTGTCCGGTAATATGCAGGATCCCAGTAATGATTTTTGGTGTTTACACCATGGCTTTGCCTGTCCCACTTGCTTTAAACAGTAAACCATCTTTGGAATAAGATATCTGATCATGATTGATTTGGTTTGATTAAAAAAAAATCTTTTAATTAACTCAACACAGCAAATATCCTGTATATGTAATAAAATACAAGTACATATACATTTGTATGTAAGCCAAAGGGTCAAAAATAGCAGCACATGTTTAGTTAACACATTGAGTGCTGGTTAAAATAAATCATTAAAAGTACATCATTTTTTTATGAAGCTTTTGAAGCTAAATGAACAAATGAACTTGGACAATATAGTTTTCCACAATGAGATATATCAATGTAAGAAATTTCAAGTTGATATATCTAATACATTGAACTTAGAGAAAAAATAAATATGAAAAAAATGCAAAGGGCAATAACTCATCAATTAAGAGATGGTGGGTTGAAGCCTTATTGATGCCATGTTCATATTTACTTATAAGACAGCAGTACCTGGAGTTGGACAAATAAGCTTCAAGCTTCTATCAAAATCCAGCTAAATTAAACTGTTTAAACTGAACTTTACAATTACAAAAAAAAACTTCATTCACATCATACCTTGTTGATAGCTTGTATTTTTGCCTCTAGTTCTTGAGCTTCTTCTTTCGACTCCACAAGGTTCAGACTGCGTCGTAGAATCTCCAGGGGAACGTCTTCAGACTTCACAGCATCTTCCTACAAGTCATGAAATTAATGCTTATTTTTAATTATCTTTATAAATGTTGCACTAAGATGGTATCAACAACAAGTTCTGTTGAAAATGGACAGTGCTTCAATTGAAAGAAATTTTCTTTTTCTTTGAGCATTGAAGCTTTCCCTCAAATATTCATCAGCTTAAGAAATTATTTTGTTGTTGCTGTTGGTTTTTAAGTTACACAAACACTTTTAAGCAACTTTGCAGCTTTACTGGAAGAGCAAGACCAAACAAGAGCTGACGGTGGGACAGCATGCTCCACTATTCTCAGTGCTTGATAGTAAAACAAAAGCCTGGATAATGTAGAATTTTTTTAGTAAGGAAAAGGTCATAATTCTGTCAAAATCCAACCTTGCATGCAAAACTTAACCAAAGTGTGATGCTAACAGCTATGCTAACTAGGCCAACGTCTGGGTATGTACAACAGCATTCCAATTCTTCTAAAAGTTGAGCTAATAAAATATTTCATGCATTATTTCAGGATCTGCTACCTCACATTTGAACTATTTCAGTAATTCTAACTACAAATGTAAATACATGTAATTGTAATTCATAAACCAATTTAAGTCCTGAAATGATTTGATATTTTGAAATTATAAAAAAAAAGTAAAAATCATACACAGGGATCTTTAGGTCTAGGGGGTGCTTTTCTGAATTTATCTCCCTTTGCTGCCTGCATTCCTTGAAACTCTGCAACAGTCATATCTCCTATACTCATGTCTCCAAACTCCTGTACATGACTTGTATTAGTCTCAGACTTTGTAATCATGAATTGTTTCTGTAAAGTTTCTGACTTCAAATCCTCCTGAGATTGTGCGAAATTAATATTGCTATTATAAAGCATATGAAACTTCATCTAAACTTCACTGTAAAATAATTTATTGCTTGTATAAATAATACGTGCAAAGTATTTAAGAAAAATATTTTACTGTTGCTTTATCAAATATAAACAGTTGGTTTTTAGATTTTCAATTTCAAAATAAATTAACGAACAAACAGTACTGTCTTTTGGTCAACATCACTGGCAGCTAAGGAACATTAGAATCATTATTGATAGATCCCTACTCTGACCTTTACTTTAACCACAAACATTGACATGTGCTCTTTTGTTAGCAAATATGTTGTGGCGAAATTCTTATTGCATCAAGTAATCTTATATTAAGAATTTAGACAGGGCTGGGTTACATGTATTGCCTTCAGCATTAAGCCACTAAAATGAAGAAAAAGTGAATCCATAAGAAGGCCCAAAATGGCAAAATTTAAAATGCTTCAAGCTCGGTTTGATTACATATTAGTCTGAGTAAAGATAATTATGAATACCTTGTCAGAATCCTCCATCCATTTAACACTATAAACATCACCGAGGTATGTCTTTCGAGTCTTGTCAAAATAACACGCATATGATGATTCATGGGCATTAGAGGCTGTTGTAACATATGCTGAAATTACATACAACATATAGAACCTATAGTTACCTTCAGTCAATATGAAATATTTACATAAAACATGACAATTTAGACAGTGATAAAATATATGTATTAAGTATTGTTTAATTGGCTTTAATTAAGCCGAATAGTTTTAAAGCATAAAGCAGATTTCTGAAAAGAAAAAAACATTGCTGTGATTTACTTTAGTATACACATCAATAGGGTATAACAATGATCAAAGCTATACATGCATCTTATTTTATATTGAATGAATAATTACATTCTTATTATGTCTTTTCTTTACAAAAGAATAGAAAGACCAAATAATTAGATGAAGAAATTGTTGATAATGCTACTGAGCTTTGTGTTCAGAAAAAGAAAACATACCATTAATATCTTTAGGTAAGAGATCATAAAATATGGATCCTGATTCACAAGCCTCTACGTAAATCACCAGCTGTAATAATTACACATGTTTATATGACAATAACATATTTTATTGTATGCTTATAAATGGAATATTGAGAAATATTGATGACAAAAATTAAATTTTTATTTTCACTGTAAAAATTTATTTTTCACTGGAATGGAGAATATTTTCCATATTTTCACTGGAGTCTTGCTAGATTAGTTTTCTTTATATTTAGCCTATACACAGAATTCTTTCAAGAGAAACAAAGCCTATAATAAACAGAAAATTCATCATTATCATATTTCACTCGAAATATTTATTTTCATATCATCCCATGAAAATAAATCACGTAATAATAGACAAAAAGCCTTTATATTCCCTAATCTGTAGGAATTTTACATTTTTCTTTTAAATAAACTATAACAACATCTCTAGAGCAATAGTACAAAATAAATACTTACAGTTGATTTTTAGATACATTTTCCATGTATGAGAATAATACATACAAGAAAGAAGCCCCTAATTCTAAAGAAGTTAATGCAGTAAAAAGTCAAATTTAATAATTGCTTTAGTTTAGATAAATAAATTCATATTATGTTATGTGGAATGATCAATTGTTAAGAAGAAATTTTGCCTGTCACAGAGAAATTTTGCCTCACTCGAAGATCAAACAACAGACCTCTGTCTTACAAATCTGAAGCGCCCCCTATTGAGCTAAGCTGGCATACTTTCAGTATTAGATACATTCATAGATATACAATCTCACTTTGGAAATGTTTTGAATGATATAAAAATATTGATTGGTAAGGTTTTAATGGTCGCATGGGTAAATTCTTTTGCCAACAGCAACTTAATTGTTAAAGCGTATAAAGCTATATGTTTGCAGTGCGTGGATTGTAATATTTGTGTTTATATTGTGATTAAAATGATTACAGTATACCTATAATGAAGAAAATTTGTCAGTATTTTTTTTTTTAAAATACGAGTTGGGCATACATGATATTATAGTAAAATCTACTAAAAACAGATGCAGAATAAAAATGTACATACAATATTTATGCAGATATTGAATGTCACATTTCTGTCAAGAAAAGACAATTAGATTATGAAAACAACAACCAGATATAGCTTTATACAAGCTTCAAGCTCACAGAGTAAAGTGACAAAATATTCAGTCAGACATCCTATACAGTAAATATTAACCTTTCTAAGATGGCCAAAGGCTTATATACTTATTTATGATAATGTTTGCTTACTTTTTTATATCTTTTTTGGTCATGCATGTACATGATGGCATCCATCAACTTTTGTGCCTTCAACTGTAACAAAATAAATTTGCATAATGCATATCTCTTTTGTAAACTAAAATAATCATGAATGTGTCAAATATGCTTAAATGTGACAATTTTATATTAATTAAAAGAATCAATGTATAAAGCTCAAATTGCAATTTTCAGTGAAGTGTCTACAATGTTTATTTGTAAATAATTATGCTTGTTTATTTCTCAAGGACAAAGCCTAACTAACAAACACAAACTCTGCCTGACTGATCATAGGCAGAAGCTTCCATAGTGTCAAATGAAGGAATAAAATAAAGACAAAAATGTTTTTCACTTACTTACTCCTTTTTGTTTTGTTATAGGGAAAAAAGAAACCAAAGGTCAAGTCCATAAGGTTTAACCTAACTGACTTAAAAGTTTCTTCCACTATTAAGCTTATATAACTGATAAGATATCATTTATTAAATTATTTCTGACTTTGTCTTTACCACAGCAAAAAGATATGTCATGTTTTAATGAAAACATGAAACACATTTAACAAATTTACCATTTTACTGCCAAAGCCCAAGATACCAGGTCCACCATGATCAACAAAGTTAACAAACACATGATCCTTGGGACCACTGAAAAATATATAATATACAATCTTGTTACACTATAAACAAATCATGTCCTTTACTAACGGAACAATTTATTATGAACTTTAAAATCTAATACTACAAAAACTGAATTTATTTAGAATTGTTACAATGTAGACAGTAGAAGAGTTTGACAATCTATGAGAGACAGATAGCTTAAAGCCCCTACACATATTTGTTGTTGTTTTTCCCTTTTTCTAAATCAAAAGTATATTGCCACTGGACATCAAATGCAAAATATTTAGTTCTTATAAACACCATGTTTACTCATAAGCCCCTTTCATCATCAATGTTTTTTAAATTTAGTGCTTCGCATATTTTGATATGGACATTTGGCCATGACCCCTAGTGGTTATGACGTAATGTACCGAAAAAATGGATAAAAACAATTTGTTTTTCCATGTAGACAGGTTTGCTGGTAATATTTTATTGATTTTGCGAGGGTATTGTCCAACAATATTGACCTGGCACTTCATTAACTTTCGTAAAGGTCATTTGAATAAACACTGACCAGTATCTATCGGATATATCTATATATTTGCTAACTTGTCAGTGAGATGTAGTGTATTGGTATAGTTGTTGGACTACGGATCTGAAAGTCTATGGTTCGATTCCTAACCAACACGATGTTGTGATTTTTCTAATTAACTTGCAAGAATTAATTTGAAATCGTTTTAGAAAACATTTTAATTAAGTGGTTTTCATACACATTTATATTTTTCATTTCATTACAGTATCTTTCAACGGTTCTCTTTGGGATATTAATGCATTAGCTGATACACGCTATAAAGGCAGTTATTAAAAATAATACAATAATAGTATACACAACAAAAAGGTTTGCAATAGTTTTAAGAGAATGGCATTTTTAAAATTTAAATAAATATTTTTTTTCAAAAATACAATGCCGATATAGGATTCGAACCTACCAGTTTACGTCTAAAATCTGCAAGTGAAACCACTTAACAAACTGCGCTAATATGGATTTTTAATTTACATTATTTTAAAAATTGGATATTTTTATTCGTACTGATTTACAAGTAGATTGTAAAATTAACAGAACATACCAACTATAGGGTCAAATGCAAGAGTGCCAGGTCAATGTTGTTGGACAATATGAGCATGCAGGTCACATGTCATATTATCCCTCCAGCTAATTAGCATATCATATTATCCCTCCAGCTAATTAGCATATAACAACATAGTTGCTCTTATGGGAATGCCAAGGTATTTATGATTTTGTAAATGTAAATGTATAATTGAAATACAATGACTTTTAATTGTTTTCCTTTATCACCAGTCATTGAATTTAGCACTGGCCCGGTGTCCCATGGCCAGTGAAAAATAGTTCGGGCCAGTGAAATTTCAAGAAAATTTAGTTAAATATATAGTAGAATATATTCAAAACTGGAATTCAGGCTAGTAAATTCAAAATCTTAAATTCATTGACTGTTTCTTTGGCTAACATTTTTGTATTTCATGTACCATAAATATGTCTAGAGGCATTAACCCAAAGGTCAGCATTTTCTAAACAGATGATTTTGGAATTAATTTTTCCTTACATTTAAAATTTGCTTTTCATGTAGATTTAAGGACAAACCTTGGATACCTTACCTGTCAATGACTTTTTTCCCATTAACTTTATCTTTCTCTCCTTTCAAAACATTTATAAATGTTTCTGGGTTCACTTCCTGCAATACCAAACATAACCATAAATTCTTGTTTAATAGATTTTTCAATGCTTAAATCTGCATTACAACAGGGCAAACTTGTAATAAAGTGTTCTTTCAAATAGAAATGAAAATAAATATTAAGACTTCCAGATACAAGGAGCATCTTCATTTGTAAGAGCATTCTCCAAAATATCTATCAAGTTGTGTTATTTCTGGACAAAATCGTTATACTTGAACATTTTCAAGTGTACATGTTTCAATACAGTGTAGTACAATATAGTGAATGACACATTTCCTTGTTTTACATCATTTTACTTCTTCATATAAAACTAATTACAAAATGTCTCCTTTCCATGCTTAAAATCATATGTTAAACAATTGATCATTGTTTATAAAACTTAACAGTGGTATATATATTGTGACAGTGATGGAAATACATGTATTCACATGTACATCCAGTTATCAGTCTCAGTATTAAATAGTTTGTATTTTATACTTACCATTTTTGTGTAATCTTTTAACACATTTTGGTAGACATTTGGGCCATCAGGTCTGTTGATGATGTTGTCCTTTACAGGATTTCTGAAGAAGAAAAAAATCTACATAAAAAACAGAAAAATTACATTTGTTACATTTGATCTTTTCTTAAAAATTCAACCATTGGATTAAAAAATATTCAGGAAAACAGCTTTTTGAATTACAACAGCTATGTACACTTTTTTAGAAAATAATTTCTTATACAATGTAGATATATAATGAAAGAGGAAGAAGTACTAGAAGTACGTAACATAAGTTTGTGTTAGCACATACATGTATTTGTATGTGGACTTACTCTCTGTTATCTGCAATATCATCATACATCATAACAACAATTCTTTCATCAGGTATACCATGACTGTGTAATATCTGGTATGCATGACAAATGTCAGCCTGAAATATGATATATATTTTTGTATAATAATTATCTGGTATGCATGACATATGTCAGCCTGAAATAACTAGAACTGCCACTATCATGGCGTGAATACCCCTGCATACCACTTTGTCAGAATCAACAGTGGCCATTTAAAGCTCAAGGACAACCTCCCTGCCAAATCTGAGGTTACTAAGCCAGTGCATTGCTAAGTTATGTATTCTACATGCTTCAAATGTGAAAATGTGAAAAACAATACACTGCGGACAGGCATTCTTAAGCAATTGAGGGGAAAACATTTTTTTTGTCAAGGTCCCTGTGACCTTGACCTTTTACCCAGTGACCTCAAAATCTAAAGGGGTCACCTTATGGTCATGATCAACATCCATGCCAAATACGAAGACTGTGGGTCAAAGGAATCTTAAGATAATGGGTGGACAATCTTTTTTAGTCAAGGCCCCTGTGACCTTGATCTTTGACCTGGTGACCTCAAAGTCAATAGGGGTCATCTACTAATCATGACTAACCTCCATGCCAAACATGAAGACTGTGGGTCAAAGGAATCTTAAGTTATTGGGCGGACAAGCTTTTTGAAGTCAAGGCCCCTGTGACCTTGACCTTTGACCTGGTGACCTCAAAGTCAATAGGCGTCATCTACTAATCATGACTAACCTCCATGCCAAATATGAAGACTGTGGGTCAAAGGAATCTTAAGTTATTGGAAGGACAAGCTTTTTGAAGTCAAGGCCCCTGTGACCTTGACCTTTGACTTGGTGACCTCAAGATCAATAGGGGTCATCTACTAATCATGACTAACCTCCATGCCAAATATGAAGACTGTAGGTCACAGGAATCTTAAGTTATTGGGCGGACAAGCTTTTTGAAGTCAAGGCCCCTGTGACCTTGACCTTTGACCTGGTGACCTCAAAATCAAAAGGGGTCATCTACTAATCATGACTAACCTCCATGCCAAATACGAAGACTGTAGATCAAAGGAATCTAAGTTATTGGGCGGACAAGCTTTTTGAAGTCAAGGCCCCTGTGACCTTGACCTTTGACTTGGTGACCTCAAGATCAATAGGGGTCATCTACTAATCATGACTAACCTCCATGCCAAATATGAAGACTGTAGGTCACAGGAATCTTAAGTTATTGGGCGGACAAGCTTTTTGAAGTCAAGGCCCCTGTGACCTTGACCTTTGACCTGGTGACCTCAAAATCAAAAGGGGTCATCTACTAATCATGACTAACCTCCATGCCAAATACGAAGACTGTAGATCAAAGGAATCTAAGTTATTGGGCGGACAAGCTTTTTGAAGTCAAGGCCCCTGTGACCTTGACCTTTGACCTGGTGACCTCAAAATCAATAGGGGTCATCTACTAATCATGACTAACCTCCATGCCAACTATGAAGACTGTGGGTCAAAGGAATCTTAAGTTATTGGGCGGACAAGCTTTTTGAAGTCAAGGCCCCTGTGACCTTGACCTTTGACCTGGTGACCTCAAAATCAATAGGGGTCATCTACTAATCATGACTAACCTCCATGCAAAATACGAAGACTGTAGGTCAAAGGAATCTTAAGGTATTGGGCAGACAAGCTTTTTGAAGTCAAGGTCCCTGTGACCTTGACCTTTGACCTGGTGACCTCAAAATCAATAGGGGTCATCTACTAATCATGACTAACCTCCATGCCAAATATGAAGACTGTGGGTCAAAGGAATCTTAAGTTATTGGTCGGACAAGAAAAAACTGACAGACGGCCGGACAGATGGACAGCCGGACTGACAAGCTGATTCCAGTATACCCCCCTTACAACTTTGTTGTGCGGGGTATAATTATACATTGTATTATATATAATTTTGTGTAAATCTGTTTGCATGGCATAATGTCAGTCTAAATTTTGCATGCATGACATAATGTCAGTCTGAAACTTGTATGCATTACATGTCAGTCTAAATCTTGTATGAATGACATGTCAGTTAAAATCTTGTATGCATGACATAACGTCAGTTTGAATCCTGTATGCATGACATAATGTAGGCATGAAATAATATACCATTACATGCATTATATCATGTGGACATGAAATTTTGCTTGTATACAGGCATGTCATCCTGAATTTCATGTGGTTATATCCTAAAATTAATATAAACAGCATCACTTATATTTTAATCACCATTAAATATAATATTAATAGGCATATACAATGTAGTTAACATGATTTGAAAAGAAGTCTGGCATTGGTGACAAATATGCATGCACTATATAAAAGTTAGAAATTATGACAAATTATGACAGCATCGTTTGTAAGGAAGTTTTATGAGAAATAAGGAAAATATTTGCTTTACAATAATATACATGTATCACATGATCTGAGTTTTAATTAAAAATGTTAAAGTATACACATCATTCAAAGCACAATTAGATATTATTTTTTGATGAGGAAGGTTTGGTCACTTACTCTATGTTTTTGATATCATCAATTATTTCATAAAACTTTTGTTTCTCTTTATTATAAATTAATTTACATGTATCATATCAACAACAACATAATATGATTAAACTGTGACTGAAAATGTACATGTATAAAAAATATCTATTATCTCACTGCTTAATCTGATAGACATATCATGTGAGATATAAGTGTAACTCATTCTTATATCATGAACTTATCATACACAAACTGTAAAATGTTCATGATCATGCACCATCTAAGGCTTACTAAAATCTTTGCAAGAAATTATTCAAACATTAGTTATAAACTAGAAATGTGTCCATAGGACACGGATGCCCCCACACGCCACTGTTCTGTCAATCTTATGACTCTAGGTCAAATATTTTTTGGACTACATGTGCCACAAGTTGAAAACTAAAAATCAACAAAGGGCCATAATTCTGTTAAATTTGGTCGCAGCAAAAATTCCTTCCTTTACTACCATCTACACATTAAGGTTGTTAACCCCTGGAAGTTTAAGCAAAATCTGCCCTCCGGTTTAAGAGGAGTTGCGTTCACAAAATTTCTACATAGTATATAATGAAAAAATCAAAAAAGGGCCATAATTCTGTAAAATTTGGTTGCAGCAAAAATTCCTTTCTTTACTGCCATCTACACATTAAGGTTGTTCATCCCTGGAAGTTTAAGCAAAATCTGCCATCCGGTTTAAGAGGAGTTGCATTCACAAAAATTCTACATAGTATATAGTGAAAAAATCAACAAAGGGCCATAATTCTGTAAAATTTGGTCGCAGCGAAAATTCCTTCCTTTACTTCCATCTACACCTGAAGGTTGTTCATCCCTGTAAGTTTAAGCAAAATCTGCCATCCGGTTTAAGAGGAGTTGCGTTCACAAAATTTCTATATAGTATATAGTGAAAAAATCAACAAAGGGCCATAATTCTGTTAAATTTGGTCGCAGCAAAAATTCCTTCCTTTACTACCATCTACACATTTAGGTTGTTCATCCCTGTAAGTTTAAGCAAAATCTGCCATCCGGTTTAAGAGGAGTTGCGTTCACAAAATTTCTACATAGTATCTAGTGAAAAAATCAACAAAGGGCCATAATTCTGTTAAATTTGGTCGCAGCTAAAATTCCTTCCTTTACTACCATCTACACATTAAGGTTGTTCATCCCTGTAAGTTTAAGCAAAATCTGCCATCCGGTTTAAGAGGAGTTGCGTTCACAAGATTTCGGGACGTACGGACTGACGGACGGACTGACGGACGGACTGACGGACGGACGGACAAGTGCAACGCTATATGCTCCCACATTGTGGGGGCATAAAAATTCTTATCTAAAGAAATTCTTGTATCACATGATACCCCCACCTTGTATTAAATTAATCAGATGTCACACGCTTCTATTTTCTTTGTTCTAATTAAAATCAACAGATCATGTGTGTTTATGTTATAGTCATCATTACAACAATAATTGTCATGTTCTATTGAGTCACCTGATCCGGCTTACAGTAATGCCAGCTGTTCCTTCTTAATGCAACAGAATTCATATATGTTAGATGTTAAAATTACATTTATTATCAGTGTACATTAATAAGTTCATCGAAACATATCAAATTTACTGATATAGATAACCAATTTGTACTAAATAAGAGCGTCTTATTTCAAGACCTTGTTTTGGGGCTTTGTACATGTATATACCATAGTTTGTTTCAACATTCACCTTCATCATGTACCATTGCTGTAAAGGTTGGGGATCCAGGAAAACTAAGATGTAAAGAGTTTTCTTCAATAAACAGGCTTTTGATCTATCTGACTTTATTATAACTGAGGGATTTTTATTCCCTAAATCAACAGTCTTTTTGGTCATGTTGCACTTTCCATTTAGGGAATTATTTTTAAATAATCAACTGAAGGGTACAAAAAGAGCATAATTTACCCAGAGGTAGTCAATTTTATTAGGAATTGTTAACCTAAGCATTTTTACAGTGCAAGTTTGATACACTAGTTGACATTTCAATATCATTAAAATTTATTTTGATATCTTAAAAAATTCTGATTGTTTGATGTACTTCTTACGAGACTTTGGGACATTAACAGAGATGCTTTGAACCAAGGACAGGATTGAATTTAGGACACCTGACAATAAAATATACATACATGTACATAATATAAGCTGAACAAAATCACTTTAATATTTATTAATAACTAGATTAATAAAGTCTTATTGGACTCACTCCCTTCCATATAAATCATACTGCAATACAAAACATACCCATAATTTCTTGTTTCATAGATTTTTCAAAGCTTAGATCTGCATAAATACAGGGCAAACTTGTAATAAAGTGTTGTTTCAAATGGAAATAAATTTAATTAGCGGTATGAAACAATTCTTTTTCACAATAGCATTAAATATCAGATATATTATTAAATAGCACTCAAATATTTAATAGAAATTCTTTGTAAAGATTCAAACTCACAAAATTTATTAATTTTTTCCCACTATGTAAAACTTGCAACCACAGTAAATTATTTGATATATTCAGCTAAAGTAAAACTTAGTATAATCAAACCCCCAAAGCAATTTATGTAAAGTATCATCTTTTCAGCACA